TGGGCAGGCTACATATTTAGAAAAAAAACAGAACTGAGAAATCTACCATAGGAAAAAAGTTAGCCCAGGAAAATTTGCCGATATTCTGCTCTTATAGGCCATATAGACTCCCTTTGGGAGATTTCTCAGTTCTGTTTTTTTCTAAATGCCCAGGTCCATATGTGTGCAAAATTTCAGCTTTGTAGCTTTGTAACTTTTCAAGGTAAAAATTCATTGATACATTTTCACCATAATGCAGTCATGACACGCTTTGTTGCACCTCTGACCTAGTTAAGCCCCTCAGAACACCTTCATGTTAAAGGAACTACCAATAATAAACACTGCAAGCCAGAATTATCTAATAAATCTGGAGTTTCCAGTGTTGCTTCAATATACCCAGAATACGGCAAAGAATTACCACCAGCACATTCAATATCTAAAATGTTTTCTAAAGGATACAACTTTAAATGAGATAAATGATTGTAGAAATATTCCTCGTTGATAGTCGATACCGTAGAACCCGTATCTAATATTGCAGAACAAGTCAAGCCTTCAATTTTAACAGAAACCTCGTTTGGCTCACCAACCAAACATAAACCTACCGACGAGGGAAGTCTCGATTTCTCCAACCCCGTGACGCTTCCCGTGACCCGCGGCTTTGATCGTTTTCCGACCAATTGCTATGCTGTGTTGGTGACCTACAATTCATCTGTAAATGCCCAGGTTTACCACATCTCCAACACACTGGTCCTGTGTGATAACTATTACGAAAATTCGTAGACGTTCCAAACCTTCTATTTCCTTCCCTTCGAGATGTGCTATCGAAAGATCATTGGACAGGTTGAACAAACTGAGATACAGTCTCCTTCTATTCACCCATTTGAGTAGACAACGTCTTCACTATGCTCTTAAGTTCCTGTAACTCTGAGTCATATGAACGACCAGAACTAACCATATTAGACTGTTTAGGTTTTACATCAGCAGTCGATTTTCGACTATTCAACTCGAACTCGATACGTCTTACCTCAACTCTTAGTTCATCGAAAGTTGTAGGTTGATCGTATTTATGCGAAGATACATCCTTCAAATGAGGTAATAATCCATGCCAAAATACTCTACGGATTGCATTGCCAGCTTCATAGAAATTCGAACGCTCACTTTCAGTTGCTTTGGCGAACAAATCTTCGACTCTACATGCCCAAGAAGTGACAGATTCAGCCTCTTTCTGTCGAGCACTATAGAAATTAGCAATCAATGATTCTGATTCTTCACAAATACCGAACACGCTTTTTAGTTTAGCTAATATTTCTTTAATGGTCGCTTTTGTTCCAAGACGCATAATAACCTTACCAGCTTCCCCCTTTAATGAACGTCGAATAGCCAATAAAATGATGTGATCGGGGTACACATGCTTAGATATTAAACAGTCAGCTTCATATTTCCACAGATCATAACTTACCTCTCCTTTTCCAGACTCACCGTAAAATATCGATAGTTTTGGAATCTGATTACTAGGTCTTCCGGTACTTCGTTCAGTTTCTTCCGACTTATTTGGCCACTTACTTTGAGCTTTTAATGTCTCGCTCATCCAAGACGTTACACCATCTGCAGTACGCACATCTTTTGGAAATATACCCATTTGAACCAAAGTGTCGCAAACACCAACAATATCATCTTCCTCAAGATGGCCTTCCTCTTTTAACTTATCCATAATGCAAAATAAATATAAGAAATCAACATAAAAGAGAAAAACCAGCAAATTGAAATACCTCAGCATGCAACTAAATCCTATTAAACTGACATGGCCAGATCTGAACCAAATTTGACAAAGCATACATGGAACGGTACAACCACAAGAACCACATGCGAGACAGAGGAAAACGTGCTAAGTCTGGAAAAGAAAATACAAAATTATATTTTAGTTACTACCTGCATTCATACTTATTTATCACCCATTCTGTACAACATGAAAAACAAAAATATACAAAATTAGACAACATAATACAATTAATGAAACATAATTCAATACCAGTAACACAATTTAATTTCAGTCACTGCTTAACAAAACACAATCACCGCCGATCACACAATTTCAGTCACTGTTGTCGAAAAATAATTTCAGTCATCGCCGTTGCTCCTACACTTTCAGTCACTCTAATCTTCTATACCATAGCATCTCAATTAAATTATTGATACCGGAACCAAGAAAAATATATCATCTTCCTCGAACACAACACAAAACAACGAACAGACGTACACACCACATTTGTATCAAACCATCCTCCTCCCTGGGGGCTCCATTGTCGCAGCTACACGCCCCTATGCAAGATGGAATCTGGGACTTGCCACGTATTTGGGTCGAAGGATGGAATTACAGATTACAATTTCATACATTTATTACACACATTACATCTAAGAAATACACCACACGAAAGTCGGATAGTCGCGGATATGTGGATATGTGCTAAATACCAATACGGAGGCTTCCAATGCATTCCGCCATTACTAATTAGATCTACACCATCATACCATTAGTAAAAAAGGTGTCTAAGGACTAGTGCTAAAGTACCACCGACCAAAATAAATAGCCCAGTTTGTGGAATAGGACCACAGAAGTTAGCAGCGCACTCCAACTATCTCACATGTGGGTACTGGGCCACTGTAGCCAATTCAAGCTTTATACCAGCAGGTATCCAGATCCAACCAATAGAACAATGCACGAGCTTATTACCATGTGACCAACCACCGAACAAATAATTACACCATGTGATATACAACCTGTACTCAATGTTACATGGTACAAAACACATACTGTTACACTCACACCGAACTACATTTTTAAACTGGGAACACTGTTCCATGCAGTTGAGGACGCTAGTTCCTTTACTTTGTTTAAATCAGAACGTCATTCCCAGTTTAGAAAAGTTGTTCGGCAGCTGGTGAAACAGGGTCAAAGCCATCACCTGGTATATAGCCTCTATTATTTCAGCAGTGGATGTTGTGAAAGGATTTCTCAAAAGCATAACACCAATCCTAAACTTCTGCATTGTTTAGCTTTTCTTTTATGTCGTTGCAAACAGGTGGTATCGTTTCTTTTGGACACTAGTTTATATCGTCGATCTGGGTACATCAACAACTGATAAATCGCCAGCTGATCCCCCTTGAAAATAGCAGCTTATTCAAAACAAAAAAATTCAAACACAATAATAAGAGACAGGAAGTTTATTTGTATAATAGTTCTCTCATACAAAATAAACGATACAGAATTATCGACAAATTCAAACATCTAAAAAAAAAAAATATTTACAATAACATGAGTAACTTAATATAAACACACTAGAGATAATATACATCTTAAATAACATAGTTTGAACAAACGAGACATAATATAAATCTAAAATAACAAGAGTAACTTAATATGAACACATTAGAAATAATATAAATCTCACATTGAATATCAAATGCAAATGCAGCTGTTCATATCAAACAAATTTGTACGAGGTTCTTTATATATGTATCAGGGACATTGATTTCGCCTATAAGCACCATTCCGATATCAGACAGTCGCTTGCAATTCAACTTAAAGTAAGTTTTTGATGACTTCACTTTCGGAAAAGGTGTTATTGAAATAATATTTTATATTAAGGACATTTGCGATTGTTACGCCATATAAAGCAGAGTTTAAGTGCAATTTCAAGAACCAAAGACGTCCGATTGCGTATAATTATTAATGGGAAGGATGCTAATTGATTCCCTCGGTGTTCCCTATGCACATAATCTTTTTATGATGCATATATGGCTGTTGATAGATATATCTGACTTTATTAATACTAAAGCAAGCACACAAATACCCTTCAAATTGAGTATTGGGTATATACTCAAATTATCATATTATTCTACGATACCAACATGATATTGCTCTATCGTACATTTGGGTTTGTATTATATATCTTATATAATATTCTATTATTCTATTTTATATATTGCATTGGATAGGGTAGGATAGATAGGATAGATGAACATAGAAAATACATAAGCAAACCTCTAAAGTCTAGCAAAGATAGTTAAGTACAGCCGGATCATACACAAAACATAAACACAATAGTAGTAAATTTTTATTTGAGGCAGAATAAGTAGTTATTACCACTCTATAACCAAATTTTATATTGTGTTTATAACTAACCTATTCTACTTCAAAAGATAGTGGATTGTTTGTGTCAATGTTTTAAATCGTATCCGTGCATAAATAGTTTTGCTTGACTACTATAAGATAACAAGTTTGTTTATCATTAATTCTACCGATAATTTTTCAACTACGGGCGTTCATCAAAACAAACTTGACACCTTTTCCAACTCAAAATACAATACAAACTAACAATTATTAAACTTTAAAAAACGAGAATGGTTATTCAAGTAATACAGACTGGATCTGTGTAACATAGTTTTCCACTTTCAGTGTCTATTATTTGTGTAACCATTCTAATCGAAAACTTAGAAGAACAAAGAGAAAACGAGAGAGAATACCAACAGAGACGTTGTTAATATGATGGTAGTTGTTCCACAAGCTTGTGGCTTTAAATCAGTCAAAACATCTTTCAGTATCGTCTTCGTATTCGGTTTTTCACAACCAGATACCCCGGCGTCGGTGTCGGTACAATTGATGGCTTGATCAAACAATCTAAAATGAACATTGTTGTATTAATGATTTCAAAAGGTTAAATCTCTCAAAGACGTCATCTTGTATTTGCTGAAATAATACTATATGTTGACTTAATTCTGAGTTGATATACTTCACAGATAATGTATATTTGTACACTGGATTCGGAGATAATATACTTTACAGAAAAGGTCGATATGTATATAAAATCCCGAGTTTATATACATAGAGATATATATACATTTGATTCTGAATTGACATGCTTTACAGATAATGTCTATTTGTACACTGGATTCTTGGCTTATATCATATATTCACTTAAAGTATTATTTGTTGCATTTTGGTAATTTTTTTTTTCTACTCACGTGCAATAGTATTTCTTTGAATCTTCAGCTGTGGTGTTGGCTCCTGGTGTATCCAAATTAGCCTTTACACATGTGTCAAAAGAAACAGAAATACAATCTGCTTTATAATCTGTAAAATATGAAGTTTTTCGGTTCATTTCATTTCATCAAGGAATACTACCTCTTAAAATGCAAACAGAACAACTGAAAGAATACGTTGGTGAAAGGACAGGTTGACCATTCTAGGTGGTTGATTCGTTTCCTAGATATAATATGTAAATAGTCTTCAGAAGTACTAGAAATCCAACAAATAGATACCTATTACATGCCCAGCTTTCATTTAGTAGTTTTAATTATGGATATCAACTGAAATACTATTTTGTAAATTTCACACTTTAATTTCCACCATCTTCATTTATCCTTTGTTGGACAGATTTGTAGTTGGAGTGGTAAATCCACAAACCTGTTTCAATGAGATATTGTTTATGTGATAGCTGCACCTTCCTTACTATCACCTTATGAGGTGCAATACTACTTCAGGTGGATTTAAACTGGGGTGACTTGAATCTACATAAAGTGTCCAACGAAATACAGATGGTGCTGAGAGGCACGGTGAGCTGTTCTCCGAATGTGCAAGTCCAGTGAGCCAGAAGTGGGCAGGAATTTTTTTGTGGTGAGTAACAAACGGAGTTCATTCACACAAACTTTTGGCATTTGGCATATACATCATACAAATATCATGAATTCGATGGTTTAATTAGATTCCTGGTCTCAAAAAATATATATTTAAACACTTATGTAATTTTATTGCGTATGTTAGCAAAAATATCACATTATTTGTGTTTCACGGACATTTTGGATTTCACCTAAAAGAGTCAAAAAACATAGACACTCTAACTTTTTTTAACAAGTTTATGATACCTATTTACAAAATCAAAACAACACACGAAATTACAAAATATGCCTACACTAAACTCTAAATAAAAGTCAGATAAAACACTTTCCCTCGGGTTTTAAGAAAATTCATCGGGATGCGGGTTTTCAAATCAAAAAACTCTCGCCTGTTCTTATTGACCAAGTCAACTTATTTAAGGTATTTCATTATCAAGCACGTCGTAAATTATAGTAATTATACCTGAAAATATTTCTAAAGTATGCTTTTTATATTTATGTATCTTCTTAATCAAACTGAATTAATTTCAAAAGGGTTAATTAAAAACGGAGAGTACATTGTTAATTAAGAAGTTTGACTTAGTTTTTATGTTTTTAGACTTTATAATGGCTCGATAGTTGAAACCTTTAGAATACATAGGCAATACATTTCTCTACAATTAGACGTTTATTTTATTCAAATCTGTACAGTCCTTCGCTAACAGCTTCCAAATGTTTTTAAATAGTAATGGCGTTAAAAAAATAACGGCTGGATTTTTTTAGTTAAAACTTTAAGATACGTTAGAGGGAACATTTATATTGATATTGGTGTACAGTTTTCACAAATTTAATTCGCCATTGGGGTTGATTTGGATGAATAAGTTATGTGTTTAGAACTAGAAATGTACGAAAATTGCATAATTCCTTCAAAAATACCTCTTGGAATAAGGAATTCTATTCTATTCTATTCTATTTCTATATATCTTTTCTATATATCTTTTCTAAATATCAAGAAAAGAAGAGTCGTCATTTTAACTTCAAACGCGGATAATGGTAGATACCTGTGGATTTGAACGGTCAAATATCAGCAGTTTCTGAGACTAAGGTTTAAGGGATAGCGAAACTATCCCTTTAAAATAAGTTATACCTTCTTTGCTGTCACAAACTTCCTTGAGAGAGCGTTTATATGTTGCTGGTTCAGCAACAACTTCTATTGAAATTTCGTTACCACAATTTATATAGGCTGTTATCGCGCATTCCAGTTGTGCTGAGAAATTATCTCTAAAAAAGGAAAGCACAGAAGTGTTAAAGTGATATGCGAATAATTTATCAAAAAAGCAAGGTCTCGGCTTAGCTAGAACTATTGTGGGCATCTAGCCATTTGATCGACAGCTCATATTGATGCAGAAATAGACAAAATGTAAAGATACAATTTAAAGATGCAGTAGAAAATAGAAGCCAAAAATGTCCGAACCCATACTTCATGTATTTGCTCCGCTATGAATTTCTATTGTATTTAGGTGCAAATAAATGTGGTATGGTGAATCCATTGTGGTGAGCAGGGTCATGCAGTAGAAAAAAGAAGACGAACAAAAAATAAACCAAGTACGAAACCCGAAATCCAAACATCATTAATGAATTTTTCACACGAGGAAGTATATCAATCATAAATGAGTAAGTACATCATAATGAAAACCGGCATCATATGTTAAGAAGAGTTTCATACCCTGCCTTGCAGTGGCGCCACACCCGCCATAGCTGCACAACACAGACTACAAATATAGGAAAGCGTCAACAGAAGCCGAAGAATTTAAAAATTTCAAGGGACGTAATTGATGAAAATACATTTTTCCATTTTAATAGTTCAAGAGAGGGAAATGGTGAAAGTGCAAAAAAACTTACGCGCAGATAACGCTAGTAGATGTTGTATAAAATTTTAAATAATTGTCGATGACTAAAGTTTCTGAACCCGTCACTTGATGATTAGTTTTACATTGACCAAGCTCGGCTGTAAATGTAGCACACCCTGTAACGTCTATTTGTCCATTAACAACCATACCTAAAATTAAAATATTCATAAACTTATTAAAATGTAAATCTGGATGTTTTAATTCCCAAGAACCAAACCGACAAATCGGAAAAATATAAATTGCTGTTACAGACAGCGAGGAATTTTGATGACGACAAAGAGAATCAAAGAGTTTTTAAAAATGAAGCGAAACAAAAAAAAATCGATTTTTTGCTTCAATATTTCAAAAATTCAAATCATGCTCAAAATAACTTTAATCCATTTTCAAAGATAGAGCGCACAATAATTTACGAAATTTGTCATGATCATAAGGTTGTTTGATTTTCAGACTTACTTCCCGTCTTCGACCGTCATGGAATCGTTCTGATACGATTAACCATTTTATCAAAATTAATAGCAAACGTATGGAATTATTAGGTTGACTTTTGATTGTGTGGGATGGAAATAAGCCTTTGACTTTGTAAAGGTGACACGTTGTTTTTATGATTAGTGTGCCCTTCCATACAAACGAACAAAATTCAAAAATTATAATTGGTCCGATAATGTCAAATGTATGTTAGACTCCTTAGGATTTTCGTGTGATTGCATGAATGTAAGGCCTACAGACACCACTTAAATGACCAATAGGCTATATCCAGCAATGGTATTGCACTTCAAGGCAACTAAATTAGCCTTCCCCCGTTCAGCGATGCAGGTAAGTGGGGCTGAAATGACTTTAATATATTAACGTCACCAAAAATTCTAAACCTAAGATTAGAAACAAATTTGAATAGATTTAATATTTGAGAAACGGATTTTAATAGACTCGAGATTTCAGAAACAAAAGTGATCAAATCAAAACTTTAAGGTCATTTTTAAGGTCGGAATAACGAATTTAATCCGATTTAAGTTTGTTGGAAGAATTTATAATTTAGGTTTAAGTAAGGACATTGATCATATGAAAGCTTTGAGAACGAATTTGAATGAATTGAAATGCATTCTATGATATTTAGCAATACATTCGATCAGATTTAAGCTTAGATAAAAGATTTTGATAACGAGTTTGATAAAATTTAGTCTTAACCGGGCTCAATTTGATAAAATGCTCGATTCGTAAAATATCAATATAATTTCTACTGTAATTATAAATCATAAATATGGTAATGAATGTAGTATATAATTGATTTTAAAGCTATTAGAATTCAAAACGTTTGAAATATACTATTATAGATGACTCATTTTCAACCATGAATTATACTATAATAGGTGACTCATAACAGAGCAGATGTTTGATTTATCGATTCATACATATGCATAGCAAATCATTTTATAGAATTCTAAGCTGAAAGGGATTGTAAAGAAGTTTTCAACCTATATTTATAAGTATGTATTTTGGGGAAAATTTTAGCTTCTATTTGCATCATTCCAATTTTAATTTTTTTTCTCATTGCACAGTTCATTGCTCATTTTAGGTTGCCTGTTTGCACTAGTCTAACTAGAGCAGAAAAGTGGGAGCGCCATAAATCTTCTATACAATCCCTTTAAGTTCCACATTTATGCGACCTGATGATATTGGGAACTGTACTTGAAATGGAAACGCCAACTCGAGTTTTTTTTCTTTCATCGCAATCCTTTCGGTAATTTTTAAAAGACAATCGAGCGATATATTTAGCGATATCATATTTCGTTCTTTTAATATGTAAATAGAATTTTTTTTTTTTTCTGTGAAATTCGGAGGAACTAGGCATTTTCCTTATTTGCCTTGATAAACTTACGTCTCTGAACGTGATGGATCTATCAAAGTTGTTGAATATTTTGTATCTGACTTTTTTTTTTATAAATATGTAAAGATATAATAAGATAAAACAATATGTCAAGAATTATGGTCACTAAGCAGTAAACATACATTATATGGTAGAGTGGTCATGATAATACTTACCCAATGCGGCGAAAAAGGCTAAAATGAACATCATCTTGAACTGTTCCAGTAAAACCAAGCGGCTTCTCGAATAGGAAAATCTGAAGTGACTCTTGCGAATATGATACTTGACTTAACTATGCGCAGTTTTAATTTCTCGCCTGTGCGCAGTCTCGAACGAGTCATGTATCAACGTTCATGAGTATAGGCATAGAAAGATTTATCACCATATTGACAATCATATTTTCATAGGGCCTTGAACTGACTGACTGAAAGATAAAACATGAGAATACATGGCCGTAATTACATGAAGGCAAATGAGACTTTGCGGAATTTCAGCAAAAAATAAATTTTATTTATACAAAATGCTTAAATCCGCTTAATATATCGCTTATTTGATGTAAAGGTGGCTATCGTTTGAAAACTACCGAAAGGGTTGCGTTGAAAGACAACAAAGTTTTTGCCTCACAGAAAAAAAGACCCTTAGTTACGGTCCTTGAATAGCTTATAAAAATTAATAATATTAATAATAAAAAGCAAAAACTAGTATACGAACCGCATAACGAAACACGAAATCAGAAATAATAGTTTGGCAATAGTTTATGACAGGATAGCGGTGAACCTCCATTGATTAAACTGACATTTGTAATAGATGATATCTAATATAACAATGTACAAAATGCCTTCTGAAAACTGAATGCTGCAGTACACAATAATGGTGTTCACTTAAGAATTAAAGTATTTGAACTAATACTAATAATTCTGAACACCATTATTGTGTACGATTCCTTTTACTGTTATCTATTATCAGGTGAAAACGACATAAGGAATTTCTTAAACGTTGTGTGCAATAAAACCCATGTCATAATACCGTGTTCCGTTTACCGATTTCAATATTCTAAATGGATATTTGTAAATCGTTGAAACGTTGCTTTCAGTGAAAAGTTTTGTTTTTTTTATTTTCCCCCGAAATGGCACTTAAGAAATAACATAATATTTCGGGTCCCTGTGATGAAGACCCATATGGAGTATATGATATTCCAACAACATCTGTTACCTATATCTATATAGAACCTTTCGTAATGAAAAATAAAAAGCTAATTTTGATATGAAATATATAGACAATACAATATAATGCATAAAATTCATATATTAACATCTACTTTGAAATAAGATTAATTATCAAAATTGTACAATAGCTTGAAAAGCACTCAGAATATAATACGGAGTTTGTTAACATTGTACATTCTTCTGTCTTTATGTTAACCCTTTATGTAGCTGTCCTGATGAGGACTGTGTATCAGAAACCCGTTTTAGCCACAAATTAGCAAACGGCAAAATTTTGACTATGATACTTTGTTCCTATGCCTGAAGTCCAAAAAAGGCTTCTTGTCATTCAGATAATCCGGGGTTCGGTGTGTTACAGGCTCTACAAGTTTAATCTTCCTCGACAGTTGAAAAACGAACAGGACCCTGCACTGGCAAATCTCTCCTTATCAGCCAAGAAACATGACTGGAGAAGAAAAGTAAGACGTAAAACTCAATTTAATTTCAGACCTCTTGGCCTGTTGAGATCAATACCAATGCCAAGAATTACATGAGCACCTGTTGCAAGTATCCCAGTGAACTTGAAAGTTCAATACAAAATTTTGACACAAAAAAAAATCCTTGAATAACCGGGTAACTTCACAAGTGGAATACAGACTTGCTTTAAGTACCCCCCCTTCCCCTCCTCCAAAGGACATAACCATCAAAAACATGAAATTTAGTAAATTATTGACAATTTTGCATAGTAGTCAATAGTCCAGTGAGAGCTCGAAGAGAACACCAGCTCTTTTACTCCCAGACCACAATTCCAAGTTCCAGGTGCATTTTATTTTCTCATTTCACAAATATTATAATCACATTTTTAATTGTTTGCTATTTGTCTTTAAATCAGTGACGACGCCAGTGGGTGCTTTACTGTAACCTTTGAAATAGCTACGCCGTAAAACGCTTCATGGAAGTAGAATTGCACTGCCCAAAACAATATGAATGGTGACGGGGTATATAATTTGCACCTGCAATATTGTAGCCTGCGTCGTGCACATTTGACTTTTTTAGTTAGGATACAATGCGCATTAATTTCGGTGACAGATATTTGGAGGGTCAAGAGTGTGTGCCTATTATATATTATGTCAACGCACTATAATCGCAATTATACGATATTTTGCAAACAAACATACAACAAGCATAACAGTTATAAATTTAATAGTTAACAGTTTATCAGAAATGATAACAATGATGAAAAAGAAACAATAAGTTATATTTAGTCAATCATCATGAATATAAATTTCAAAGAAATATTTACTGAACACTTTAACAGAACAAAGCAGGTATTTTTATTTAAAGGAATACTACCCCTTAGAATGTATACAAAATTTAAATTCTCAAACTTGGTCAATAAGAGTATATTTTCATTAGTAGACTTACTTGGTGTCTACAAAGCAACCCTCTCTAATGGATATATCCATACAATTAATCATCCATAAAACTACAAGTAATTATTGAAATCCGCTTTTTAAAGTAACACCTATGTGCAATTCAAAATTTTGGGCTATTTTCTGTTACATTTATCACCATCTGTTGTCATTTGTCAGTCTTTTAAGATTCAGAATTTCATTTTTTCGATTGCATTTGATCTGAAGAACATACTACAAATTATTTCCTTCCCAACTTATAATTGCACAAAGCACATTTTGATAAATTAAACCTAAATTAATGGTATTTAGTAGTCTACTTGTGTCTTATTGTATAATTGAAACGCTTTAATGTATATCACAGCACTATCAAGTTGTTACATATATGTATATATATGTTAGGGCTATTTGCAATATCTACGTCATAAAATGCTTAGTGTTAGAGGAATTGCAAGACCCACAGAAAGTTGGAATGGTGCAAACCGATGTTATCAGTGTGCCTAATATACATAAAAAGTTTACAAAATGCCTTCATGTCTGAACTTCAGAATAAATGTCTTTTAAAATCAACAAAGGTATCAAATCAACGAAGCGAACCGCTACATCTGAGCGTGAAGTCTTAATATATTTAGCACTTTTTGTTCCTGGACATACATGACGGCTAAATGTCTTCTCTTCATTTAAGTTTTTCATGCATGCACCACACTTTTTTGCCACTTTCATAAAGCGTTTATGTTTCGCTAAATGTCTACTATACACATACAATTTATGAATTTTGTAGGAACAAAATGGGCAATTATATATAATTCTGTTTTTCTGCAAAAAGCGAGATCTTGAATGGTTGTCTGTGGGAATTTTCTTGGACAAAATGGCACTATTTCTCTCTACGGAAGGACACAGATGAACATCGTCACTACCTGATAACCTTATATTTGATATTTTAGGTGTATCTGAAGTAGGTTTATCTGCTTGAACCTGAGAGTCTTCGGGTGATGTACATGGATTGGAGCCTTTGAACAAATTGCTGCCAGATGATTGTGAACACTTTGATGATGACTTGATAAGTGGTTGAACACCTGAAGCTGCCTTGCTTCCTGATGAAGTTATCTTTGAACTGGTTTTCATGGATGCATTATCTATGGCTTTTGATATCAAAAATCTCATTTTCCATGACACTTCAAAGGATGGATCTCCTTTGGACACAGTCTTGTTACATGATGTTGAAGACTCCATTGATACATTTAAAGAACCACCATCTGATGATGACCTGGTGAATTTAGAATCTGATGGAGATAATGATGATGATGTTGGCACGGTTAATTTCAAAATAGTATCCGATGGTGTGACACATCCAGTAACTTTTAAAGTCTTTGGACTGCTTAATTTGTCTCCTGAGTCTTCAGTGGTAGTATTGTTATTACAGTTTAATTCTCCTTGAGAACCTGGTTCTTGGCATAGTTCCACCCCTCTAGTCTCATTAAGTGCAATGGTCTCTAATAAAACTTCCTTCTCTGCCTTGACTGGAAGTAAAAACATGAATAGAAATCAACAAAATATTGGAATAACACCAAGGTAACGAAAATGAAAATAGACGTTCATAGCCTTACACAGAGCAGAGTTACCCATACAACGGAAAATATAGGAGAGAATCATATATCAAATACATATCTTTTTTTTCAAATATCAGAAAAAGTCAGTGTTAAATAAACATTAAAGGGACTGTAAATAGGTTACAAAATTTGTTTGTGTATTGGGGACACTGATAGCATCAATTTGCACCATTCCAGATAGAATCAGACATCTGTGATTCCTGCAATTCCACTTAAACTAGGTGTTTGATGACATCACTAAACGCTTATGTGAAAAAGCATACTGACATCATGAAACACTTATTTTTGTGGAATTCAAGGAACCACAGACGGCTGACTAAAAATTGTTATGGTGCCAACTGATGCTATTAGTGTCCTTGATTCACATTAAAAATTTAGAAAACCTCTTTAACATCCTTTTATTCAACTAAATGAAACATTAGAATGTTTATTGACCATAAAACATGTAACTGTGTTACTGGTATGTTCTGGTGATTTTCAGTCAGTGAAATAGGTAGTTATAAATGAGAAATATACATAAATATTTATATCACATTAGTGAAGTGAAAGCAAAATTTATGGCCTTTTTTCAACAGCTGTTTTAGCTATTGAGACAAGCAATAGATAATATACATTAAGGTTGAATGAATGCAAAATTTCCTGTGAAACAAAAACTATTTGGGTCTGAAAATTCCACTCTTTAAAACCTTTTTTTCCAAATTATCATCTTTTCATTAGTTGTCTCGTTCTAAAAATAGGCCCTAATGCTGGGGTAAAAAAGCACCTTTTTTATGCACTTTCATGAGGGACACAGAGAAAATTATACACAGAGTATATTAATTTTTTTTTTCTGTACATCATGTGATTGGTACAAAATTTTGAAAATTACATGTTGTCAACAGACATCTGATTTGTTTAAAACAATCTAAAGCTTGACAAACTGTAAGTGAACATGGCAAGACAAGCCAATTTTACAGCCATGCACCTGGCTTATCTAACCTATTTGATGTCATCGATTCAACATTGTTGGCACACAGGCGATTTTGGGTCAGGCGTAAAAAATGTGTATTAAAGTATAGAGTATCTGACGCCAAAAGTAAAGCATGTAGCTCTAAACTGGCTGAACTATATCAGTGGTGGAGCCACTCCCCTCCTTGCAGCCCTGAATGCAATTTTTTCGGACATGACTCTCATAACCAGGTTAGAAATTCGGGCAACCTCAGATACATTCTATGAATATAAAGTATATCGAAGTATATTGTATATCATGCGTTAAATAATGATATCATGAAACCTGTTACACGCTATATGAAAGTATTAATATATTAATATTATGTTAGTAGAGTAAAAATCAATGGTGCATCAGAGCAGTGTTTCTATTAATCATCAGGCTTATAGACACTATTCAAGCATTAGCCATATTGAATCCAGAACGAGGCAAAAAACAATTGGTTTTGTTTCACTGCAGTGAAATCGCCATATTGATGTCCTTATCGCCTCCTTTTCCAGTCTTAGTAACTCAAAACTAATCATATTTTATATCATTAAAATACAAATTGAGCTATTTAATAATACTTTCAGATGAAATAAACCTTCAAAAATAAGTTTTAAGCCTATTTTCTGGATGTTGATTGAGTTTTTAAGGAAGTCATATAGACTATTCCTTTGAATGACATCATTTCCTTTTCAAGCCTTGCATGCAATGGTTCTAAAACAAGGCATGAATAAGGTCTGTAGCATCAATTCTGTTTGGAGGTTGAGGAAGGACTCTCCCAACCTTTAATGTTGTCCCTCTAAAATCAGATAATTCCATAAAACTAAGTAATCATCCATAAAACTACATGTAGTTTACATGTAGTTTTTGAAGAAGGCTTAATAATTTTAAGCATTTTTCCAATTATTACTTAGTTTAATGGGATTATCGTACAGGGATATTGTTGTTTAGTTATAACACCAGGTAGGTCAATATATACTCTTACTGTCCAATTTTGAGAATTTTATGTCCATTCTAAAGGGAAGCATTAATTTAACATGAAAAGAGAAGGTAAAATGATGAAAATGAGAATGACATAAAACAAAAATAGTTCTCACTTACACTCACTTGCTAAATATCATGACCATATTTGGGCATTAACAATGGTCACAGCATGGCTGCAAATAAAACACAAAACTATCTAGTAAACAAAACAAAAAAGGTCAGAGCTTATTGTTATTTTTACAGGGAAATATAGTCATCTGTATGGTTTTCTTTCTATTTTTCATATAAAGAAATCATTTTCTTCAAGGACAACAACTTAGGTTCATAGAGATCATGATGGTCTTGGCTAAACCTCTTAGAATTGACTTTACAAGATTATAGATTAGGTTTGCAAGTATCTTTCCTTGGCCAAACCTTTTAGCATTGATTTTGCAAGAGTAACAACTTAGGTTCACAAGGATCCTGTCTACCAGATGGTCCTTGGCATCAATTTCGTAAGGATAATAAATTAGGTTCACAAAGAGCCTGTCTACCAGCCGGTCCTTTGCTTTGACAAATCTCTTGGCCATTGTTCTTTCCTGGATTAATTGTACCCATTCACAGCTGGGTCAACTGAAATAATGAAGAAAGATGACTTTTCAAGGTTACCAGACTTTTACACCCCCCAAAAATTGCATTCCCTTGTATTCACATGTCAAGAAGAACAGTTACTTGTCTGGTATATACAAGGGAGACAACCAACTACATCTCATCTCAAACTCATGGATAAATAACAATAAGCTCTACGTTAGCCATATTAGAAAAACAGAATATAAGTGGAACAAAAAAAGTGAATTAAAATATCAAAATATATAGTAAGATAAAATTGTTTTTTGTAACCGATTTCCTAAATCAGGTTTTGAAAAGAGTTACAGTACTTCAAATATAAAGTATCTTCCACTATGGAGAAGTAGGGGAAGTAAATCTTCTCAATAATAGAATTCCAATAGGTGATCTATCACAAAATCATTTTTACTATGATACGAAATTTTAATTAGTTTTTTCTGCACATAATTAATATGAATGTAATTTCACTCCATGTCAATTTCCATGCTTTTCTAATTTAGAATTAGTTTTCCTTTCAAAAAAGGATAAGTCTAAAATGTTAGTCTATTATCAAAAAATTCAGCACAACATGCAAACAAGAGATTCTTTTGATGCAGTTTGAGATTCTTACAAATCTACAATTTGAAGACCTTTCTACCTTTTGTCAATGAATTTTGCTTTCTGAATTCGAAAGTGATGCCAACAAGGATAGAGTTATTTTTCAAATCACCCAACACCACTTTGTTAATTCCAAACATGGATAGCTATCATGTTAAAATGGCATTTTTATCCTGCAAAGTAGGGAGCTATGAAGCACTTTGTGGTTTTTTTTGATAGGCATCAAGATGGCTATGGTAAGACACACAGTTAACTATGAGAAAGATTCCGGACGTCATAGAGGGAAAATAAAGGGATTGTAAAGAGGTCTTCTGCTAATCTTTGTTTGAGTATCATGTACATTTATAGCTTCCATTCTCTATTCCAATATCCCAATAGACAAATGTAGTCCTATAATTCTTTAAAACCAAATATGACTTTGCACTTTTTCAAAAACTCCATTCAGTTCTAATGACATTTTGATAGTGACGCCATAATCTAAACATCAATTTCTTTTAATTGCTAGAACCACTGAAGTTGCACTTAACATTGGACTGTAAGTGTAAGCTAAATTTGTGAGTAATACTAGAAAACCACTATACAATCCCTGTAACTTTCAAAAGACCCCTGTAACTTTCAAAAGACCACTGATACAATCCCTGTAACTTTCAAAAGACCACTGATACAATCACTGTAACTTTCAAAAGACCACTGATACAATCACTGTAACTTTCAAAAGAACACTGATACAATCCCTGTAACTTTCAAAAGACCACTGATACAATCCCTGTAACTTTCAAAAGACCACTGATACAATCCCTGTAACTTTCAAAAGACCACTGATACAATCCCTGTAACTTTCAAAGACCACTGATACAATCCCTGTAACTTTCAAAAGACCACTGATACAATCACTGTAACTTTCAAAAGACCACTGATACAATCACTGTAACTTTCAAAAGACCACTGATACAATTCCTGTAACTTTCAAAAGACCACTGATACAATCCCTGTAACTATCAAAAGACCACTGATACAATCCCTGTAACTTTCAAAATACCACTGATACAATCCCTGTAACTTTCAAAAGACCCCTGTAACTTTCAAAAGACCACTGATACAATCCCTGTAACTTTCAAAAGACCACTGATACAATCACTGTAACTTTCAAAAGACCACTGATACAATCACTGTAACTTTCAAAAGACCACTGATACAATCACTGTAACTTTCAAAAGACCACTGATACAATCCCTGTAACTTTCAAAAGACCACTGATACAATCCCTGTAACTTTCAAAAGACCACTGATACAATCACTGTAACTTTCAAAAGACCACTGATACAATCCCTGTAACTTTCAAAAGACCACTGATACAATCCCTGTACATAACTTTCAAAAGCATAACATAAAGCTCCATCAATCTTTTTCCATCAAATTATATTAGATACATACCATTTGTATTAATATTATCCATATCTTGACCAGCTTCTGATAACTTTATAATCTGTTTATTCTGACCATGCCTTTCTTTCTGATGCTCTTTGACTAAATCTCTACATTAGAATTAAAATCATTTCATAATAAAAGTTCAAGGCAGAGGAGCTGGCAGAGCTGGTACCCCTGTAATCAGCATATTTTTGGTGAGCTGCCTCAAAATAACACCAGTTTTGGTATTTTTCAGGTCAAGTAAAACAACAATCTTTGACAAACAAAAATGGTCAATTCTAAGTTGAAATTTTTTTTCCTCTTCAAAATTCACTTTGTTCTAATGTGTATATATATATATATTTCATCAATGTTCTACAATTTTCATTACTATTTTAAAGCTGATATTCTATTTAAAAAGGGCATTACCCTTTTTTTTTGTAGGTTGAAAATTTTTGTACTTTAATCTACGACCTTTCTAAAAATGAAATTTTCTTCCAAAAGAGTGGATGATTAATAACAATTTTATTCACCAAGAAAGTGCCAGGACAGTAGATTACTTATTGTGTTTTATTAAAGGCATTTTCGGTAAAAATGTAATGCCTTACCTTCTCTTAGCACGAAAGTCACAACAATAACACAGGAATTTCTGTGGATGGGAACATGTTGTAGAGGTTGTGAAGTGACTGCCTGTTCTGTTGAATGTACATCCAGATTCCACATCAGTCCATAGGATCTCACCTTTATCTGTATGCTGTAGACTGAAGTGTTTACCCAAAGTCATTAGAGAGTTGAAGCTTTTTTCGCAGTAGCTGCACTTATGTTTGTGTGTCAGAGCTTTCTTTGCTGATGGTTCAGATGAATTTGGTGAACTGGTTTTTCGCTTCAATATGCCAGATTTTTTAATTGGGCTGGCTCTGGTATCAGCTTTGCTACTGGTACCATATGTACTACAAGACGCATCAAGTTTGGTGCCAGTTTGAAGTGTGGTGCTTGAAGATTTATCACTTCCATCTCCAGATTTGCCTCTGGCTAAGGTGACTTTTGGTTTATTTGGATTACATTTCAGCGACTTGGATGGTGAATCCTTCAGTCCTGAGCTTTTTGGATGTAGTTTACTTCTTGCTAAGCTAGTTTCAGATAGAGTAGATTTAACTTCAGTTGAAGATTTGCTAGTACAAGCATCTGTAGTGCTCTTTGATGAAACTATACCCATAAAAGTCTTTGCCTCGCCAATGGTACTATTCTTCTCAGGACTCTTTTTCAGTGACTGCCCAAAAATCTTCCCTTTTATAAATGGACTGCTTTTCATCTCACTTCGATGCAAAAAGCGTTGATGATTCTGCATTTGGAAAAGGGAATAAAATTTAGCAGAACATTGGTTGCATTCAAACATTTTCTGTTCAGGCTCATCTTTCAACAAAATATCATCATCAAAAAATTCAGATTCAGGGACAGTTGTTTTTGATTCATCGGTTACTTTTGATGAGTCAATTGAATCTAATGAGTCAGTCATTATTGCTGAGTCAATAACTTTGACTGATTTAGTGGCCGAAACATTCTCTTTTGATGTGTCAGTCACTTTTGTTAATTTGGTTTCTTTTCCGAAGTTGTTCACTGCTGATGAGTCAAATGATTGTGAAGAGTTGACTGAATTACATGAGTCAATTGAATTTAATGAGTTTGATTTGGTTGATTTGGTTACTTTCGCTGAGTCATTCACCGTTGATGAGTCAATTGAATTCAATGAGTCAACTGAATAAACTGAGTCAATTGAATCTGAGTCATTTGAATTTAATGAGTCAATGAATTTTGTTGATTTAGTTACTTTTGCGGAGTCATTCACTGTTGATGGCTTAGTTATTTTGGATGAGTCAGTTACTTTTGTTGAGCTGTTGGACTTCTTGAAATTGAATTTAATGGTCATAGGATTAGATTTTTTTGGAGACCTTGATTTAGATTTAGAAGGCGATTTCTGTTTTGGCACTGATTTTGTCTTTGAAATATGTGATGCTGAAGAGCTCTTTAATGATGATCTAACCATGGCGGTGGCATCATCTTTCAATGGTTTAGGTGATTTAGGTTCTTCTGCACACTCTTCTGAAATGCCTGGTTCTTCTTTTATGTTAAGTGTTGTCTCTTTTTCAATTTCTGGATCCTGTTCGACACCAGTATTTTCAAATGATTTTATGTTGCTTTTAGCCTCAGTATTTGATATTGGTTTGACGGAAAGGTTAGTCTTTTCAGATATCTTGCTGGATTCAACTACCTCAGATTCAGCACATAATTCTTGTATTAAGTGAAAGTTGTCTTTTTCCTTTGAAACTAAAGTTTTTTTTCTAGGTCTATTTGGTATAGACGATAGGACAAAATGTGCGTTTAACAGAAATTTGCTGCTCTGAGCTCTGGTACTGCAGGAATGCTTGCTGTTCTGACCTTCTTTACTTTTCTTTGTATCTGGAAACTTATCTCTTTTTTTGGATGCACTACTATCCTTTGAAGACAACTGTTTTTTTTTGTCTATTTCTGGCATGTGGTTACCAATAACTGCACTCTTCTTTCTCTTTTTGACTTTGCTTGTACTAGATGCATCACTAGCTTCATCTTTGGATTGTGAAGTAGGGCTTTCATAAGATATCTTTCTTTTCAGTTTACCTCTGGTTGATGGATATATTTCGGATAAATCCATGGCGTCATCACAATTTTCTACAGTACCACAATTATCAGAATAAAAATCAACATCACTTGACTCAACATCATTTTTCTCTAAAGATATCACCGGAACAGCTAGATCTTTAGAAGCCTTAGCATCAACTGTCCAGGTCTGAATTCCTTTAGAACCCTGTACAAAGAATCTTCTTTTCATAAGCATGGATTGTTCCTTTTCTTCTCTTACAACCTTTCCAACAGCTTGACCATCATCGCATGTTGGTTTCAGCAGCTTATCAATTTTATTCTGCCAATTCTTTGGGAATATCACACGTACATTGTCTATGTGATGAACATCTTTCATGTGGCTTGATAGCAGTGAAAACAGTTTATCTTCATAATCACAAATCTCACATAAATAGGGAATATTTAAATGCTTTCCCAGATGATCATGGATGGCACGCTTCATTTTACACCTTTTCTCACACACTCGGCAATGGTACAAATGATCTTTTGAAGAGTATAGCTTTGAGATCTTTTCATCAAACTGATCAAAGTATGTTCCTCTATCAGCTGATGTACCCATTGTGACTTTATACACACAATGGATGTCATCATAGGATTCTGAGACAATATTGGACTCCACTGTAGGTTGGTGAGAGTCATCCTTACCAGATTTAGGAATACACTTCTTAGAACAAACACTTTCAGAATTTTTAAATTCAAATTTCAAAGGTTCAAATTTGTCGATTTTACTTTTCACAGGCTGTGGTGCAATGTTCTCTTGAGTTGTCTTGGATGCATCATTGATTATTTCTTGCTTAGTTACTGGTGCTTTCCCACACTGTCGAATTTCCTCTGGAGCTGTTTTACCGGCCTCGTGAACTGACACATTTCTATGTTGTTGTGATACTGCAATGTTCACTTGAGGTCTCTTGGCTGCTTCGTGAATGCTCTGTTTTTGGAATGCTCTCCCAAATTCATCTGAATATGGATTTTCCTCTTCAGTCTTGGGTGCCTGATTAACTATTTCATGCTTCATTTCTGATGCTTTCACAATTTGTTGTGATACAGCAATTTCTCTTGGAGCTGTTTTTGGCGCCTGATGAATCATTTCATGTTTCATTACTGATGATTTCCCAATCCCTTTGTAATCACATTTAGAACACCTTGAAACCTTTGTCTCCAACATAACTGTGCTGGTCCTGATCATGTCATTCAAATTGGAGTGATTTTGATGCAAGTCATCTTTGATATGAGTTTTAAGACAGTGTAACTGGTTTGTCTTGAATCCATCAAGGGTACATTCATACATGGTGAACGATATTTTCTCATCATGGTGTTGAAGGTGGTTTTCCATTTCTGTCAGGTCATTGAATGTTGTTGGACAAAACATACAGCTGAAATCTTTTTCATCATCAATCTGGTGAAGATTACGATGCTTATACAGATGATCATCCAGTATACTGGACCTTTCAGCTACAAAAGAACACTGATGGCATCTATATTTTAAATGATCTTGTGGCGATTCTGAGACAGGTTCTTTTAATGAGCTTAATGAAGAAGATGGTAATTGAAAATGAGTTTCACCAAGTGAACTGTCGTGGACAATACCAGCCTTATTCGCATTGGGTGCTTCAGTTGCAGAGTCTTGATTTCGAGATTCTAATTGATTTCTGGTTGTTGATGAAGTAGTAGAAGTGAGCATCTCTGTTGTGTTTTTAGCTGGGTCCAGATTTTGTGATTCTGATAGATTCCTTGTGGTTGACGACGAAGATTCCCGAGATCCCATCTCTTTCTTTACTTCTAAAGGTTCAGGTCTGTTGGTTGCATGTCCTGGGGGTGCTTCAATGTACTCAATAAACTCAACATCGTCGTCATCTCCTTCATCTTGATTCAGCCACTCTGTTTGAAAAGCCAGCATCTTCAATGGGTCAAAACCATGTAGTTTCCTATCATTACAAATCAAATGCTTAGTAATGCTGATCATCCTTCCTTTTTTGGGATGATAATTTGCAATATGTTGAAGCATGGACTTCTTATCTGTTGCTTTGGCTTGACAGTGAGGACATTTGACAATGGTCAATAAACTGGATCGAAGATGTGCCTGAAACAGATCCAGTGAAGGAAACACACTCTTGCAACAGCAGCAGGTCAAATCATCCTTTGAATGGTACATTTTCAGATGATGCATGAATTCAGCTAATTTATTTCGTTGGTATTTCTTGCAGGATTTCCAAACGCAGACAAATGTTGCTAAACCAGGATTTGTTTTGCAATGTCCTCTGAAATGCTTGAAGAATTCCTTTAAATCAAATGAAGAGTATCCACAGTGAATACACAAAATGTCTTGACCTTCATGTTCTTCTAAATGTTTTTTGAATTTCAGAGCAAAGAGGGTGGAAAATCTGCACAAAGAGCATGAAAAAAATTGAGACGGTCCTACAGATTGAAATGACTTGGAAACAATGGATGAGGCAGTAACTGTACCAGATTCATATGGTGTATTCCTACCACTAACCACAACTGATGAAGTACTAGGTTCAGTTGGTGGTGATCGACCACTGGTTTCAAATGATGAAGCATGAACTGCATGTGTTCTATTTGGTGTAATCCTTTTTCTGGTCACAACTGATGAACCACTACCTGTGTCAGTTTCGTTTAATGTAGTTCCACCATTGGCTGATGAAACACTAACTGTACCAGATTCATGTGTAGTCCTACCACTGACTGCAACTGACGAATGACTAATTGTATAAGGTTCGATTGGTGTAGTTCTATCACTGACTTGTCCAACATCACTATCCACGCTTGCAGCTGGATCTATAACAGATGAAGGAGCTGAAGCTATTTTAGAAACAATATGAATCATTTCACCAGCATCTGAAGTTGCTGATGTAGTTGAGTTCAGATCATTACCAAAAACTTTGGTTACTTCTTTGAGGATGTGAAGCTTGGCTATATTTCTGGCATTTTCTTCATTTTGGCTAATGCATGGGTTATTTTTTTGCAAAAGTCTTCCTTGAATAGACCTGAGAATCTTTAATCTGTCACAATTCTTTTCTTCTTCAGTTTTTGGAGGTCTATTTTCCAGTTCTTCCTCCCTCTTTTCAAACTGCACAAACATGGATTTGATTTTCAAAGCCAGAACCCGCCTTTGTTCAATAATATCAGGAGGACATATAACATGGGTTGCTTCCAAAGTTTTATTTTGTGCTATAAATGCTTTCAGTTTTTCAATAGCAACATCGACAGAATCTGCACCATTCTCAGAATCTGTACTTGGATGACTTGGTTCTCCATCACTGTCAATAAGAATAGCTGTGGAGACATTATTGGAGTCAAATCTATTCTCAACTGATGTTTCTACTTTGATCAGTGTGCTCATTTGGTTGTTGGAACCAGAATCTTTGACATTAGCATTTGTTGCTTCTTGGTTATACTGTGGATTGATTTCAGGTGGATTTTCACCAAGATTCTGTTCTATTTTCAGTAACAGCTTATCCACACTTCTGCATTTAGGAAAAACAGAAAGAACATCATAACAATAAGTACAAAATCGCTTCTCAGATTGAAACATATGAAGATGACCCCATACATGCCACCAAAAGTTTTCACGGCTTTTCCAATTTTTCTTATGTTCTAAGCATTGATATACTCCATCTGTGAATCTAAATTTAGTATCGGTTAGTTTCAATAATGCTCTTATTCTAGGTTCGGAATCAGCCCTGATCAGTGATGCTTCTTCGGGAATATTTTCGGGCTGTTGAAGAGCAGTTTGAGTGGGTAAATCTGATTTGGAATTCCAAGAAGTCTGTGAAGATGTAACAGGATACTGCATTTTTGCTGGATTGGCTGAGACAGTAATTCCTTTAGGCATATGTGGAATGAGTGTGATAGGTGTACAGATTGCTGTTGGAGGATTATTCAGGTCTTGGCTGCTAGTCATTGGAGTCAAACTGGTTGACAGATTTTGAGATGATGCTGAAGTAGCAGTAACATGTTGAACATTTTGCAATTTGGAATCACAATTTGATAGTAGATCATGAGTCAGTAGTTGGTTTCTATTACTCTGCACCATAACTTCTAAATCAGTTGCTGTTGTGATAAAAGCTTCTTGGGTATTCCTAGGACTACCTGATAGCTGATTGACCATACGTGATTGGTGATCAATATTCAAATGTCTAACATGTTGATGTTCAACTGATTCAGTCTTGTTTCTGCTTTGTTGAACTTTCGTGAGAAGGTGAACAACAGTTGAAGCTTGGTTTGCACTCTTTGTTACAGAATGTTTAGATGAGCCTATATTTGAAGAAGCTGAAAAGATCTGAGGATTATGGTCAGATCTGTCCAAAACCCTCTGCTGCTGTTGTTGAACACTGCTAGAATGATAGCTTTTGACACCTGGAAGATTCTCAGGTGAAAACATACCCGAAGGAACTGTGGAGAAGTTTTGATTTGAGACACTGGTTTGTTCGTAAGGACTGTAATGATGCTGTGTAGAGGTACTTGTTGTTGCTACTGGGGATCTTGATTTATTTTGGTTTTGCATTACTGGTACTATTTGTTCCTCTGAAGGCAAAATTTGGTTGGTTTGAGACCAGGTACAAGGAAAACTCTTCTCTTGAACTGCGGAATTTGATTGGAATTCCTGAGATGTTAACACTGGCAGGTGATGGTTTCGATATGAAGGTGGATAAACATTGGATGCAGATGTTCTAATTTGAGGGCTTTGGATTAGGTTGAAGGCAGATACATCAAAAGTTTGAACAGGATAATCCTGTTCTTTAGGTGCGATTAATACAAATCTCGAGGGCAAGGAAGAGGAAGATTTTGGACTGCTCTCATTACTCTTATCAATTCCAGAAGTGTGTGAGTTTTTCTTTATTTTACCAGTGGGAGAGTCCTGGTTTTTTATTTGAGTTTCACCATAACCCTTACCATCAGAGTTGTGTCTTGTTTTTGAATTTGTTCTGTTTGCATCTCCAAAAGAAGATTGTGGTCTAGGGACTACAGTGTCTTGAAGAGGTTTAGATTTATCAACATCTAAAGAAGCTTGTCGAGCTGATCTTGATACAAATTTCAGTACTGGTAATTCAGTTGGGTGACTTCTTTCAGTCACTGGTTTGGGTTGAATTAGAGTGGGTTCTGAAAGGTGTTTATGTCGAACAACATCATTAACCATGGATGAATATTTTGCAGCCTCTGCTTCAGCCATATTTTTCTTTGCATTATGGACAAATTTTCCACTTTTTCTTGCTCTTTGACACAACATTTCTGCTTTTTTCAAACCAACAAGACTCCACTCTTTTAACATTGGTCGTTGACCTTCTTCTCTGTGTTTCTCTCTTATGTGGATCTTCATGTAATTTTTGTTCAATAGGCAGCGTTTACAGTAAGCACAGCGAAACGGTTTATAAATCAAGTGGCTTCGTACTAAATGTGTAGCAAAATATTGTTCCTCTTCAGCAAAACCACATGAACAAGCAAATCTGTTGGTTCCTTTTTTGTGTAGAATTTCAAAGTCTTTGCCCAGAACAGTATTCTGATCATCATCTTCATCTTCAGAAGAGCTCTCATCTTCATCATTTAAAGCATTACTAGATCTTCTACGATTACCACTTGATCTTCTCTCTTTCACTTTGCTTCCTTTGGATTCCTTTGGAGTCTTCTTTGGGTCATCAGTGGTTGCTGTGGAATCCTCGTTAGGAGTCTTCTCCAATAAGTCCTCATTGCCACCAGATTCTGTTTCTTTCACATGCAAAGTTTTTCCTGAATTTTCCTCTGTATCGTTAGACTTAAAAACAGTGTCTGAACAATTGTTTGGGTGGATGTTCTTGTAGGGAAGTTGACTGTCTTCTGCTTTGCGTTGAATAATTGCTGCATTTATTACAATTATGGAGTCTGAATCAAAGGGCCCAAACTGCTTAGGAACATGTGGATTGTCTGCTTCATCAGGAGTAGCAGTCATATCATCAAGACTAAATCCTTGACTAACAGCTATCAGACTTTCAGCATCTTCTTGGTTGGTGAAGGCTTCAGTTTTGTCACATGCCACTTTGAAGCCTCCTAAACAGTTCTTTTCATCTACATGATCTGAAATGTAAGATGCCTCTTCATTTTGATGTGCCAGCCTATCACTTTTGTCTTTAGAGGTAGTTGAATTTGAAGTAGTAAAATCTTCTGGATTCATAACCAACAATTGCTCATTATGTCCTCTCTCTATCATCTTTGTTTCATTTTGAGTGCTTTTCTTTTCTTGTGACTTTTCAGTTTTTTCTTTCAATTTTTCACTATATTCTTCCGGTGACATTTTGTCTTCATCAATATACAATCTATTGTCTTCAAAACTTGAAGATTCTTCAATAGATGAGTTTTGAAGGTCTGTGGACATATCAACTGGTCTAAAAGTGTGAGTTTCCTTCTGACCAAAGATCACTGATGTCGAAGATGTTGCTGCATTAATTTCATCCAACTGATCAACATTACTAGATGATTTACATGCATCCTTTAAGAGTTCATTTTTAAAGTCGACTTCACTAGTTACTGGCAATTCTGATTCAGACCGCATTGTATTTGTTGGAATAGTGAGAGGCACTTGTCTGTCAGTCTGAAATTCATCTGACAGGCCCAGAACGGTAATGGGCACTTCATCAGTAGGTTTGTCAACAGATTCATATAAGGAAGAGGTGAAATCTGTATCAGTAATAGTTGAACACTGTAAATCTTTAGCAAAATCTGAAAAGAGAGAAAGAAGTTCTAAATCTTCTAAATTACATAAATGTCATAAATTCATGACCATATATGGCCATTTTTGTGGTTCAGGGCGGTTGATTTATTTCAGCCAATCAGAAACTTTTAAAAGTCTGTAAATTATTCGTAAACACATACACTGGTTTATTTGTAAAACAATTAACTGTTACCATGTTTGTAAACATTTGTAACTACAAATATTTGTGGTACAATAACATACTGGTATGCAAACAGATTTACAAGATAGCTTGCCAGGCAAGGTAATATACGCCCACTGGCAGCTTTGATTTTGAACATAAATATTTAGCAGTACAGTAACAATGACCAGTATGAAATATTCAACCTTCAGTCATACACTTCTTTTGAACTCTTTAGGGCGATACTGAATAATATTAAGTATGAGTTATTCTCCTAGTTCTGGAAAACATGTTCAATCTGTAGTTCGTGAAAACTCTAGAAGGCAAATATTCAATCTTCAGCGCGGCACTGAATAATAAAACCAAGTTTTATCAAAATTTGGCAAGAATCATGCCTTTCAGAGTTTTAATGAGCTACAAATTGAACTAGTTTTCAAGATCAAGGGCAATAACTCATACTAAATATTTTTTCGATTTTTCTCATTTTCAATAGGCTTTATCCATGGGTGATAACAAACACTCAAGCTAAATTTCATTAAAATCCGTCAAGAATTGTCCCTTCTAAAGTGTTTACAAGCTAAAATTTGAACGCGTTTTCAAGAACAAGGGCAATAACTCATATTTTTCAATTTTTCAATACAGTTTATCCATGGGTGATAACCAACATTCATGCCAAGTTTCGTCAAAATCTGTCAAGAATTGTGCCTTCTAGAGTGTTTACTAACTAAAAATTGAACGTGTTTTCAAGAACAAGGGCAATAACTAATACTAAATATTTTTCAATTTTTCTTATTTTCGATAGTGTTTATCCTTGGGCGATAACAAACACTCATACCAAGTTTCATCCAAGTCCGTCATGAATTGCACCTTCTAGAGTGTTTACGAGCATTTCAAGAACAAGGGCAATAACTTACAGTAAATATTTTTCGATTCGTCTGATTTTAAATAGGGTTCATCCTTGGGTGATTACAAACAACCATACCCAGTTTCGTCGAAATCAGTCAAGAATTGTGCCTTGTAGAGTATTTACAAGCAATTGTGGACGGACGGACCGACGGAAAGAGGTGACGCAATATACGCCCCCCCCAATTCATGTGGACGTATAAAAATGAACAAACCTGGTTCTGTGCTCTGTTCAAATGATGAATTGTTTGATGATTCTGGAGTGGAAATCTCCATCTTTTCCATCTGTGAAATGGTAGAAAAAGATGAATCTGCATTGTCATTTGGTTGTAGGTATTCTTTATTACTGGGAACAATAACTAATATATCACTAGAATCAGACATGTCTGTTCTGTATTCAGGAGTGTCTATTCCTGATTTATTAATTTTCTTTTCAGGATCCCATAATTCCATGGTTTTGGGACTATCAATAGCTGGATTCTGTGTTTTCTTAGTTTCTGGATCCTTCCTGGTTTTTTTATCAAGGGATTTCTGTAGACCATCATTGGCAGTAGGATAATTTATTCTGTTGGACTGTAGACCATATTTGTCTACAGGATCTTGAAATTCTAGATCCTTACTTAATGTTGGCAGAAGCAATTTCTGTGGACCGTATCTGTCTACAGGACTCTCAGGTTCATCTATGGAAACAGGATTAAGTGAGTCCTTAGATTGGGATTGTGGATTATCACTGGCAAAAGTATTACGAACTTCCTGAGTTTCCAAAATAATACTGGTAGCAGGATCCATTACTTTCTTATTAAGCTCTTGTTGTCCACCTGAAACAAAATCTTCCTGAGGCTGTGAATCATTCTTAGTAGCAAGTTCAAATGTTTCCTTTGTTTCTGGTTTATTGGTGGAAGAAGGAAGAAGTGATGCCTTGTTTTGGGATGGCGGATCATCACTTACACTCAAACTTTCTGAAAAATCACCAGAATCAACAGAAACTAACGTTTCTGACAAATCAGCTTCTGTGAAAACTGAATGATCTGTATTACTGGATGGACAAGATTCAGGGAAACTTCCCATTTCAAGTTTGGTCTTTGAACTAGAAACAAGATTGCACACTACTCCCTCAGCCTCAGGTTTTCTTGTGTTTTTAGAAATATATTCTGAACTCAATTGCTTTGATTCTTTAGGAACATCACCACCAACAAATTCATTAGTGTAAGCTTGAGCATCTTGAAAGACTTCAGAGACAACTGATCTTATATCTTCAATTTTGAAAAGAAATTCACTACTGCCATCAAGTATCGGGGATGATATTCCAACTAGTACCACATTTTCTGGTAGGCAAACTTTGGTACTTTCTTCTTCCCCATTATTAGGCACTGTTTCTTTTGACTCATTCCATTCTTCTAAGCCTTCTCCTTCAATATGCAGTGAAGATTGTTCTTCAGAACTTACATTACTCTCTAAAGAAAAGTTGACACAGTCTGTGTTACTTTGAGCAAAAACTGGTCCATCCTCATCACGTAATGATTCATCACTGTAGGATGGTATGTTCAAATCAGTAGCTTGTTTTTCCTTTCCTATGACAGCCTCACCATCCTTTGAGTCTTCGAGAATCGTCACATTTTGGGCAATAGTATGAGGTAAACAGTTTGAAATTGCTTGATTGAGATCTTTATCGGGACATATTATGCCTTGGTCATGGGTAATGGGTGCTTGTTCATTATCTGCAGTCAGTGAAGATATTTCTGCCTGCGGATTTGGAGATGAAATGAAGTCATCAAGAAGATTTCTTCTTGAATCATCTGCCATGTCATTTCCTGGAAAGAGAAAGATATGGGTTGTTATAAAGTCAATCTTATGAATAGCTCTGGGCCCCCACCCCAGACTTAACTGAGAATACTCTCCCAGCTTGTTTCTTAACTTCACTATACCTATTTTTAATTTTCTCACAGGATTTAGGCTAATATAGTTTACAATGAATTAAGAGACAAAAAATCAAAATTTTTGATTTTTAGGGCACTTGACTCTGCTGGGCCAACTGAAGGACTTACAATTATCTAACACTTCAGTCCAATCCTGGTCAGTAATAATGATAACCAACCTTTACATCAATTGATAGGCTACATTATGGCATTATTTTACTTGGGCCTAAATTTTTAATGGATTTTGTGCATCAGCTGTGGTCCAAAAAATTAAAAAGTACTACTGGTTCATTTAGTGTTTTTTTTTTCAATAAATAACAGATTAAAAAAAAATGTTTAGCTTTACTTAAGCTTATAAAAACAATGAATCCTGTCAATTAAATCAGAGAATATAGATTTGGTTCATAATATTCATGATTTGTAACATAATATTCTTTTTTATGATTTGTTACATAATATCTATGATTTGTTACATAATATATTTATGATTTGTTTCCTAATGTTAATGATTTGTTACAAAAAAAATATCCCAAACTAAAAACTTCTTTTCCTAGTTCTATAGGATGTCTTGTCTATAAGCTTATATGACAGTGTCTCAAGAAAAGATGACTTTTTAAGTATCAAATTGAAGTAATTCTGGAAACACATGGATTTGAAAGCTCAAATTTTGACGCTAAAAAAAAAACAGATAAATCATATTGCCTAAATATGATTTTCATCCTTGGTCAAAATATAGACCTCATAGAAACTGTAAGAATATTACTGTCATGCTACCTAAATAGAATTACAGGTATCTTGACAAAGTTGACTTACAATTAAGGAATGGCACTCTAACCATTCCAAAGGCTATATAGCCATATATGAGGCAGGTACGCAGTTAGTTCTCTGAAGATTGCATTGACAAGAGGGAAACTCTGAGTAACAACAACATGTTTTTTGAGGTTCTGTTTTAATATTTATTGCCATATAAATATAATGTGTGTAGCATTGATATTAGAATACCTTCATTCTTTCTTGTTTCAACTAATAGTAACAAAGTCTATATATATAATATATAGCACACAAAGATGTACTCTGCTGGTTTGACAGACAGGTGTTGCTTGCTTGACAGGTGTTGCATGGCAGGTGTTAAAGGGAGGGTTTGAATTAAATTAGATATTTGAGTTTTTCAAGTTTTTTTCTCCACATGTTGATATACATTTTTCATATTGGAGAAACTTTGTAAGCCTAATGTAAAATAAGCTTGGGTGGAAATTGAAAGGGGGGGAATCACTTTGGGAGGAACTTGTAAAGGGGGGAAACCACTGTACAGTGTAAGCTCTTCTGAGAGCTGGCTTTCACACAATAATGCCTAACAAAGACCCTACTTTAAGGCATCTGAACTATATTTAACAAATTGCAAGATATCCAACTTAAAACTTTTCTATTGTTACCACAGATTACACGTCTGTAGTTTTAAATAGTAAAATGCCGCAACAAAAGGTCACTTTAAAAATCAACCAAAAAGCAAATTTCAGCTTTTACTTTTAAACTTGTTTTTACTAATTTTTAGCCAAAATGGTTAGTTTCACATTGTAGTTTTGACTTTACTTCACTAAAAATGTCTGTTATGAGCGTAAAAACGAATTGTTATGTTGTTGACATACTTACGTTGGAAAAGCTATACTGTTCCTACAAGAGAATATTTACGATTTGGTGCTATATAACAGGAATTTTTTCTGAAGTTTTTCATGTTTTAAAACAAAAACATTAGTCTCGATTGTCCAGAAAGCAGACATCTGAGTCTATAGATTCAGAATAAGACGATTCGTAACATCATTAAAATCTTTTCCCTGTCCCACGTCGTATCGTAACATTTTTTTTAAATATTAATTGGCAATCGTTACCTCTTGGAGCTTTAAGATAGTTTGCCAGGCAAGATAATATACGCCCACTGGCAGCTTTGATTTTTAACAGAAATATCTAGCAGTACAGTAACAATCACCAGTATGAAATATTCAACCTCCAGTCATACACTTCTTTTGAACTCTTTAGGGCGTTACTGAATAATATCGAGTATTGCCTTAGTCCTTGAAAACATGTTTCTGAGCTGAGTTGTAGAGTGTTTGCGAGCAATTGTGGACGGACGGACGGACGGACGGACGGACGGATATGGGTGACTGCAATATACGCCCCCCATTTCACGTGGGCGTATAAAAATGAGTCGATATTGAAACGTTCCGGATAAGTAGGGGGCATATTTCTCAAAGATTAGCTGTTTGTTTTATTTATATCCGTATACAGTAGAAGATTATTCCTACACCTTAAAAAGTTTACGTTAACTTTTTTTAGTTAATCTTTTAGATTTGTGACAAATTTCTCTAGATTTTTGTGTAAGGTTTTCACAAATTTAAGCTACTCACTAAGAACGGAACGCCTCTTTAAATAATAGCTTTGTTTGCTATGCAAGCACCAGCATTTTCCCAGACTCTTCAGAAACACTCACCACCGTGATTATGTAAGCTGGATAAATCTTTTTTTTTTAAACAAATAAACAAATGCCACTTTCTAAAACAATATATTGCTATGTGTAATTAGGGGAATTTTTTTCATGACAAAGCCAGTAACCTTCCAATTCCAACCTTCGTTAGAGCATTTACGGACCATGAAATCCGTTCTTTTATTTGCTTTTACTAACACAAACATGTATACAAATAATTTCGTTTATAAAGGAATCAACATACACAAAATAAGACACCTGTACTTGTTGGCAGTTGCAAATAAAACAACCCATTTGCGTAAATTCAAACCGCTTTGAGATTAATTTGCATTAAACAGATAGTCGTTTATACAAGAAAGAAACAACCATTTTTACAAGGATAACATTTGCAAGACAAAAACAATTTAGGTTCAAGAGTCTACCAGGTGGTCATAGATCAAATCTCTTGGCATTAATCTTTCTTGGATTATCTGTACCATTTACATCTGGGTGGACTGGAATAATTCACACTCTGAATGAAATTAGAACCAATGATCACCATTGACAAGCATATTTCTAACCGACTCTGTCACTCCGACGCGACAAAGATTTTTAAACGCGGGTCGTCTTCGAAAGTAAGGCACTTGCCTAGGCCGATCGACCGTTTTTCATTTTGAAAGGCCTATAGCTCCATATATGTGTAAAACACATATTTTATATAGCTGCTTTAGGGAAGCCATCTTTTTATGGCTGGCTGTAAGCTGTGAAAATTCTGTTGGTCTTTGGATACCAAAAATGTGGCCATAATCATTCAATTTTGTAACCCAAACCCCAATAATTTTCATGATCTTTGAATACAACTGTTAATATATATTATGGTACCCATTTTAAGATTGGGGTCCAAATTTCTCTATTGTTTGAATAACCAGTAACAAATAATCCATGAATGAATTAATACTGACTCTTAACGATCTCACTTCTTCCGCTTCGAAATGTCTACAAATAGAAATGAACGAAATTTGAAATCCGATTTAACTGCGTCTGATTGGCTACAGACGACAGCCATGCCATGGAGTATGCAATGAGGTAAATTTTACCAGGACAACGGCACTAGCTTAATGGTACACCGCTGATTTTCAAGGGGGGATTTAACGTGCACAAAATGTGGGGGACTGAGGTCATTTTTCATAATTGATTAACTAAGTATACAGTAAGAAGGAAAATGAAGAAACGACAAATAAAAATCTTACACTTTTAAAAATCTGTCATCAACAGAGACGACTCTTTTAACCCCACCTCTTTTTGGTTCCTTGTCCACACTTAAAGTACCATAAGCTATTTCTGCCTCTCTTTTAGATGAGAATGGTACATTCAGATCACTATTTTAAAGATGTGAGGAAAACAAAATGCGTCGATTCACATTCCTATTTTGAGATAGTTAATCAAAGATAAAACTTTTAAGAAGTTAGTACAAAGATCACTACCTCTAATGCCATTAATGTAAAAAAAAAAAAATGATGCCAATGTTAAAAAAAATTGATAAATATGTGTACAAAGCCAAAGGGAAACAGAATTTAATATGAACACCTTTCTTGTTACTTTAAAGGCAAAACATCAGTTGACACCAACATGCACAGTAACGTTCAGTCAGCGTGTACAGAATACTTAAAGCCCAACACAATAAAGCATTCAAAATCTGACGTTGCTAATTTTAAGAAGAAAAAAAACCCTTTTGAATGTTTGATACCTTTAAATGATTGAGTATACGTCTTTTTATAAGTCATGCACCATGGGGCTCATAGTTGGAAGTCGAAAAAGAGGCTAAAGCTAATGCCCCTTTGCTGGCAAAATTTCCCTAATTGCACCCTACGTTGCGTTGCCCGTATTCATAAGCCCACATGGTGCAGAAAAGCAGGACGTAAAACTCCATTCATTTCATTTTAAGCATTGCACACGATTAGGTTGTGTAGGAAATAAAAAAAGCATGTGGTACGAATCATCTTCGAGCGAGGTAAAGGTTTTGTTTTACTGATCCGAAATGTCTCAAATGATAAATTCTAGTATTTTTCTCTTGACGAACAGTGTTTTACAGTACACTGAGAACTACAAAACTCTAAATAAGTATTTCGAAAAGGATACACTTTATTTACATCGTTACAACCCATTCTCCTTCGTAGAAATGCTCTTTTTATGATAAAATGCAAAAACTTTCACTTTCTTTTCTTACCGGAAATAAGGTATCACGTGACACAACAATGACCTCATTTCCTGTTTGCTCGTGTGTCGCAGTCAGTGACACTTCTGAAGAAAATGTTTTAATTTTATGGCCTGAAGAAGTGACACAAACATGTAAATAGTATTGGCACATAGTTTAAAAGATAATCGGATCCATATACATTTGAGTCATAGTTGTTCAAAGGCTACACCCCATCTACAGGATGGGTTATTTATTTTCAAAATTGTGGAGTCTCTTCACAAATGAAGGTGAGATTTTGTACAACAGTTTATTGTTGTTGATAATGACATTGTCAGTGTACTGTCAGTTCTGACGTCAGTTACTCATATGGTTGATTCTTTGTCTTAATTTGCATGAATTATTTCGAAGAGAGAATATTGAGTCAAATGACATGCAATTAAAATTTTGTTTTGAATATTTGTGAATTGAGAGAAAAATTTCATAGCTCACAAGTTTTTTTGTTGAACAACCATCAACCTTACTGGTCACTGATCCAATCCCTCTGCACCTATTTCAGCACTAAAATACAAACAACATACTGGCAAAATTGTTAACAGAATACTATGTCTTAGAAGTTTAAGAATTTTTGACTTGGCCATATATCAGTTAGATGAATTATTTAAAAGGCGGTTTTCTAATTTTCTATTTGTATTGGGGACACTGACAGCATTAAGTTGCACCATTCTGATTTTTAATGAAATGTCTGTGGCTCCTTCAATTCAACTAAAAGTATGATTAATCCTAATTGAATGAGGACGTCACTAATTACAAAATAGGCTTTTTATCACATAAGATCTCTCGAGATTAGTGAAGTCATCAAACACCTTGTTTAAGTGCCAAGGTGGAATTGCAGGAAGAAAAGACTTCTTTGTGAAGTTGATGCTAACAGTGTCCCTGATACACTCTTTTAGAATCCCTTTAAACTAAAGTGAAAATGAAAAGGGATTTTATTTGTTGGAATCTTGTTTGTTTAACAGTCAGCAGTGATGCCATCTCAGAGCCTCTCTGAACCTAAACATTTTGAATGAAATATCAAACAAAGGAAAGGGTTTTTTAAAAATACAGCGCTAATATTTTTTTAATTCAGCCTCAATTCAAATTTCTTTTTCCAGTACTGCAGGGTTTTTCATTATGAAACAAACCTCTGTAGAGTCTTTGAATGGCATTTAGCAATTGTGAGTATGATATATAGGCACAGCTTTATGGAACAACAATCACTGGTTTTAAGTTTTATGCAACGTTTCGACGTGTTTCCCCCGTCGTCCTCAGGCACATAATGAGAAGAAGTGATGGGCAAACTATATATACCGGTACATTAATGCTTATTATTAAGAACACACAAGAGATAAATGGTTTATTGATACATTACATTAAATTTTAACAGGTACATAATTCTTAAAATAACATACAGGCTGATTAAGTAAAATAATTGAAATAAAGCAAATGAATTTAAAAAAGATTAATTGAAGATTAAATAAACAACTATTGCTAGTATTGGAGTCTTTTATTAATAGAAATTACATTGTTCATATAACTAACTATGGTTAAGTTGGAAATTTTTTATTAAATACATTTATGAATATGAATAATTACAAGTTGATAAGTTTATCATATCATGCGATAAACGAACACCTTCATCTCTGTTAAGGTCAGGCTGATATCTTCTGATGTGGATAGCTTCATGAAGTCTCCTGGTTTTATCTATGTGCTTATTGATTGTCAGTATGTTGGTGTTGTCAAAGTTGACTTTATGTCCTGTTTTCCTTCCCATAGCAAGATGTTCGGCCACAGCAGATGTTCCTTCATTGCCGGGCTTGTCTTGATGGTCTTTGAGTCGAACATCAAGGGGTCTCTTTGTTTCCCCTATATAAGAACTTCCACAGGAGCACTCAACTTGGTAGACACATCCCTTAGGTTTTTGGTTGTTGGAGGGATTCAATTAACCACTGGCTCTGAGCAAATCTTTAAGCGTTAAGTTGCCAGAGAACACTGTTTCAATGCTGACTGACTTTTCCAGGATCTTCTTGATTTGGTATGATACCTTTCCGATGAATGGGATAGCTAAGCTGATTAGGCTGTTGGTTGGTTGGTTTTGCCATTAATACAGATCGAAAAGCTTGATGTACAAAGGCTGCAGGGTAGTTGTTGTGCAAGCAAAATACTTTCTTGATGTGTTGTAATTCTTGTTCAAAGTATTCTGGGTCACAAATCCTTTTTGCTCTTCTGAACAGCGCTGTGATGGCTGCCCTTTTGACATGTTGAGGGGTGTTGGAATGGTAGTTCACATACTGATCTGTATGTGTAGGTTTCCTATACACGCATGTCTTCAACTGACCGCATAACCGCTTAATTCTCACATCCTCTGTAGGTACATCAACATGATATGGGGTCATTCTAAGTAGATCCCCATTTGAGAGAAAGAACAATAAGTCAATTCAATATATTTTTTTTATTATGCATCACAGTCTTTCTTGTTTCGCAAATCTGTTGAGAAATAATAATTGATATTCTGCAATTGGACAGGCCTTAATTTATTTAGAGCTCTATCCATCTCGTTCATCAAAATCACCATTATTATAAGACATTATTTAACTGTGTTATATGACATGTCATGTTAAAGATGATTGAAAAGCTAAGAAGCTAATTATAGAATATAATTTAAGTCCATACCAAAGGTTAAAGACCAGGTTATTAGGCTCATTTAATGTATTGTTATATAACTTGTGAAAATAACGACTAGAATTAAGGAAGATATATGGCTAACTATTTCTGACATAAAAACTCAATATTTCACAATGCTCATACAGACAGCGGTTCAAGAGAAATAATGTTTATTAATGTTTATAATTAATATTAATGTTAATAATGTTTATTGTGTTATCGAAATGTCAATTTTTTTTTTTGCAGGGCGTTCGTAAGCGAACGCCCTGCTTTGTTTTCGTATTTTTTTTTTTTTTTCGTCTATGGCAGGCCGGTTTTCTCGGCAACGGCAACAGGTACGGGAAAACGGACTTCATGGCGTTTTGTAACTCGTGGCTAATCACAGTTTAATTGTAAAACGAAAATTTTCTGAGCGACATTATGCAAAATTGAAACAAACGGAAAATGGACTCTAGAGGGCGTGTTTATCAACCGATTTTGATCGGGTTTTCTGCATCATATTTCTTGTAACAAAGGACAAATGATAGCAGTTGAAAATTTTCGATTTTCGAAAATTCGTTGCATACTTTTTTTGCCAAAATTCTTGAAAAATACTATTTCGGTTGTTGCCGGACGGATTGACTTGAAACTTACGTGGTGTAGACCGCCAGCATAGAGACGTAAAAGTACACATTCAAATTTTTTTGATCACTTCTGGTTTCGATGTTAGTACTTCCCGTGGTATCACTTCCGGTGGAATTGAGTTATGTCAAAAATAACATATGCATTATATTACCAGCCTTAATACAAACTTATTAAACTAAAAAAATCCGCACCGGAAGTAACATGTTGGCCGCCATTTTGGTTTGCCTCATTTTGCAGAAATTGCTATTCAGAGGCCATTTTTCATCCGATTTGCATAACATTTGTGTCAAACGATACGTTTAATGTCTATCTACAATCCTTAGGCAGCATAATTTTGATTTTCGGTTTTGCCTTTTTTGTACGACCGGATTGTTTTTTTCAAAATTTGAAGGCGTATATCTCATGACCTTGACCTTTGATGACCTTCATATTTACTGTGATGATAATTTGTGACCTTGTCTATCTGATGACCTTTTGACCTTTGGGGTCAGATACCTATTTCCGATTTTACAGGGGTCTAAATATGGACCATTTTGAGCCTTTAAAGTGCTCTATCTCGGTCCCTAATAGAGATATGGCAATAATTCTTTCGATTTTGTAATGTAGAGATTCTCAGCTTTCCATAGATATATAACATGCATACCTTACATGCAAATTCAAAACTCCATTCACTTAACATGGGGTTATTATTAGATAAATCGGCTAATTAGATTAACCTGGCTGTCAACCCCAACAGAAATCAAATTTTAAGTTGGTTTAAAGATACCCTGCCTTTTATATTTCTTAAAAATTATCTTTGTCCAGTTATGGTATAAAATTAAGCTCTCAGGTGGATTGAATCATGTCATATTTTAGTTTAAGCTCACGGCAGCATATTGAAGGTATACCTCCACTTAATTTACCAACTTTCTCATTTCTTATCCGATTTTCATCAAACTTGGTATGTATGTGTATAATTAAATTCTAAATTTGATGGAATTATCGAATTTGCGTAGTGCGCATGCGGATTGCCAACTTTCTTATTTACTATCCGATTTTCATCAAACTTGGTATGGATGTGTATAATCAAATTCTAAATTTGATAGAAATATTGAATTTGCGTAGTGCGCATGCGCATTGCCAACTTTCTTATTTACTATCCGATTTTCATCAAACTTGGTATGTATGTGTATAAACAAATTCTAAATTTGATGGAATTATCGAATTTGCGTAGTGCGCATGCGCATTGCCAACTTTCTTATTTACTATCCGATTTTCATCAAACTTGGTTCGTATGTGTATAAACAAATTCTAAATTTGATAGAAATATAGAAATTTGCGTAGTGCGCATGCGCATTGCCAACTTTCTTATTTATAACAATCGTTTTTAAAGCAAAATTGAAATTTGTGAATTTTTCAAATTTGAGTTTTTTTTTACAATATTTCTGTTTCTTTGAGCTTGGTGTGTATATATCTTATGACATATTTTATGTAGAACATTGAAACTTGGAACACAACAAGACAATTTGAATAGAAATTAACCTATGACAAAAAAGTTGAGGTGGGCGTGGCACATCCAGGTTGAATTACTAATTGTTTACATTTTGGGAAAGGGGCATAACTCGCATAGGATACATTTGTTCAAAAAGGAACTTTGCACACAATTACCTCATTATTTTGGCCAGTTTGTGTTAATAGGTCAAATGTTTCAGCTTTATTTTTCCAAAAAAGGAACAGGTTTTGAAATTTCCATATTTTCAATTTTCTATTTTGACCTTTATTGACTCTTGTTGACCTATATCTTTTGACCTGTATGATGTAGAAGCTTTAAATTTGGAACACAACATAACATTCAGAATATCAATTAACCTATTCAAAAGAAATTGAGGTGGGCCTAGCACATCCGGGTTAAATTACTCATTATTGACAATTTTGGCAAGGAACATAACTCGCAACGTATACATTTGTTCAAAATGGAACTTTGCATACAATTACTTCATCCGTTGAGCCATGTTGTCTTAGAATTTCGATTGTTTCAGCTTTATAGTTCAAAAAAAGGAACAGGTTTTGAAAATTCTAAATTTTCAATTTTTGACCTTGACCTTTTTTGTAGGATCAAAGGTCATTCACATTGGCTATCTATTTATACTTTTATATTTGCTGTCCTATCTCAACTTCCGGTTTTATAGCCATATATATTTAAAAATTTTGATGACTTGTATCTCGTAACCTTGACCTTTGTTGACCGTCTCCCTTTCAATGTCAAATGTCATTGACCTTAGCTATCTTCTGATACTTTCATTTGTGAGGTCTGTCTTTTTCCGTTATAACAATCTTCCAAAGAATTCTTCTCAACTTTAGACTGCTCTTGCACGTGATGTAATTATCGTAGAAGGTTGATTTTTTCAGAGTCTTTTGCAATTTGCTACATTTGCAAAGTCCCGCTCTGTGCCACGTGTGGCTCTAGTTCTTCTCTTTCTTCAATTAGACAAGCATAAGATACATTTATGGCCATAATCTTACTATTGATATTAATTGATTCAAGCTTTCACATGCTAATAAGGAAGCAAAATATATATGAATACTTTTTCTGACATTTATTTACTCAATATGTAACATTTATTTACTCAACCCATTGTTATTGAGTGTGTAAGAGCATGTGAAACATTGAATTAATGAATGATTTAAATCTTGAACATATATAAATAGTCTTCAGAAACACTAGAAATGTACGAAAATCGCATAATTCTTTCAAAAATATCTCAAACTAGGAATTTCCTTTCTTATTTCTATTGATATCTTATCTATAATACATGGCAGTTTCTCAAGAAACAACGATTCAAACTTTGATAATTCTGTACACACATTAATTTCAAGGCTCAAATTTCGATAGTGAGCTGTGAACACTATAACTGATTGGCTCGCCTAAAAAATTTCCATTTCTGATACTAAGGTATGATTGGTAAAAAAAATGGTGCATCTATCCCTTTAAGCTTATATCAGTTTATACATGCATATTATGTATGTATGTTTCTTTGATTTAAGATAGAATGAAAAACAAACCTCGACCAGCATGCTAGATGTAACCATTCAAATGATGTCATGTTAAATGAATTTTCCGACATGGGAATCTTATATAAATGACATTTCTCTTTATGATTTCAGAACATAAAGTAATAATAGTTGGTTTAGATAATGCTGGAAAAACTACCATATTATATCAATTGTAAGTATCTTTAATATTGTCTTTTTATGACCTTAACTCCTGGTAATATTTCTAACTGTAACCAATTTTTTATACGCCCACATCTCTCTATGTGGACGTATATTGTTGGCACCCATGTCCATCCGTCGGTCGGTCCGTCAACATTTGCTTGTAAATGCTTTAAAAGCTAGATTTTTTGATGGAATCAAATGAAGTTCGGTATGTGTATACATATTCATAAAAATAAGATCAAGTTCGAATTTGAGCTATTTTCGACTGTTAGAAGCAGAGTTATTACCCTTGCCCCAAAATCTTGAATATGCTATTATTACTCTCTTAGTTTTCAACCGATGAAACTTAAAATGGATGTTTCGTTTTACCATCCGCATGCCGCGAAGGGCGTATATGGCTGTGGTCCACTATCTTTAAAGTCTTAATTTTGTGTACCTCAACTTTAAAGTGATGCATTTATTGAAATAATTGCTTTACCATTTTCTTTTCAACACTTTTTCTGCTAAGTTTCACTTTAGTATATGTACTAAATACTTCAAATAAATATTCATACTTTCAAACATTCTAATCAACAGGCTTGCAAGTTTTTTTTTTCTCCTCTATATATAATGAGGTTCAAATTCATCGCTACCGGTACATACAAAATTATTTGAATAATATGTACTACATTTCCAAGATGGAACTTCCATGTATTATTTGAGGCATGTTTTATTATACAAAGCACTTAAATATGCTAAAAATAAGTGTTAAAGATGGAGTCTTTCATTTTTGTTTCTAATCCATTGTTTTGTGTCAAACATTTATATAAATCGATTGGCCGGTTACCCTCACGACTTCTGAGTACAAGAGTTAATCTGTGCGGTCCCTAATTAACTTGTAATTAGCTAATTACCGATGGAATCCCCCTGTTTACATTTCCAATAGTCCCAAATTCCAAATAATCTATGGATAAGCTCTTTAATCTCTTTTGGACTACTTTTAATCAAGAAAACCCATCTTTAAGTATTGTTGTACTCTTTGTGAACAGATTGATTTTTTGTACCTTTTGTATCTTTTTTTGGTCCAGTAGCGTTAGACTCAATTAAAATGATATGCAGCAGACTATAAATTTTGATAATAAACAGCAGTATAAATGTATTGAGGTTATCAAATAATTCAATCATAGTTTTTATGGTGATATTAATAGAGGTTAAGGTCAGTCATTCAAGGTCAAAGTAAAACTCATATGACCCAGTAGTTTTTTTGATATCTTGACCAAGCTTTAACCAATGATCCCAGGATGTAAACTATCTACCCCTTATTGCCACAAATACTTTAAGGGACTGTAAAGAGGTTTTATAAAGTTTCTATATGTGTATCTAGCACACTGATAGGATCAATTTGCACCATTCTAATGCTTTGGCTTTGGTTGCTGCAATTCCACTAAAGGGCAATTCCATGGTAACGGACGTACATTTCAGACAATTTTCTGTCCTTACCAGTAAAAGTTTTAGGCTGAAATGTTATTTGCAATATTTAAACAATGAATGGTTTATAACAGAGAACCATTATGCCTTTCAGTGGGTAATACTTTTTTCTGTAGCTACAAATGATTCTATTTATTTGATAATTCAAGTTTAGTAACGGACGTACAACCCAAAAGTCGTAAATTATGAAACCGTACGTTTAATACTGAAAGTCTGTGAATTATGGATTTCCAAAAAAAATCTTCAGGATATATTTCTGTATATATTGAACAGTTATTCAACAATTGGTTTAAAATCTTGATTCATACCTTATCTCAACTGTTATATCATTTATATTAAGGTAATGGACGTACATAATTTAAGGTAACGGACGTACACGTGCAAATATATATTTCAAATACAGCATCTCCCTTCTTTCTGATATACAATAGTGCTCTCTGAGTAGTATAGTGCTGAGAACACATACTTGACAGCTCTCAGAAGGTTCAATTGGCAACAAATATTAAAGCTTTATCATATTCAAAATATGGTTGAAAAGATGAGGTAAGATAGCTTGCCAAGCAAGATAATATACGTCCACTGTCAGCTTTGATTTTGAATAAAAATATTTTGCAGTACAGTAACAATCACCAGTATAAAATATTCAACCTTCAGTCATACACTTCTTTTGAACTCTTTAGGGTGACACTGAATAATATTGAGTATGAGTTATTGCCCCTGTTTTTGAAAACGTGTTCAATTTTTAGCTCATACTAAATATTTTTCGATTTTTCTGATTTTCAATAGGGTTTATTCTGAAGTGATAACAAACTCTCATGCCAAGTTTTGCTCAAAATCCGTCAAGAATTGTTTTCAAGAACAAGGGCAATAACTCATACTTAATATTTTTCGATTCTTCTGATTTTCAACAGGGTTCATCCTTGGGTGATTACGAACACTCACACCAAGTTTTGACAAAATCCGTCAAGAATTGTGTCTTTTAGAGTGTTTACAACGGACCGAGGGACATGGGTGACGGCAATATACGCCCCCCATTTCATGTAAGGAACCAATAATTAGGAGCAAAAAGACAAGTTTGAGCAGGCCTTAAGCTCAGTGTTCTGTCCCTTAGCAAGGCCTACAGGTATGATATTTACCAACACATGCCCATGTATTATATAAATGATTTTGAAAACAACACAAATGCAATAAGATTGCCTTAAATCAAGGTAACAGACGTACAAGGTAACGGACGTACATAAATTTGTAACGGACGTACATAAATTTGTAACGGACGCACAATTTGAAATAGGGCCTTAACTTTGAAATTTTAAACATTTTCAAGGCAGCTGCATTATGAGCATACTATGGGCAATTAGTTAGCTTTGATTATAGAACCCTATATTTTTACATGTGTTAATAAATGTTTGACAGTGAAAAATAGCCCCATATGGTAACGGACATACTATTTTGTACCGCTGACTTAAAAATGGTATGTTGTTAAAAAAGTTAAGCAAAGGAATTTCAATTTTTCATTCTTTAGAAGAAAAATGTTCCTTATCTTACATGTGTATCTAAACAGAACTAATTTCAATAGTGATTTGAATGGATTACAAGCCCTTTAAGATAAATAAACAAAATTGATATAATTTCATAAAATTACTGATACACAAGATATTCCTCAAAAAATTCGTCAAAATAATATTTTTCATAATAAATTTCCCAAAATAATTAAGTATAATATATTCTTATTGAAATACAATAAGTTTCTAAACTTTCTGATTTATTCTAAATTTCATAAATCAGTATCATTTACCATGGAATTGCCCTAAAACTAAATGGTTGATAATGTCACAAACTGAAAAATATGCTTTAATTTATCTCATAAAACCCTTTGCTAGGAATTCATAAGATCTCGGACAACTTGATGCATTTTTGATGAACGGTTTTTGAGTTATTGCCTTTGACTTTCTTAAAACACGTCGAAATTTGTTAAAAATAGTTTGTGAGCAGGATTGAAGTTACAGTTTTCAACCGATTCTGATGAAACTTTGTGTGATCATTGGAATTGATAAGATCTCGGACAACTTCTAACTTGACGCATTTTCAATGAAAGGTTTTTAAGTTATTGCCCTTGACTTTGTAAACACGCCTCTAAAGTTGTTTTTTGCTCTTGATTAGAGCTGTGTGATTTGTTTGTTGTATTTGGGTTATTGATATTGATTTTAGAAAATTTTGTGGAATTATTCAGCATAAATAACTGGCATATTTATATGTAATTGAATTCAAACTAATAAAATTTCTTCAATATTCGTACTTTAGTCATTAAAGACTGTTTTATCATTTCTGACAGCTGCCAGTGGGCGTATGTTACCTTGCCTGGCAAGCTATCTTTGATATTTTTACAGTTTAATGAATGAAGTTGTCCATACCTCACCGACCATAGGAAGTAATGTAGAAGAAGTCACGTGGAATAACATCCATTTTTTAATGTGGGACATCGGTGGACAGGAATCATTACGAGCTGCCTGGAACACTTATTATACCAATACAGAGGTGAGGTTCATTTATTAGTGATTTGAGGACAATCAGTTAGAGAGATGGATTTATGTCACTTGCTTGGTGGTTGTGTAACCTTGAGTAAGTCATCATTCCTCACTATCCCAAAACAGTGCTCAGTGCATCAACTGTAGATTGATATGAAAACAGAACCTTAAACATAATGTTATTCTCAAAACAGCTGACCTGTGTTATTTTGGGTTGACACTCAAATGGTGAGTTCTGAACAGGTTTCATCTGTTCCATTTCTCTGGCCTCAATCAGAAGGTGTATTATTACATTATTACATTCTGATTTTTCCCCTCTATTCCTTTAAACCATCCTTTTTTGTGCACTTGGAAGCATTCTGAATCCTTATCAAACTTGATTTATTGAACTTCTGAATGATTCCTTTAATTCGAACGTGCACCAATTGAGTGCACCCCTGAAGACAAATGATCTAAGCCTGTGACTCTACTAATTCTGTATATTAATGTTTTTATAATTGTAGTTTGTGATAGTAGTTATTGATAGTACAGACAGAGAGAGATTAAGTTTAACGAAGGAAGAACTCTGTAAAATGTTAGCTCACGAGGTAAGATACTATTGAAACTCATGTATATGGGTTTTCAAAGGTCTACACAAGGGGTTTGGCTTGGTAAAGGCCATAAATCAAGGCTGTATGTGCTACATGCTGTGCTAAAGATTCCTTGAAATTATCCCTTATTGCACACTGCTTGGCTTTCCCGCATCTTTGGTAGTGTAGGCTTTTCAGGTTTTACAAATGACGACGTTTTGGGAAAGTACTTGGTAATCTTCCAATTTCTCTAAGATCTAAGTGTCCATGTATATTTACTCTTATACTTGCTTTGTTTGAGTTATATCAAACAAACATCAAATATTTGATACACACAAGTGGGGCATAATTTGGACTAAATAAACATGGTCTGAAGTCGATGTTTGTTGAAATACATTCCATGAGAATTACCTCCCCTTTGTTATTTCTTTAATTGATTTATCTTGGAAGATATGCACCAATTATTTTCTTAGTTTAGTTTTAGGAAAACACAGACAACATTTCACCCTCTTGATGCAGAAGAACTAGATTCTTGTCATTTTCAAGAGGTGTTGTATCTCAGCCATTTATAGCTTCTTTTCGCATCATTCCAATCTTCTGCGAGATGTCTGTCATTCTTGTTATTACAGAAATGCTTAGCTGTATATAACTTCACTATCGCAAAAGCTGTTAATGATATCAAAGGGCATAATGTAATTACAAGAACCACAGAGGCTTGAATGAAAGTTGGAATGGTGCGAATGGATCAGTGTCCTTGATAAACATAAAAGTGTATGAAATCTCTTTACAATCCCTTAAAATGTAAAGCCAGTTGATATCCTTGTACAAATTATTGTATATTTTTCTTTCTTTTCTTAAAATCAACAGGACCTGAAGAAGGCAGCAGTGTTAGTGTTTGCCAATAAACAAGATATTAAAGGATGTATGTCTCCAGCTGAAATATCACAACAACTTAGTTTAACTAGTGTTAAAGACCATGTCTGGCATATACAGGCCTGTTGTGCTTTAACTGGTAAAGGGTAGGTATTACACATCAAAACAGACATAATTATATTAATTTGTTACTGTTCAATAGATATTACAGAGATTACAGTTACAATATGTAAATTTATGTTTTATTTACTTATGACTTAGGCCAGTGCTTCTATAAGAATGAGTCCTCAATAACACCCAATTTTATTGTCAATATGCAAATTTTGAGATAATCATAACAGGCACTGATAGCATTGATTTGCACCATTCCCGTTTTCAATTAGACAGCTACGATTCTTGCAATTCCACTTTAGTCTAAAAGAATAAGCATTTTTATGATGTGCAAGGTCCCTAAATATTATAAGTCAGTTATGTGATAGTGATAAAATGTCTAGTTTTAGTGGAATTTCAAAAACAAACAAACATATGCATGATAATTGCAATGGTGCAAATCAGAGCTCTCTGCATCCCTAATACACATAAAAGTTACTCAAACCCCTTTATAATACTTTTAATTCCTTATCTATCTTTTTCAGATTATATAAGGGTTTAGAATGGATAACAAGTCATTTAAAAAGGAGGTGATAGCAATTTTACTTTTAGCATTTAATTAATGACTCATACTCAAGTCTGGTCTTCATGATAACTTCCATGTCATCATAAACTGCCAAATATCAGGTGACCTTTGACCTGTGCCTCCAAATTCAGGTAGAATGTACATATATATATATGTGTGTGTGAATCGTAATGACGAAAAGTGTCGCAGACCAAAGAAACTGGATTCATAAACGATATGTAATCTCAGGACTGAGTGAAATAGGAATTCAAATAGTGAAAATATCGCAAAATACCCAAATAGTTTTGATACATGTAATGATATTTTTTACGTTAAATTTCAATAGGATATTTGGATTCGAATCTGTACAAGCATCATTCTAATTTTCAGTCTGATGTTTGTGGTTCATGTAATTATTAAAATGCATGTAATGTAATTATCACTAATAATATCCTAGAGCTTTTGTGATAGCTACATTAAAAACTCACAGTTTCAGTGGAATTGCGAGAACCATAGACATCTGACTGGAAATAGTGCAAATTAAAGTAATGAGTGTCTCTTTTTACAATTCTTTTAATTGTTTGGTTGATTCTTCATCCAATAATGCTCAGTCCTATAAGGTTTTTATGTTGTGATGGTCATTATGGGTTATCATTACGTATTCAAAGCAACATATTTTGTTCAGAATGTATGTGGATATCATGAAAAATGAAGCTTTATGATAATAAAATAGATGGGAAACATCTTGGTTGAAAGATAGCAGATGAAAAATTTCTTCTGTTTGACATTTCCCCATGACGGCAGTTTTAATTTTGATATAAATGGCCCTTAATCTAGTTCAAACTAGGTCTGATATTTGTTTGCCTCCTTTGTAATCTTACAGGTTTTCAACCACAGTCCTGTTCTAATGACGTTATGGTTGACCAATCAAAGCATGAAATGTAGGACCTGTTAATTTATAACAATGACAGTATTATGGCCCAATCCAAAGAGGGCGTCATATTGCTTGCGATGGGTTTTACTATCTATGGGTCCTACATGACAAGCTTTAGTTTGTTAAAAATAACGTCATCTGAACATGAGTGTGGTAAAAATTTTGTTAGATTATAATGGAGAGAAAAGATACCAGAAAAAAAGGAAACGAATGACCCTAACACATTGTATATAAACACATACATTTTCTTCTTTTGGCCAGATTAACTCAAGTGCCTCTCGTTCAATCCAGCTATTTTTATATGTTAGGTTAAGTAACAAGATTGTTTTATTTTTAAATGATAACACTTAGCAAATTACGTTTTATACAGTGGTTTTTCTATGAATCCATATAGACCATAAAAATAATAAGGAAACGAAATTGTAACATATTATTATGGGATTGATCAATAGGTAACTAAAGGCAAGACAGTTTTTTTGAAAATTGCTGATTACTTAACGTAGGAATTTACTTGTATTCTCTAAGGTACTTGGATCCTGGGTTTTAAGAGCTTTCCACAACCACATAAATTTATTGTTTCATTCGATTGAAGGGGGGGGGGGGGGGGAGCTCAACTCAAGCAACCCGTAACGAGATATCTGATACGAGATGGATTGTACAATGTATTTATAGAACACTGTACTGGTAATATTGTCTATGTATGTCATGTAAATATCAAAATGATAAATAAATATGTATAAATAAATAAATAAAGATATATGAACATATTTTGTTTAGTTTTATTGGACAAAGGTCGGTCAGAATAGAGCCTTTTGTTCTTTTTATGGGTGACTGGCAGCCATCCATGATCTGAGGAAATTTTAAAGCATCTCGTGTTTCGTCATATAATATTCAACCAATCAAATGCCCTGTTCAAAAAAAGATTTCCTTACATTTTTTAACAGTGTTTTTGTTTGGGTGGTATGATAATGACGAAACGAAGCAAGAAGATGGCAAACTGAAGTTCACTGAAAATCTCAGGTCAATATTGGGTGGTGAAGGTAGTTCGAGACTCTTACCAATCCCTTTAAATAATTTTGATGGTTTTAAAGCACACAAATCGTATGGAAATGAGTTCAAGTCATAACGTGATACAGCGATTTTCCTGGCTTTTTGCACGAGATTTAATTATCTCATTTACAAACGTATGCTGAAGAACTAGATTAATCACCCTTAAACCATTTAAAGTGTGAAATTGAACAAAGCCTTAAAATTTTGGTGTAATATCGAAATCTGCGGACATCTTTCGGGCTATTTCGTTTTTTTTATAAATACAATGATTAATCTGATCCGATTTTTCAATACAGAAATGAGACTATGATCTTTTAAAGTAATCTTATAAGCGGATTACAGGATCGACTATCGAGGGGCTATATTTCAATGAATAGGTGAATAATGAAACATAATCTGATTATAGAGCTTGTAATTTATCTATTTTAAAATCTATATTTAAACAATAGCATAATTAGCTGTCTCATAAGCGCGTGTCTCTAGGACGTTGATAGAAAAACCAATTCAATATGGAGTGATATTTTGACACCTTTACTTGAGATAAAGATCTTAGAAATGGATCATTTTAGCTTTTGAAGAACAGCTCATGGGTTTGGAACTGTATGTGCATTGTGGAATTTAGCAGACGTTTGTGCTTGATGAACGCGTTGATTTCAAAATGTCACGGACTATTTAGAAACACTTTTTCAGACTGGTTTTTAGAATTGTAGCTGGATTCACTAACAGTGGACGTCGATTGAAAGTTGAAAATGGAAATTTATTAGTGCAATATCACAGATCGGATCGTAAATATTGAAGTTGGGAAACGAAACAGCTTGCAGCAAATGTCCAGGATATATCGATATAAGCGAAACGGAACGTTATTTGTGGAATAATACCTAAAAATCACTAAGACATCAACTTCTATATCAATACCTTAAGGCGAAATACCTCAAATATCGATTTTTAGCAAAATACCGAAAATAAAGACCAGGGAATGCCGAAAACATAGACTAGAAAGAAGCATCGAAAATATCAACATTATAGCGAAATACCTAAAACGTTAACTAGTAAAAAAAATATCTGAAGCATCGACTTGAGCGAAACATGGAAAATTTTGACTCGGGCGAAATACCATAAATATCAACTTCATTGAAATACCCTAAGGCAGGGGTGGTTTTTTCAATATATTTTTTCTCGTGTGAACGAATAACGTTCAGAATTACCTAGGGACTAGAAAAAATTCTGTCAAAATGACGTGTTTAATTTGTATTGACTAAATATTTCAAGACAAGCTCCATTTTCATGGTATTTTTAATGAATTTTTAATTTGTGATTAGCCTTTGATAAAGAATGACAGTTCTGTGCTGTTTTCACCTAGAGAAAGACGTGGAAAACACAGTAAAACATTGGAGACGAATCTCAAGTTCTGAATAGGTAAGGTAATACGTATATTTTATTAAAGGGTTATAAAGAGGATATTTGGCCTTTTTATGTGTTTCAAATACACTAATGGCCTCTATTTTCACCATTTCAATTTTCCGTCAGTTGGTGGTAGTCGTGGTAGTTGGATTGGTTCAAATTGGATGATTCTGTGTAGGTGGTCGGGTTAATGACATGGCGGTGAGAATTTTCCGTCTGTTATCTGTTATTCAAGTATTTATAGTGCATGACGTCACTATCAAAAAGCTGATAATGATATAATTTAAGTAAGAGCCTAACTGATTGCAATTTTCAATCAGTAGTCTGTGGTTCTGGCAATTTCACTAAAATAAAGCGTTGCAGGTTAACCATTTCTATAATTACAGGAACCACTGATCCAAGTCAAACATAACACCTAAAAACACAATTTTCTTGAAAGAAAACCTTTTCGGATGGTTAGACCCCTGGTTCCTAACCTAGGGTGCTTCACTCCCTGGATGTGTTGGACTAGGGTGTTGGAGTGTAACCATTTATTTTGAGTTGAGAGAGCACCTCACATCATCACATGCTGGAAATGTGGATGAAACACATTTTTGGGGTGTGAGAGGTTCACGTGATTGCCCCAGGGATGTGAAGGCTGAAATAGGTTGGGAACCACTGGTTTAGACTGAGACCAGCGATGGGGAAATGGCGTAACTATTTTGGTTAAACTTGTACATAATACCAAATATAATTAATCTTATTAACTTATATTACGATTTAATTAACTTAGACCATTCTCGTCGAATCTTACACTCGTTCACACGTAAACTTTACCCCCCAAAGATGGATACTGTTACATTTCTAATGAATGAGGTCAAACCTCGTTTAGGGGTATCAAATTCAGCTATGAATATAGGTTATTTAAGATCAATGGTATTTTTAAGACAATTTGCATATCCCGATAGGTCGATTCCTGTTATTCCTTATACTTATTGGCTACTACATTCACTGAATAATACTGTAAACTGGTCTTTTGGAACATGTATGTATGTAAGCTTGTTACTCCATTAAACAATTGCTTTTCTACGAACCCCCTCTCCCCCACACACACACAACTAATGATTTATAATAACGTCACTCCTATAAGATCTGTTACTTATGCTAATCTGTGTTATGAAGTAAGGCGAATTATCGTTCACCGGTTAAAATTGTTGAATGTTATGACCTGAAAGTGATAAACTCAGCGAGTATTAGAAAAAGAGTTATTGTTTGTACATGTCTCATTTTATAAATCGTGTCTTCGGGCTACCAATCTAATATTGTGTGCATAGCCATTCCATTGAAATTCCAATTGACATTCCATTTGAATCTCCATTTTACATTGCTTTTGAAAGACCCTTTGAAATTCATTTGATATTCCTTTACATATTGGCATTCCATTTTGAAATTACGTTTATCACTCCATTTTAACATCCCATTTGACAATATCTCTACGTTCGATTTGAAATCCCAATTGACATACCATTTAGCATTCCATCTGTCATTCCATAACATATTCTCTTGCATTCTATTTGCCATCCGTTTCCATTTTGACATTCTATCTGACATTCCATTTTAACATTCTATTTGGCATTTCATTTGCCTTTCTATTTGACATACATGTCATTATGTAATATCCATAACTAACCTAAGCGGTTTTGGCGGCCTGTCTAAACTAAACTGACATTCCTTGACATGAACTTAAGTAGATTGAAATGCCTTTCAAGATTTTAATCAAATGTTAACACCAATTAATTCTAAAAAGTGATGCGCATAGTTGAAATTGGGTTCTATCAGCTTGCTAAACAAATACTATATCGACAGTATCCCTTTAAGTGGCCAGCCTTGCACATTAATCGTATTAACATAAACACTAAAAGTTAATGTATTAAACCCTATTGAACTTTTAATAATGCACTAACGATATTTATTGCATTTATTGTTCGCTTAATAGGGTCTATATTTATTTATGGTTACCATTTTTTAAAAATCTGAATAATCAAAGCGACGTGGCAGATTGTCCAATGGCATCATAAATGATTAATAACCTTTTCCCCCACAAGGCGATTGTTTTCTAATAAATATCAGCCATTTTGTTTTGGTCTCTTTGATCTAAGTCGGTTATCCCCAAGTCTTTTGAAGGGAGATCGTCGCTTTCCACTAATGAGATCCAACGTATGGTTCGCCATACTACATCGAACAATTGAAAAATGACGGAAGTGACGACAGTTTGATATCTCGAAAAAAATCTGTCAGTTGGTGTGGGTTGCTATAAATAGGTACGAATAATTCAGGAATGATCAATGCCAAAGACCAACCGAAAGAAAAGATCTCGAGAACCTAAATTGTTATCCTTGTAAAAAAACGTTGTTTATCTCTTTCTTGTATATGTCATGGTATAGCTATCTAGAGGGTTTTTAAAACAGGCAATGGCTTCTATCTATGGCGGTCAAATGCGACATTGCGAGTTAATGTCTATATGTTTACATTGGCCAATATACTGAACAAATATTACTCTTTAATTCGTCTTAGTGATAAATTTAGACCAAATATTGACTCTTGTTCTTTCTTTTTACAGCTAATCATAATTGGTCATATATAAACAGTTAAAAAATACAGATCTTGCCTGGATACACAGCAATTTGGTAGAGAGGTTACATCTTTTTAAACAATCGACGACGACTTGAGAACTTTTAGACTGGAACTTTAAGAAACATTAACACGACGGAAGATTGCTGTTTCAGAAACTCGCTACAGTAAACAGTAAACGTTCAGTTCGGGGACTTTAATTTATTTGAATCGTCAACAATAGCTTTGAGAACCCGTAAACTTAACGTAAAGGGACACAGCAATTTGTGAGAGAGGTACAACTTTGGACTACATCGAACGTCGGTGCTTAGGCAAAAAGGACAAAGCCATTTAAAAAAAAACTCGTTTAATAAACAGTGTGCGTTTAATTGAGGGACAAAATTTGAATCAAAGGGAAGAATGGGATATTTCTATGTGAAGAGATTTAATTTCAGTAAACCATGAACTGTAAATTTGGAATTTCAACGACTTGTCAGACAAATAACATCTTTATATCATCAACATCGCCTAGGATCTTTGGGCACTTTAAAGAACATAATTGGAGAAGCAAAGCCAGGAACATTCGTATGTGATCAAAAATTCTCGTAAGGTGAATATTGAACGTACAGTTTGGTTTAAAATAGAGACGTCTCAATTCAGTGCTGCTTACGTTAAAATTCTTATGTGGACAGACAGATAGCCCTTTTAGATCTCCTTCGATTGCGGTCAATCTAATATCTGAATGGACACACCAACATAGAAATAGACTTTCTCCAAAGAAAATTTACAATAAAGGAAATCAAATCAAATTAAACAACTTTTATTTAAGAGTTTTAGATCGGTACTTCGTTTTACATCTGAATCAAAAATTGCGGAAACCGGAAGTAATCTTCTGAAACTTATACTTGGTTACGGCAACAACAAATCACATAGCAACCGAACATTTTCAAACGAATCTCAATATACAGCAGAGCCTACACCAATTTGTTGAAATAACATAAAATATTAACCTAAATCAATACAAAAAGATCCTTGTTTGGTTTTATTGCCCATTAAAATTGTAAATGCAAGTTTGTGACGGAGTGTTATACGACGCGACAATAATATTGTGTTTGTTTAACACGGCTTATAAAGTATATCAAAAACATTCATGATTTCTCAGTGGAGTTTATTTTACATTCAATCATTCATGCCACTTACAGTTAATATTGATATCGCTTATAACCAGTGTTCGATTGCTCGCGCCTCATTGATTCCCGATAATCATATTAGGGTTGTTTATTGTGGATTAACGGCTCGTTCGATTGTGTTTCTCACCGATAATCACAAAAGACGAAAGTAAAGTCCCGTGTCAATCAGAACTCTATTGGGGCGTATTTAGTTAGCCATTGTAATCCGCCTAATTGTTCGACGATACTAACAATAGCTCTAGTTTTTTCATAATGCGAGCACATTCAACAGTCAACAAAACCCATACTAGTGGATATGAGAGTGGACCAGTCCCGACATGGATGAAAACTTTAGAAGAGAAATATAAAAGACTTCATATGAAAATAGTCTTTAATGCCAGTGCCAATCGCAGACGTTCCAGAGTGTTATCTGCTGTTTCCACCAGATCTTCACATATTAAACAAAATGTGCGTGCAACTCGAGTTCAGGAACCGAAAACGGCAGCCAGTTTATGCCAGTCAGAAATCAAGCACGGATTTATTCTAAAAGACGCATTTGAAAATGTCGAAACCGTATCTAAAACGGATGAACTGGAAACAGAAGTGAATCTTAAGGAACAGAACGATTTTGATCTGAGTGAAGAAGATTGTGATAACGATTCAGAGTCCACGTCCGAAGAGCTTGAAGAAATGAAGAACTCAGTCCGCAGAAAATCGATTCACAAAGGATCGATGATGAACGTCAATGATGTCGATGGATTACTAACAAAAATTGAAAAGAATCCCAGCCACAAGACGCGTTCCGTGTCCCTTCAGAGACAAGAACCTCTACTAATGCGTGAACCAACGCGAGACGAACTGCACAAATCCAAACTGTTTCAACGCATGTCAAAAGAAGCACAGATAGCAATAACAGAAACACGAAATGAAAAGAAACGGCAAAGTTTAAGTGTACGGCGTGAAAGTCTTTTATTAAATAACTTTACGAACAATACCAAGAATACCACATTAGATGTGAATATGCATAATGCGAATAGTACCACAAAAAGGTCGAAGAGCTGCGTCGCGGTGTATTCAATGTCGTCATCGACATCAATGTCTTCTGAGGACGAAAACCAGAAGCGAATACCGGAAGTGAACCCCAAACGACACTTACCCAAAATAATTTCTGCCAGAACTGAATCCACATTTCAAAGTGCGGGAGAGCGAAATGTTCTTCTTCCTGGAGTAGGAAGATACAAAATCCCCATTCCAGTACTACGAGAACAGACTTTTCAAGTGACTGGTGCAGAATATGACATTAGATATCGTGAAGTGATACGAACGGATAGGCGTGACTCCATGACACCACCGTCAGACATTCTAGAGCAAGCAATGTTAAAATGCCAACAATGGTTGACCAAATATGTTGTGTGTTCAACAGCAAGAAAGTGATGGACTGATATAAATGTCTAATTGTTTATAATGTATCGGACAGCTAGTCTTCAAACACAGGCCTAGCGTGCTTCATACATTGGAAGAATGGACGTCATACACAGGCCAATTGATCTCAAATAAAGACTTCGTCCAGAATTGTATCGTACCAAAATAGGTGTTTAGTAGCAATTATATGTTGGTATATGTATAACGAAAAGAGTGCATTGTGATATGGTAAAAAGCAATATGGTATAATCCCAATTAGTCGTGACCAACAGCTTTAAATGTTTATATATGCGTTCGTTCATGCTTAAAGTGGAGATTTTAAATAGTTCACGGCATCATTGTCATTGCCAAAAATGAAAAATTTAGACACGAAGTCGTGATCTATTTATTATGTGAACTTTCAGCGACGTATTCTAAACTTTATTTCAGTAAAGTATTCTCAACTTTATTACCATGCCATATTCTGAACCTTATTTCAATGAAGAATTCTGAACCTTATTTCAATGAAGTATGCTGAATCTTATTTCGATGAAGTATTCTGAACCTTATTTCAATGAGGTTATTCTGAACTTTATTTCAATGAAGTATTCTGAACTTTATTTCAATGAGGTATTCTGAACCTTATTTCAATGAGGTTATTCTCAACCTTCCTTCAATGAGGTATTCTGAACTATATTTCTGTGACGTATTCTGAACTATATTTCTGTGGCATAAGCTAAACTTTTCATTTCTATAGCTTTGCAATAGTGACATCTATTTCACTGCTGACGTACTCTGATTTTTAGTGACGTAAAGTTAACCTTATTAAGGTCAGTTAAGTAGCCCAATACTTTATTATGTGAATTTTACTTGAGTAAGGACACACGCATACTTGAACACTATTATTTTAAAGTATTTGAGTTGTTATAATCAAAATCCTTCGTGCTTTATTTTGTTAAATCGCAATAAATAAGATCTATTTTGTTTGTGAGTGTTGTATTTAGCTTGATTAGGGTTAAGAGCGCACCCACACCCCTTTAAAGGTATTGTAGAAAGTTTTACTAAACTTTTTATGTGTATCGCGGACACCGATAGAATCGATTTGCTCCATATCAATTTTCAGTCAGACGTTTGTAGATCTTGCAATTCCTTTAAAACAAAGCGTTTTATGATCGCAAAGGGATATACTTTTAGCAGCCCAATCGATAGTGACGACAAAAAGCGCTTTTCCATCACTGACCTGAGGTAACCAGGATTGAGCCCCCGAGCAAACATCCACCTCTCTGAATCACTACAACTTCCTCGAAATTCAGAAAGATGCCTTTACACAAGTATATTGTGGTAAGCCTATGAAATTAATGAAACATTTTTATGCATCTTAAATTTTTTAATTCTCATCTTCACCATTTCTCTCATTTACTTTCCTGCTAAGTCACTGACGACTCTGAAAAAACCAAAGTTCATGGCATGTATATCAAAATGCCTGTAAGTTTCGTCAGAAATGACGTCCCGCCCCGTAAGTATGAAGGCAGTATGGAAGGGTATGTGTGCCAAAAATACAATGCCAATTAATAAAAATACTCTTCAGTAGTAGAACGTTCAAAATAGTCGCTAAATATGACATTTACATCCTGTACCATTTGAAAGTGACTGGAAACATTTTGTCGACATGATGAAAGTATTTTGCTCTTAAAAAAGCAAAACAAATTTCCTCTGCCCTTCCATATTATTCAGGCTTCATACGCCCATTGAAATACACATACATAAATATGTATTAGACAAGCACCCAGGGGAAAGCCTTAAATTGTAGCACCGTCGCTTATATTGTCGAGAACTTTAAAGGACGCCATTTGCTTGGTTGCGTTCATAGTAGTAGTTCTTTTTATACAACTCTATAGTTACGTTCAACCAATGGTGGTCATGGGTTCTAATATCGGTCGGTGGTGACCTATAATAACTCAATTTTCCCAAATAATATGTCAACCCATCTCTAAATGGGTAAGGTTAATCTTGGTAAGATCGAGGCCAAGAGCTTTGTTCAAGGATTATTTGGAGAAAGGATTGTCGTTCACATAAAGTTGTTTCCCTTGTAAAAAAAAACCGTTGTGTGGAATAATAATTTCCAAACTTACTCTGAACAAACAGGAGCGCATAAGAAGAAACCCTCGGGAAAAGCTGCATCACAGGCTGCGTTACAAGCAACAATACTGGCACCGGCTGTAAGTGTGCTCTTCAGATAATGATAGACTTTTTGTCTAGAGGGAACTAAAGAGATAAGGAACATTATACATGAAATACAAATGATATTTTACGTCCTACTTTTCTGTTCCTGATTGGTCAAATGAAACGGGCAACGTTATATCCAATTTTGCCAGAAAAACCCAATTAGACTACTCTAATTTCCAATTGTGTTGATGTAATAAACGTACCACTCATTCAACACAATATTCTTTTTGTGTGTATCGGATGGGGTCTTATAAAAGTTCTCTATAGAGCATTGAAAATGAGGATTTTTATAGCTCATTGAACATGATTTTCTATGCCACTCACTGAACACGGTGTTCTTTATGGCATTAAACACGATGTTCTCTATAACTCGTACAACACGATGTTCTTTCAGATATATTGATTACGATATTCATTACCACTCAATGAACATAATGTTCCGTATAGCTTATTGAAAATAATGTTCATATTAGCTTATTAAACATCACGGCGGTCTCTATAGATCATTATAAAACACGCTATTCCTTACTAATGAATAGGATTTTCGAAGACGAATGTGAAAAATGGCCTACTGTGTATGAAACGTTCATCTCTTGGCATGGCAACAGCTACAGCAACACAGAGAGCAATCAGTATTCCCAATTTCATGATGACAGCTGAAATAAAATATTCATAACCTAAAATAGCACATTCCGAAGTTTTCCCTTACTCTTGATAATCCCAATCGCAGAGCAAAGCATCGGTTTAAATTCACAATAGGATAAGTTAAAAACCCAAGTACTAACAACTCGATCCACAAAACGAAACCCAAAATCCAAACTAAGCGTGTTGCGATACATTATTAGAAGCAAGAGAACTATTCGTATAAGGAAGAGCAATAATGAAATATTTTCAATGTTAAAATAGTGCTCAATACAACAATTGTAGAGAAATGGAAATATTAAAAAATAACCTAAAAAAACATGTTGTTACCCCGAGTAACATATGGGGAAGTACATCAATCATAAATGAGGAAGTATTTCATAATAAAAAGTGGTATCAGGTGTTTGAATTATGTGCATGTCAGCAATATAGGATAGGATAGGAAAGATATAAGATCGTTTTAATGAATAAGAAACACATTTGACTTACTGTTCCCTTGGAAGATGACTGTATATCTCACAATCGAAGAATACTTCTTAAATCGTGGCAATGTCAGCACTCCTTTATAGTAGAGAACTTCATGACAAATTAAGGGAATTGCTTGTGGTAAAAGTATTCCATTTCAAGTACAATAGGGGCATTTGGAATTGACTATAATATGGTAAATAAAACAGTAATAGCATAATAATGTTGATTCATATAATGCTATGAGTTGACCAACTGAGTCACAAAGTTAACAAGTTTACGTCCGTTACTAAATCTGATATCGCAGCCTACGCCGAAATAGAGATAGAGGTAATACAAATTTTCATGACGTCACGTGATTTTCAAAATGTCCAATCAACACGCTTCTACCCTATGTTTTGTTTTGTAAATGATAAAACATACACGGAACTCTCGTTTAAGAAGGTCGTTTCCGTCGCCTCATAAGTCTTTGAGCTCTGATTTAGATCTAAATCAAAGCTTTCAGATCTGCAAGAAAGGGGCTAGCTCGCTGACCGGTTCCATGGGCTGCGAAAAGCAAAATACAATATTTTGTATCAAACAATAAACCGAACAAACCCCAAAGCATTGTTCATCGTGAGTGTAAAATCTAGATCTAAATTACTGGAAAGTATTCCTTAAAAAAACAGATAAGATAAGGCAAAGACGTCACCTGTCATGCCTCCGAACTCTCTATTCTATTTATTTTTCCTTTAATCTCTTTAAAAACATGTCTTTATTTTACATAAAAGCCTGACCAGAACTTCGTATGCCCTATCTGATCAAAAATTCAATATACCATGACCATGACAAGTTTAAGTGTGACAAATCGAAAGTAGACCAGAACAGAATATTTAAACGTCTGCATGCACGGGAAACTATTCACATTTACTCTTCCGCATAGAAATATCTTCATATTTCCCAACAAGAAATGATAATTTCAGACATCAAATTCAAAATCTAGACCAAAAAGAGGCATGAAAAACAGACAACGAACACGAAGAGGCTTCTACATTAATGTAGAACTACTTTGTGGTCTAATTCCTATATAATATCGGGAAAATGGCTGCCAGTAAATACCGCGATATTTTGCAGAATGCCAGCGGAACTTTCAGAGCAGTCCACTTTATTGTAAGGTAAGCAGATGTGAGCACAATATTGTATACACATAAACCATGGTCGAATGTGCAATAAAAATACTCCAAAAGGTTTTCTAAAAAAAAATTATGTGTATAAGAGACGCTGATTGATGATTGAATTTGCATTTGCATCATTTCAATCAGACATCTGTGGTTCCTGCAATTCCACGAAAACTTCGTGTTTCATGACGTCACTAATCGCGAAGGGCCTTCTGAGATAAAACATATTTTGCAATTAGTGACGTCATAAAGGGTCCCCGATACACAATTTCTTTTGCAAATATCTTTTCAATCCCTTTAAGTTATTTATCATATATACTGATAATAGTACATGTTTACAGTATGGTGTAAATTTTACACCATATAACTTGAATCACACATCAACATTTACATTAAAATAAAACCGTCTGCTGTCATATAATCCATCTACAACATACAGTGGTGTAACCTATTTTCGTGGATATAAGGATTCAACACCGAATTTCGTCAAAGTTAAAAAAAACGAAATTTTTTTTTTATGTCTTAGATGTTTCCTCAGATATTCTACAAAATAATTAGAATTGGTTTGTTTCGATTTTCTTTATGAATTCTTCACTTTGACCCATATTTCATGAGCATCCAACTCGGCAACGGCGGCAGAATGCGTCACCTATTTTCGTGTACAATGTTTGAACTATAAATAAGTCTAGAAAAACACGTTGTATGGATACCGGGTGATATAATTAACTTCTCTTAGTATTTATCTTTAATATCAATTCATTATAACTAGTGACAATTCCTTCAAAGAACCACGATTAAAAAAAAATTGACTGACAAAATAAGATACGTAGCGTGATTTATTGCTAAAAGTCACTGAAACAACATAAGAATATGGTCCACTTCGTGTTCCATAGAAATTTTCTGCTTACACGGAATCCACCACTTGATCACGTGACTTCATTCGTTGGACTACATTCTAGCAGACGACACTTGAAATTCCGATTACGGCTAGGGATTATAAGGAAATTCGGCCGATAAAAAATGGTGACGTTTGGTAATAACTGAAATCCGCCATTTTGTATTTGTCAAGTATACATTAATACATTTTACCTTGCTTGCAACTACTGGATTCATTCTACTAACTGATATTGTAGAGAAAACCCATGTTTATTAAAACAAACTAATGCGGAGGTCGCGCAAGGTCGCTCATGTAAATTATTAATCCTTTCCGGAAATCCACGAAAAATAGGTTTCCACGAAATTAGGTTACTCGACGGTATCTTAATTCTATACTGTATTTCACTCTAGTAGATACACCTTGGATAAGAGAGTGAGATACTAAACATTCATGATTTCACCTTATTTTCAAACCAACACCATAGCCGTTTTTATGTTTTGTTTTGTAAATTTTTAAACCATACATAAATGCCCATGATGCACTCGTCTGGCACTAGTAAAATTTAACAGGACTTCAAACCATTCCTTCGGTGCGAAGCTTTAGATGTAATGACGATCCAGGTTACTTTAAATACATTAAAGGGACAGATGCGCCAATTTGAGTTGATTAGAGTCTTGAATGTGTGTCCAGAAGTACTAGAAATGTACGAAAATAGCAAAATTCCTTCAAAAATATCTCTAACTAGGAAATTCTTTTCCTATTTCTACAGATGTCTTTTCTGTAGGCTATATTGTAGTGTCTCAAGAAAAGACGATAATTCTGGACGTTCTCAAATTTCGACGGTGAACACTATTACTGATCGGCTTAACTAGAAAATTCCGAGGTATGATCGGTCAAAAAATGGTGCACATGTTATAAAACAAAGTCTAAATCACGTAGACCAGAGGCAGACCGAGAGACCGCGGGATTTTATTTCGTACAAGTTGTCTGTGTTGCGATGAGGAAACACAATAGGGGCCAGAAGAATCCCCTATCCTACGAACCACAGATGATGATAGTTGTGAAATTATGCCATTTCATATCCGGTTAGCATTAAAAATAATAGGATTTTATCGGTAACATTCTCGACCATTTACGACCCAGTATAAAAGTTGAACGTCATTGTGTATCCTTCCTTCCATTTGAATTCATAATCTACAATATAACGGAAAGATAGTCACTCTGTTGTTAATCGTGAAGGTTGTGAATCCTTGTCATTTCTTGTTGATGGTCAGGCTAGAAAATACCTGGGTGGGGAAAATGGCAAATCTGAGAGGTGTCTCTCCGAGGCGAGGCCTTGGGGCTGCCAGGGACACCCAGACGTCAACGGCTTTCGTATGGCCCGATGGCTGCATAATGGTCCAATCACATTAAGTCACATTCACGTCTGATGAGTCAAGAACACGTGAGTCAAGAAAACTCATCGAATGACGGATAAAAAAAGTCTGAATTAAGGTCGTAGAATATCTGATCGGAACAAACGGACTATTGTGAAAGTTCCGATAGCACTCTGCACCATATCATGATATTTAAAGGCAGCCATTGCGTGTCGGTACTATGTCCAGATTGCCATGTGATCACGTGATTCTGGTAGTTCAAACAACAAAGAAAAAAACCAATAAAAACAAAAAGTTCTTAGGATATGGAATGAAAATGATAATAAAAATGCATAATTAGTAATTTTTCTCAAAGCTATTGGCTTTATTCAGTTAGCATTGTAGCATTGTAGAATGCCGGAAGTAAAGAGACGTGCCCAAATATACACCATTCAGCTTTACGGAAACTGCCGAGGATTGTCGACTGGTCTAGGAAGTGAAGTGATATCTGGCTAGCTTGTTTATCTATGTATATAATACATCAAGTCATATAAACATAACGCTCTATAAGTTAATATTTCCGTTTAAATTTCAAATATTTCAGTCATGCCTTCACGAGTCGTTTAAGAACCAGTCTATATATTCATATAGTCTTTGTCGTGTATGAATTGGGGCAGAATGTTGTGATACATTGGGGCGTTTATTCAATATTGTGATACCGTGATTGGCTAAGGGCAGTTTATTCAAATATTGTGATATCGTGATTAGTGATGGATTGTTTTTTCGATATTGTGATATTCTGATCAACTAGCTTATTCAATAATGTGATATCTTGACCCACTGGCTTATTCAATAATGTGATATGGTGATTGACCAAAGGATCATTGATTCAAAATTGTGATATCAAGAACATTGATACAGATATTGTGATGTTGTAATGAATACATGATAATATGTCATTCAGATATCAATATATTCATGAATTTATTTGTATAAGTTTGTTTTAGAAAACGATACAGATTGGCTGTAACATTCTTTTTCAACTGGCTTGGCTATTTCATTGTTACACTATATAGCTACTTAGCCTAGTTCCCTAGTTGACTAACTGAATCGCAGAGTGGTATCTCTCTAATAGTGAACCATAGTATAATACTCAAACGAAACCAGATATGACTTTCTAGATTGTATATGTAACGCGACACAAAACCGGAAACTCATAACAAAACTTGGTGTATATTTTCCTCGATTTCAAGATTATTGGGTGAATACTTCTATCATAATAAGTTATAATATACATGTAAGTTTTTATAAAATATAAGTGTATATCAGATACATAATTCGTTTTAAAAATGTAAGAACCTCAGAATTTTTCTGTAGAAATACAGTGGCTTTCTTTCAGTTGAATCACTCGGTCAATCCTATATTAATCTAGGCGTGAACATACAAGTCAAGTTTCTATCAAAATCTTATACTATCCTATTGCTAGGAAAAATCACATCTAAGTGTAATAAAAGTGTAAAAGTATTTTAGTTATAGTAAAAGTGTTTTCAAATAAAGTGCAATGACACGTTCGTTGGAAAAAATTGCTCTGCGATAAAGAGTAAAAGGACTTTAGATATTATAAAAAAGACCAACAGTATTTTAAAAAAAAATTACAGGGACACAAAAGTGTTGTAAACTGTCATAAAATAAGTGCATTCAACATTGATAATATTGCGTTATTCAAGGAGAAGCATACAAGTGCATATCGTGGAATTTAAGTGCGTTTTATAAAAATAATGGGGAAGTATGATATAGTGTTCGTGTTGTTATTGCTAAACATTAATCATACACTATGTTATAACGTAGATATCAACAATACAGTCATATTTCAAGGAGGTGGAAATGACACACAATTTGGTTATACTTCAGCATTCGTCATTGATAGCAACTCCATTACGTAAGATATCAATAGTTTGTAATTTATAGAGAGCTTTATGATAAGTTAGAACACTAATTCTTGATAAAATAGCTTTTAATGGACAATCAACTTCGTTTAACCAGGCCCGTAGTTATCCCAAGCTAAACAGTTACAGACAGTCTACACCTTCTAAAATCACTTTCCTGCATGAAAGACCCCCCTCCCCCACACCCCACTCCCCAACCAAAAAATACATAAAAAGAGCGAAGTATTAGACTTTCCCCATCAAGTTTATGAGTCATTTCTCTACAGACTATTCTCAGATTATTTTTTTCTCCAATCGACCCAGCTGTAAAAGGTTATTGATACTCCTGGAAAGATTAATCTTAAGAGATTCTGTTAAAGTGCAGCTGGTACAAAGGATCGACGTGAAACTATGTCGTTATCTTTGTTATAAAAATGCTTTATTCGTTCTTTTTTCAGATTGATAATAGGTTCACCAAATGATAGCTCCAGTTCAGCTAATACTGGTGCGATATATTTCTGTGATGTCAATGATCAAAATTCATGTAGAAAATCTTATTCCTCTCCTTACAGTAAGTAAATCCTGCATGTCTATCTATTTGACACGAGCTAATCTTGAAAATATACCGTCTAATACCTTGACATAATTAGGCACTTTTTTGTATCACAAAACAACAAATGCAATAATTGGATTGGATTGTACACCAGCTAAGACAGTATATCAGAGCCGAACTTTTCAGTCTCAGAGTTAGATTAACGCTTTTATTGCATTTTCTTTTAAAGATTTAATACAAGATCCTGTAACCAAAACCTATTCTACGACAAATGAAGGCTTTGGCACCTCAATTATTCCATTTTCATCATCAACAATAATGGTAAATAGTTAAAACTTTTAGCGACCATGCAGTGTATACGTTATTTGCAATTAAGTTACAATTAAAATTCTTTGGGCAGAATTGGGTCTTCGTTTTTAAAGTGTCCCAGTGGCCGCTTTTACGCTATGACAGGGATTAGTTTGTTTGTTTCTGATTTGTAAAAGAAACCCGCCCCTGATATCCAGAAAATTCGAGAAACTAGGATACTTAAACTTACCAACTGGCATCCGCCAGTTTCAGCCCTGAAGATGCAACGACAACAAATCAATTTGTTAGGATGGGAAAAAAAGACTAGACCGCGTGTAGTACGGGTCGTGCATGTTTAACATCCCACAACAGTTGAAAATCGAGAAAGAGTAAGTTGCTACAGCGGACAAAACTTCCATATTGTGCGCTGCATAGCGTTTCCCGCCTGTCAAAATCCTCAACAGATGGAAATCGATAAAGAGCATGAAAGTTCCCTTGTTGCACACGGCATAAGTAGAAAGGTAATGGGAGTAAAACTCTTTTTATTTCATTTTTCTCATTGAGAATTACATTTTCAGGTCTGTGCGCCTGGTTGGAAGGATCTACAGATTACTGACAGGGTTTTTGTTATTGGTAGATGTATACTTGTCAATATGACGTCAGATACACCTGGAATCAAAACCTCACCTTCAGTTGCAAGTGGAGACTTAATCCAGGTATGCCCAATTAAAAAAAAAAAGAGAAAACATTTCTGTATGGATAACTTTGACTCGCAAGGACTCTTTCTACCAGCTGCTCCCTGGCTAAATCTCTCTTGGTGTAGATTATCCGTGTGCCCGTTTAGATTTAAAGGGTTTGTAAAGAAAATTTCTGAAAGTTATGTGTATCGGGGACACTGATAGTTGCACCATTCCAATTTTCGATCAGACGTTTGTGGTTCCTTCAATTCCACTAAAACTAAGCGTTTGATGTTTTTAATCGAGAAGGTTCTTATATGTGATACAAGAAAATAGAAATGCTGTTAGTGTAACACCATATTTTCATATGCGAATATCCTCAATTTCTGTTCTTTATTACAGGATCGGTATTTTAAATATGCTATGCTCCAAGTAGGATTTTCTGCTGCTAAAATAACGGTATGTATGGCTTTATCAATTCACTACAAATTTCAGTACAAAAAAAATACATACAAACAGCAGTCATATAGCAATGGCCGTAAAAAAGGGAATAAGGCAGCAACCGTAATAAAAAAAAAGAATTTTCAACCCTGTAAATCACATTTTTTCTGACTTTAAAATACTCACAAAAGAGTAAATAAAATTTCATTTCACAGAGATTGAAATAATACAGATCACTCATTTTGAAACCAATTGTGTTCGGAAAATAACATGAAAGAAAGTACTAAACGGTCATCTTAATTCATAGCGTATCGTTTTATAATATTCATACATGAATTATGTTATACTTATCATGTATCATTTATAATACACATATCATGTTACACATCATATCATAGTATATCATAGTATATCACATCATATCATATCATAAAATGTCATATCAGAATATACAAACAAAGCAGTCTAAATAAAATTAAACCGAAGTATCGTTCGTATTTTTTTAGTTTCGTTTCAAATGTTTTATTAGTTATTAGCTTTGTAAGTAACCACTACAGCAATGTCTAACACTGTCCATCTTGTCTTTTCATTCTGTTACCTTTACTTTTATTTACCTTTACCTCTATTTTAACCAGTGACGAGAACAATTCCGAGCCATATTAGACTAGCGGACTGCAAAATAATTAAAAAAAAAATCATGCCTTATCGTATATCTCTAATTACAGGACATCAGCTTTGTGATGGGAACGCCTGGTATGAACGAATGGACTGGTTGGTAGTCATATTTTAATATTTTTCAAATGATATGATTCTGTGGATTTTCGTACTGTTGTCATAAAATGTTCTAACCAGTCATACACATTAAAAGTAAAAAGATAAAATAAGACAACGTTCGCATGAACATCCCATAATTCTCCACATTTACACGTAGTAAGGAAATTTAGAGGAGACCATTTGATTGGTTGAATATTAAATGGCCCAGAAAAGCAGAGCATAACACATTCGTCAGATCATTCTGCAATTCACAGATGAAGAAAAAAACACAGCAAAAAATCCATAATTTTCCAAATTCATATTGGCTCATATATAATTATTGTATTCATTTCTAGGAGGATTTCTTGTGAACAAATTAAACCGTATAAACAATTTTCTGGAAATTCCTAATACAGGTTTTCCTACCCTTTCCTCTCAACCCCGAGAGCAAAATCATATGTTGTTAGGTAAGTCAAATTGAAATATTGTTCATATTTGCTTTGCTGTATACTGGTATTTCCAAATATAACAAATTAAACATAAATCAAAAAATATGAAACATCAATCGAATTCTCTTGGCAGAATTCCCCTTATTGCCTATTTCATGGATTTACAATCAGGTGTTGAAATATAGGATGCATGTTTATTTCAATTACAGGATATGCAGTGGCTAGTGGTAAATTTTGTGATGGTGAAAGAGTATGTTTTGTTGCTGGCGCCCCTCGTTACGATAATAGTGGAAAGGTTCGCTAATTTCAGCTTTTGTTCTTTATTTAATACTTTCATTGCGTGGTAATAATACAATATATAAGACGATAGTATTCTCAGTTTAAAATCTATATTTTTGAAATTTGTGTGTACCCAGGAACACTATCTAAATCCATCGATTGAAATAATGAATAAGATAGGGAAAAGAGGTTAGCCTTGCTGGACACCGGGATTATAATTAGCCACATCTCTGGCACAAGCACTTTGAGTTGCATTACAATTACATGATATATGAACTTTCTGAAAGTGATGCTGAGCTGATAAAACCCAGTGGCCCATTTTCAGGTGTTCTGAAACAGCTAGCAACCACCAACAGTGTCTTAATAGAGCTCAAATTTGGAAAGATAAATGTAGTGGCACAGCAATGTTACTGCACACCTAATTATTGGCTTTAATAATTTTTCAAATTTCATAGGCCACGATTATACATGTATATTGGACAACTCACATAAAAGTCAGATTGTTGATTTGATTATTTTAGGTATATGTATATGAACAATTGGGATCTACATTTGACAAGCAAATAGTAGCATTAGATGGTCTGACTGCTCCTGATGATATGGTAAGTACAAATAGGTGAAGACCGGCACTCGGTCAAACCACTAAAATTTAGATTACAATTGAGACCAAAATATAATAATAACGAAACGAAATTATAATCTTATTTTAATTAGATTATAGCCACTACGTAGAATTCCGACACATATGCTAAAGTGTCGGAAATTTTTCATCTATTGATAATGGTAGTAGATCTAGCACTTGAACAAGAAAATGAGAACAGTTCAAGTCATTCATATTCTACTGATGATAACGTCACTATCGCAAAAACCATCTGCTGTAATGGAATAATTGACTTACGCATTCTGAGATTAATTATTCCAGGACGTTTGATTAATTTTGAATTCCAGAAACCACGATTTTTCACATGGAAACTAACACCTACTTTATAAACAATGGTTAATGCTTCAATAACATGTTTGGATTTGGAAGAGGGTTAACCTTTGGCCCATTTAACGGGGACCAGGGACGGACCAGGCTTGCTCACTTTGACAGTTCCATGGGACCTACTTGGTCTGATGGTCTCATCAACTTATGATTCACAGAAATGCACTGGGGCTAACTTACCAATACTAGGACTTGAAACCCATGTCTAATTGACTGGCTCATCTTATGCTTCCGACAAATGTTTCAAAGACAAAAGACCATCGTCGAAAAGACGAATTATTACGGATATAAAAAAGTAATTATTATCAATGATCAAGTATGTAATGGTTAAATTTCTCTCGACATCTGACTTGAAAATTAAGGTTAACATTCCAATATTCTAACTTAAATCATTAATATTTCCTTTTATTTATACAGTTTGGCTCGTATTTTGGTTCAGTGGTGGCTGCAGCCGATTTGAATGGAGACGGATGGGATGACATATTAGTGGGTGCGCCTACTTACACTGATGCATCCAAATATAGAAAAGAGGATATTTTCTCCAACGAAGGGCGTGTTCTGGTTTTCTACAGTTTAGGAAATGCTCAAATATTAAAGGTAAGGCAAGAGCTTTAATTGAATAAAAAAAAAACTTCACAGAACTCCACTTGGCTGTTAAAATAGAATTGAGCTCTGATCGAGTTACCTCCCTTATGTATTTCGTTGAACGAATGGTGTGAATGGTCCTTCTTAGAATTGGCTAAATTGTTATAAAATCAAAATAATCATTTTTCGTTTCACAGATAAACTTTAATCGTAATTCTGCCATATTGTCTGGGACGAACACACCATTTTCAAGATTTGGATCCTCTATAAGTAATCTAGGCGATATAAATGCGGACAGTTTTGACGGTAAGTCTCCATGGGGTGGGATAGAAGTACAAACAAACAAAACAGCCGAAAGCATGTAATAATAAATATTCACAGTTGTTCACAAATGTAAAATCACCAAATTGTTAGCATTTACGGTGATTACTCATCACAAACGATGACAACTTTTTGCTCTTAAAGCCAGAATTCGACTGAACGTAAGTAAAAGGAGGATATTTCCAGATCATGGATTGGTTGTGTATTAAACCCCAGACTAGACATAATATTTTGATGTGCATTTTAATCAGTTTCCTTTTCATCTCAAATGTGGTAAGAGAATTATGGTAGTAAACCTGAATTAGTTTCGACAAAAGAGTTAAAAATAGCCACTTTGCTTGTAGACATAGCAGTTGGTGCTCCGAATGAAGATGATGATAGAGGGGTCGTGTATATTTATCACGGAGGTAATGGCGGTATCAACAAAGATTTCACTCAGAGAATCACAGCTCAAACTATCAGAGATGACCTTCGTGGATTCGGGTCACATATTTCAAGGCCAATGGACGTTAACGACGATAGTTATCCAGGTAAGGTTCTTAAACAAATAGAACGTGGTGACGCTTGCCTTACCTTTGATACTTGAGCATTTCCTAAACTGTAGAAAACCACACCCTTCGTTGGAGAAAATATCGTCTTTTCTATATTTGGATGTATCTGTGTATTAAGTTAAACTTGTTAAGTTAAACCATTCAAACCAACAAAGAAAGTATTCTACAGTACTGATTCGAGCTTTTTTGTAGATTTATCAGTTGGCAGCGTGTATTCAGGAAATGTGGTGGTTTTAAAAACTCGACCTATCGTTGACATTCGGGTTAGTCTGGAATTTGAAGAGGAACGGATCAACTTAATACCAAGGAATTGTCCATCGGTGACTGGTATAGAAAGTTGCATCAGGTTTAAAGTGTGCTTCACTCATGGTGGTCGGAATGTTCCTATGACTATTGGTTTGTTTGTTTTTTTTTTAATCTAAACTCTTTTAATTGGGCTGTTTGGTAGATGACAAGTTAACGTCTGCTTCCACTCTATTTTAAGAAAATAATTAAAGCTAGGTGGGTGGTTTTTCTTTCAACGAATACTTCGTTTGCTAGTAGTAAATATGGCGGTCCAATGGCGGATATATATTTTTTTTTAGAAAAAAATGCCCTGAATGGATCTTCTGATTGCCTGTTCTAGATTTCTGTACGACAGTAGCGATTCGTAAAATATAAAACCGGTCGACTCAGCTGTAAATGGGTTCAAAGAATCCAAAAATGGTCAATACCAAGAGCTTAGACCAATGAACAGCTGATAGACAGGATTCTCGTGAACTACAGTTGTGTATTTGTTTATTTGTCTCTTTCTTTTTCATTTAAACCCCACCTGCAGTTGAAAATGTAATCCAAAAAGGTTATTTCTTATTGCAAATTGTCTGATAAGATGTAGAATAACTTGACTTAATATAAAACTCCGATTCATTTCAGATGTGTCATACAATGTGTCTGTGGATGTCAAGGCAATAAGAGAAAGAGCTCGTTTAGAGAAACCTATTAGAGAACCAGTGAATTTAATCAAAGCAGCTACATCCTGTACACAACATACTATTGTTACTTACGAGGTAAATAACCAACTTCGTTTACAGCGTACTTTTATATCCCTCGATATGATTTGTTTGGACAACAAATCCCTATACAATAACATGAACCCTTTAAACCTAACATGAACTTATAACATACTAAACATGAACCTAATGAAAGCTTACAGTAACCTAATGGGAAGTCCTACATCATGACAATAAAAGTAGATCTAGCACTTGAACAAAAGAAAATTTTCTACTGTTGATGACGTAACTACAGCAAAAACCATCTGTTGTAATGGAACTACTGATTACGCATTCCGAGATTCATTATTCCAGGATCGTTGATTAATTTTGAATTGCAGACACCACGAATAGCTGACCCGTTCTCCGCTGTACAAGTCAAGCTAGAGTATAAAATGATAGAGCCTACAACCAAACCAGGCGACATACAACCAATTGCTAACCAAAGTCGCACAAACTCCATCGTCAAAGATGTAAGCTAAATTTGATTTTTTTCCCACCGACCAACGTCGTGTTACTCTGAGGTTCTGGAAAATTCAATTAAACTAAAATCAGAATTTCGTTTCTTTTGTTATTTAAAACCAATTAAAATGTGGCATCCATTATTTTATTAACAAAGGAATTTGGTTTTAATGGACATGCCCTCACTCACGTTTTTTCAGCCACAAGAGTAACTTTTAACAATTTGAAAATATTTATTGTCATTGGCTTGTGTCCACAAACTCTTTGTTGAACGCTTTCACACCCTTAGATAATGTGCATTTTTAATATGAAAAGAAACCTACCTTCATTTGATTTTCCAATTTTTTGCTTTGTTTACAGATTTACTTTCAACTGCAATGTGGTACCGATAATTTATGTGAAGTTGACTTGAAACTAAGTAGCGACATTTCCCGAGCTCCTATTGCAGAATATATCATTGTCAACAAAACAGACCATGTTCTATTGAACACTTCTGTCAGAAATCTAGAAGAAGAGTCGTTTGGAAGTAAGGTTCTGATAACGTGGAATGACGAATTCGTGTACAGGAGAGTTATTTCCCCTGATGATCAACCGGTGACATGCGACATTCAAACCGAGAGGCTGAATTCCACGGAACCAAATCTTATTTGCCGGATAATCGAACCGCTTAAACAAGGACAGGAGGCAAAGTTTTCCGTGGTTTTAGAAACAGATATGTTAAGTTTGACGAAGCCCAACATGCATTTTAATCTGAGCACTGACTCTAGCAGTGAGGATATCAACTCTAAAAATAACCAGGAACAGATATCATCTAAAATATGGATCATTGCTCATCCAGAAATAACAGGGTAAGTTTGATTTGATTGATTTTGTGATAGGCAATATGGTCGACTATCGCATGCATTTGTCGTGGCATCAGAATTTTTCTAACCCATGACACCATATCGTCTCCGCTCTTTCAGCTGGTTAAGCAATTATTTAGATGGCTATATCCTTGAAAATTTGTGGTTGGTATGATTTTAATCAATAAGATTACTTGGACAAATTTTATATACGATATACGATTATTGGCAATTATAAGTCTTACATCCTTGTTTTGTGCACATATTAAAGCAAACAAGGCGAACAAAGCCATGATTGAGTGCAATGATTGAATCATTGTTAGGACAGCTAAATTAGCCAACTTTTTTTAGATTTCCAACTGTCGAGGGAGCTACAGCCTGATGCACACGGGGCCTTGGTTTATTGTCGTTTCCGAACAACTAGACTTTTTTCCATGTCAGATTAGATAGAAGGATGTTCTTCCCATTTGAGGAGTCCACATATTGTTATTGTTTATATTAACAGAAGTGCGTCCCCAGCGGAAGTGACGGTGGTAATGGAAGAAGATCTCGCTTGTCAGAATTTATCTATAACTCATCGGTATCAAGTTATTAACAAAGGCCCGAGTTTTCTACCACCGACGAATATTACCATAGATCTACCATATTATTATGAATCAGGAGAAGAACTCGTTAAATCGGTATCAGCAAAGGTGGGAAATTTCTCTGTTTCTTTGGTCCAATGGCAAAGAAAGAGACAGTCGTTTATTTTGGGGTTTGCTTAGTTACTAAATGGGATTTTCGAGCTATTTAATGTTATTATATATTCTACTCAATATTCTTTGAATCTTTAAAAACGGCAGTGAAGGACACCCCTGTAGACCTATGTTCGATTTCACTAATTCTCTATTTTTCCACTCAGGTGAACTATGGAAATGAAAACGATATGTTCTTATCATGTTTTGTTGTTTCTGGATTTTCTCCTGGTGGACAAGGCATGGGTACAACAATTACATCAATAACTGATGAAACAACAACAACAACAACAACAACAAAACAATACACCACTAAACCGATTACAACAAATACTAATGATAAATCAACCACTACTCCAAGGTAAGACTGGACGGGCAAAAGTCAAGATTGCTAAAGGATGCATATGGTAAATGAAATGAAATTAATGTAGTCCTAAGTCCTACTCTTCGGATGCACATAAAAAGATCTTGACGGGAGACTGTAAACAATATGGCTGTACCTGTGACTAATAGTCTGCTTTGTGAACTATGCTCGATAGCTCTGATTGTCTGCATCTCCTATCTTATAATCCAGTCAAAACACCGCATTTACAAACTTATGAAAGTGCCTAATGATGTCAAGGTATCAGACAGCTTAGGATCAGCAAAGTTGGTATTCTTATAAATGATGGATAGCCTTTTTCAATTATCGGTCTACTCTGCCCCCTTTCCGACCCCTGATGATGTCCATTTTCCAATGTGCCCCGAATACCTGATAACACTTAGTAATCGATCTTGTTTTTCAGATCTACCCTCATTCCCTCTAGACCACCAAGAAAACGTCGTCGAAAGCGAGAAGCCACCATGGAGGAAGTTGATGGTTCCAACAGTGTCAGAATACATTCAATGGTAGGCCTATTTATCGTCATTCATTGGATTGGTACCCTTACAAACCTTTTTACACTTTGATACGACTTAAAAAGAAGCGGGCTGAAAAAAAGGGATATAAGCACTGGGGAATCTAGTCACAGATTTCGCTTGAGTAAATGATTTTTCTGTTTCATCTACCTTTGTATTTTAGACATGCAGTGATTATAGATGTAGACAATTAGTGTGTATGTTAAACAAGGCTATTCAACCCAGCGAGAGCGTAGTAGTAAATATAACAGTGGACCTGGTAGCTTCTGATCTCCCTTTAGAGGTTAGGCAACATTTTTTGATTCTTGACAGTTTCCGTAAAGCGGAATTTACATCGGCATCGAATGGAAGATTTCCATGTGTGTTTTAGGGCGAGCCTCATAATAACAATTTGGACATAGTTCTGACAAACAATGGCTGTCATTAAATACCATAATATGTAACTGTCATGGTAAACCGTTTGCCAAGGCACATGTAACCAACTTTTGATCGGAAAATTGTCACTGAGCAACCACTTTTTCAGGGTCCATTCCTGTAATACTAACCCGTTTATGATAGTTTTTATAGGCTCTTATTGATCCCAGTAAATACATAGAAAGACAGCAACTTTACTGATCTTTGACCAAGACTTTAGATATTGACCTTTCCCGAAGTATCCGTATATACCCATTTACAAATGGTGAACAGAAATTTAAAAGCTACGGCACGACCTATTTTGCATAATACCCTATTTATTTCACTAGCGCAATACGATGATTATTTAATTTCTTCATTGTAGGACAGTGATGTATTGAGATATGTCAGCGTTGTAAATATTCAACAACCAAAACATAACTTATTTTATACGTGGAACCAACAACAGATAGCAATGGTTTGTATACTTTAGTCATAACAGACACAACGGAGTAGGCTTATACGGCTAACTGACAAATTTTCCTTCATTTCGAATTGCATTAAGTGTGACTATTCGTCTTCAGTCGCCCAATCAGATGCAAAGAACGGAAAAGAAACGACGAAATATTCTATTTTATTCCTGACAACGGTCGCAATGGATGGGGCTAACGCCACTGTTTTGGTATGTTCCTTTGCAATGGTGTACGACGTTTATCACATCTAACCGTTGCTTTCACAAAACGATATTCTCATTACTAATCACGAATAGCCACCCTTTGCAGACCATGGAGACCATACGTCAATATGCAATTTAGACAATCAGAAATCTTGTAACATTTTGATTAAAGAATAGTATTTGAAAATCGCGGCCTTCTTATAGAATCATTGGGCATTGTTGCATACAGGAAAAGAATTGCCTGTCTTTCACAATTCTGTAGTTGCTACTCATCTCATACACCTCATCTAATGTGTCACAGAAACCCTACTAGATAAAAATCGATGTTAGATTAAATTTCGAAACCTTAAACACTCTGACTTTTTTTTCTAAAATCACAATATCACTATTGCTTTATGATAGTACATGTGAAAAGTAAGACTATAACCCTGTGTTATTTCTATCGTAGCTAAGTACACGGATTTTTAAAGAATATACACTTGGAGATAGTGTTAATATTTGGATACCTATTGGTTGCTGTATCGCAGCTTTAATACTGCTAGTTCTTATCGTCATTATACTCAAAAAGGTACGTCAAAACATTTGCAACTTAGTGGTTGTGGATTCTAACCTTGGTTGGCGAGAAAGTCTGGCAACCTTGAATAAGCTATTTTACCGATCTGTAAATGGGTATTGATAGTCATAAATTACCAATGGCAAGAGATTTGGCAAAGAAAAGAACCGGTTGGTAAACAGGTCCCTTGTGAACCTTAGTTGTTATCCATGTAAAAAAGATTGCTGTTTCTTTCTTACATTCTTTTCTTCACACCATTTCATACTAAACTTTTTTTTCATAGTGTGGATTCTTCAAAAGGAAAAAGAAGGCAGCTCTTCAGAAATGGAAACGTGAAAGTGGCTATTATCATAGGCAATCTTCTGAGAAGAGTCGGTCATCATCAACCAAAAGCAAGAAATAGCATGTAACATTTGTATTTTTGTAATTTATTGTATATATAACAACTTTTGTATATCTGACCTTTTGATAAAATTATTTTGTATAGAAGTAATGTATTTTGTATATCTTTTGAAAACTATTGATAATATTGAAATCTATATAATAAATCAACTATAAACAATTTTGTACACGAAACTTTTGTATATCTGCAAATTTGAAATTTTTTTATGGTAGTAATGTGATATATCATTTGGAAACTATTCATAAAATTAAAAGCTATATAAGAAATCAGCTAGTTTCAAGGTTAGTTGGTGATAATCGATGTTGATAGTTCGACGTCTGGATATGAGCTGACGATGGGCGTGTCCTACCTGTTTTTTTATACAGGGCGGGTGGCGGCTATATTTATTCAACAAGTATGGCAACTGTTAGAAATTTATATGGCTGATTAAACTGCCTGGGTGGTCAATAAAATACAGAGAGTTCATTCTCTTGAAGAACCGTATATAAGGATTATTATATTTATTAAAAATTCTTATTCAAAAATCCGGTATCAATTTCATATATTTCGGTTGTAGACTCATGATCGATCTCGCAAATGCGCCATTGTGGGGAGCATTCGGCAATTCTCGGCAGTTTCCGTAAACTGAATCTGACTTAGTAATGAATGATGAATTTCGTTGTGTCTTCTTGGGCGACACTCTTTATTTCCGGTATTCAGCAGTAATATGTCTAGTGATAGTAAAATTCCGACCTAAATATAATCCTTAAATTTAGATACTTCTGACACACACTTATGCATTTAATTCTAAATTTTGACTATTGGTTATCCAATGATACATTTTATTATCAGTTTGAATACATAATTTACAAAATTTGGTTTTCATTGACATTGTTTACAAAGTCCTGTAGTCCTGAACGACCAGCCTTTAATAATAAAATTAACAGAATCACGTGATCACGTGACCTGTTCCGGTAAAACAAATAGCCATTCATTGTCATGATAATGTTACAGTGCGCTAGCGTAACTTTCACAGAGGCCGTTTGTGTGGGAGGTTGATTGAGGTCAACAAATGGAGCATCTGTCCCTTTAAATACTATAATAATACATGTAATAATGAAATAATCGTAGTTTTTCAAAGTTTATGAAGACCGCCGAGCATTGCTTGCTTATATTTATTAGATTTGGCACAAATTCTTATGAAAAGTATACAATTTGATTTGATTCGCAGATCGTGTGGTAAACTTTGATTCTGGTTATTCATAAGAAATATTGATTCGGAAAAATCGCAAATTACAACGCAATACCGCTCAAATAGATCCTTGAATAAGACCCTTCAATATTTTCACCAATCAAAGCTTGTAATGATAGAACCATTTCTTGATAATTGGCTATCATATTGCTTTACTTTGGGTTTCGTTTTCATTCTTATACAGAAATGAGTCTTACATGAAACACTTTCATTGGTTAAACTAATGTCATTAAAAATGGTCTGTGGTAGGGAACTTGTTAGATTACAATGGAGGCAAAATATATAAAATAAACAAGAAATGGTTTGTTTGTTGCCGTTTAAAGTTTAAAAGACATTTAAGAAAAGCATTTAGTTGATAATCAGTTTATTTCACATTTACAAAGTTTTTGGAGCAATGTTCAAATGTTTGACAATAACTTGGAATCTGAAATAGAAGAAAAATAGCTCATGAAATATTTTCATTAATGTATATGCACAATTTGTATCTGGGTAAGGGTGGATGAGTTCAATTGTTAGCATGTTCGGCCATGGATTTCATTTACCTTCATTTGCGGTAGATACATTATCTTCTTTTTACCGACACCAGTGTGTTTTTGAAACTAAATATCCTTCATCAAAACTTTTCTATCACCGTGTCAGACGTAAAGTTAGACTCCCTCAAGCAAATATTCATCCTCATCATGTAATTGAAAAATTCTCATCCTGAGAAAGTTTTACGGGAGGCTGTCGAACTAATCCCTTGAATTAATAATAAATGTCAAGCAAATAATCATTGAAAACGTCACGCAATTACTTTAATTGCAAGCGAGCCAGGTGTCAGATTTACAATTCTAAAAATTGTCACAGGTCCAATATCAACCTGTAAAGTCCTTCTAATATCATAATGAATGTCTTACTCTTTGCAAATGGATGGGCATGTTTTGGGAATGATGGTAGCATGGATAATCTTTTGGCATTCTGTTTCACATTTATGCTCTGTTGGATCGGAACCTAATTTATCAACAATGGTCTGAACGGTGTGTTTGATTTCACCAAGATTTAACCATTGGGTCAAATCTGAAATATGAATGAAAGAAATAAACGACTACTTTGAACATGGATAGCTACTAAGATTGAAGAAACCTGTACCAGCTAGTCCTTATGTACATTATTTTGCATTGAAATTTCCCGGATTTCCTGTGCAGTTATGTTGATTTATTCAAGAACACTGTTCAAATTCACTAGACTTTCACACGGAGACGAGTTTATAACCCACGGCGACCAATTGCTCAACGTAAATGAAGAAAATCACTTGATGCATGGATTCCAGCGCCCGAACTGACTGCCTTGTAATCGTCTTTGTCACCAAGCTAGACACAGGGCAAAAATGACTTTGGATGGGCAAATAAACAAATTCTATACCAACCTTGTAATAAGAATCGTTTTTCTGGTTCAGCGAAAGCCAGAGGCAACAAAACTAACAATACTAGAGCGAATTTCATCTTGGTTAACTGAAAACGTCAATATGAGTCTGTGCATTTTAAAAAGATATACGCGTTCTATGTGCGTTATAAGATCACAGAACTCAATCTTAAAAGCTCAACTTTTTCAGAAGTAATTAGATTGTTTGTTTTTTTTTTAAATCTAGTAAAATGGACTATAAAAGAGGTTTTGTAAGTTTTTCAAGTGTATCAGGGACACTGATAAGCATCATTCCAATGTTGAATTAGATGTCTTTGGTTCTTACAGTTCCACAAAGTATTTCATTACGTCACTATCGTACAGGCAGGCCTTTAGATATTATTAGCCGCTTCCGTCATAGTGACGTCATAAAACGCTTAGACCCACAGACGTCGGACTGAGAACAATATTGTCCACTATACATATGAATACCTCTTCACAATCCTTTGAGTTTTTGAGCATAAGGCCTGTGATTTATGTCTTACCTTGATAATGATCAACTACACTATGACATTCAATCTCTGATCTCGCAGGTTTTATCTGGCTAAATCAGAGATAAGGAATTGTGGAGAAAACAACAGAAGTTCTTTCTCTCAAGGGCGTAATGGTGAGAAGGCTTTTTTTGATGCGTCATTCCAGGCTACTTTGAATCAGGCCAGATTTCCATTTCTTCCTACGCATTCTAACGTTCATTGCACTTTCAGCCAATCAAAATATGAGTACGTTAACCCTATGATAACTGCATTTTTACATAACAAATATTGAAAATGAACACTCCCTTGACCTGTTGAGCAAAAAACCAAAGCTAGATTAAACTGCTCACTTTACTATTAGTATAATAAGCATTAATGTTATATAGCTTGCCCCATAGAATGATCTTCAATACTAAGATTTATTTAAAATTACTTTTAATTTATATCGTCTTGATCATCGAAAGTTTTTTCAATCCTTTCTCTATCTTTAGCAGCGTTTGAGTGGCCTGCTGTAAAAAAATTGTCAGATATTTCATTTTAATTCGCGGGATCGTACTTAAACTCTTAATAATGACTCCAGTCTCCCTTCACAAACATACTCTAGCTCAATGGTCGTCGGTTGAATTGAACGCGTTTGTATATACGAGTTGCAGCCCTTTGCCAGAAAACTGCCTTTTTTTTAACCCGAGAATGATTTGGATTTATAAACAAAAGAGATTCACATCAGATTTTCCACCAGGAGTCTGTAGTTTCTCACTTGATCAATATATGACGACAGCATCGAACATACCATTAAACTGAGCAGTTTTGGGCCAATGAGGTCGTCATGCGTTGTGCAACGAGGGAAATTTTTTACAGGACCGTGAGTTTTGCTAGGTTTGAAAACTAGACCTTCAGGTAAACGAACAAGCATCTTACTGACAGGACCGTGAGATTTGCAAGGTTTGAAAACTAGACCTTCTGGAAAACGAACAAGCATTTTACTGACTTAGCTACTATGACTAATTAGTCGTCTTCGGAACAAACTTTAAATAGGTCATTTAAGTTCATCTATGTCGAAGATACGATCAGATCCTTGGTAATCCAATTGAAACAAAACCTTCTATTTTGGTTTTTGCGAGTCACGCAGTGCAGTTGTTCTTGGCAATTATATCTGCAAAAGCTTTATAACCTCTTTGCATTCCTGTGAGCAAATTTCAGTTTTGGGCCAATGAGGATCAACAACGCCATGCATTGTGCAATGAGAAAATTTTGCCAGAAATGGACATTTTGGTTAGCAAACAACGCCGAACTCACTGAACTTCATCGACATTCGAAACTACGTATGGAACTACATGGAAATAATTTCTACGTATAAGAACCATTCGTACAATCGCTGTTATTCAGAGCCGCCGTAGATACAAATGCCATCCGTAGTTTCGTACAGTGACTCACTTGTTACAGAAGGTCTTAGGTCATATAAGTTCATCTATGTCGAAGATACGATCACATCGTGGGTAATCCAATTGAAACAAAACCTTCTATTTTGGTTTTTGCGAGTCACACAGTACCCAAGATAAGAGAAACTTGACATATGGTGTTTTCATGAACATCCATTTATAAGGAATCAAATTCGTCGATGATCTTCACTTAGTTTGTACACAAAGTCAGGTAAGGACCAACAAATTGACCTGAATTTTGACTTCATGCAAAACTTTCAATAATATAGTCGCTACTTATCGGAAACTTTCAGCCAATGAACAGCCGTGTAGAGAGTTGGGAACTCTTGATGTGACCATAAATGGTGGTCGTGGGCTCTTATCCCAGTCGCCATGTGAATTAGTCATCTTTCTTCATTACTCCAGTCGACCTAGCAATGAATCCATGGAACGATCGATACCAAGAGGTTTGGCCAAGGACCTAGTTAAAGGATCCTCGTGAATCTAAGTTGTTATCCTTGTAAAAAAATGTTTCTTTCTTTTGTTGTTGTTTAATTCGTTAACGGACTGTGAATAACAGAACGGTAGCTTTGCTAATCTGGTCATTAATAATATTGATATTTTCTCTAACAGATATAAAAATGAAAGTAGCAGTCATTGTCTTAGTTTTATTGCCTTTGGCCTTCTGTAACCCAATTTCAGATCTCTTCAATACATTAAAGAAAGGTACGTAGAAGATTCAATTTTTTTTTCTAAGAAACAAAACCATTAATACGTAAAGCATTGTCACAGTGGTCATTTGGACATAATAATATATTAAAGGAATTATACCTCTTTGAATAAACATAAAATTCTTTTCCTTGTCCCATTTTTATAGTATTGCAGTTTGATTTGGTTGAAATAATTAAAGTTTCTAAGGCTCAATCAATTTTGTTTTTTATATTTTCTATGTGCTACTTCACTCAAACCATAATCTGTCAACATTGAAATGTCCTGAGCATTTTATTAGATTATTGGCATAAGAATTTCGATCGCAGATGTTGCAGGAAGGATTTCTGATGCTGAAAAACAAATAATATTGTCTGAATAACATTTCCAGATATCCACATCGATGTATTGAAGGCCAACTTCGAAAACGTCATCAAACAAGTTGGAACTGATGCCACTGAAGCCCAATGTGAAGCCGTCTGCCACAAAATTGCTACAGCTGAATTATTAAGCGCTGGTTGCTCTCCATTTTGCAAAACGTAAGTAAAATCTTGTGAATTGTACAGAGGATTTCTAAACTTTTTATTTGTATCGGAGAAATCGATTTGTACGATTCAAGAGTTCAGATTCCACCAGAACTAAGTGCTTATTGGCGTCACTATCGCAAAGGCTCTGACAAATTATTAGCAACTTTTGCGATATTGATAGTATTATAAAACTTAATTTTTGTGGAAGTGCAAGAACCACAGACGCCTGACTGAAAAAAGAAATGGTGCATATTGGTGTTATCGACGTCTCGAATACATATACAAAATTAACCTCTTTACAGTTATTTCAAACTCAAGAAGTTCAAATCCTTCAAAATCTTAAATAGATTCTTTCGATTTATTAGGAGAACGAATCAATTTCTGAGATAGAAAGAAAGAATTCAAATCTTCCAACTTTTACATGAATAGTTTAAATTAATATTATTATTTTTTATTTCAGCCTCCAATATGGTGCTAATCACTTTCACTTGGGTTAAATAATGTTAAATAAATATTATTCCTAAATTAAAGACTTTAAACTTATTTTGCATTTAGACGATCCCCATCTTGTCCTCCAAACCACAGCCCCAGTCGTCATACTTCCTACTTCAAAACCCGTATTCGTGATACGATGAGCGGACAATGGACCACATTTCTCAACCCAATTCCTAGGCAATGGCAGATTTTTCAGTTCTGTTTTTTCTCAAATGTCCAGCTTGCCAATGTGGATATACTCTGCAAATTTCAGCTCTGTAGCTTTGTAACTTTTCGAGAAAAAATTTATTTGGATTTTCCGACTTTGCGAGCAGAAGACCATAGAAACAAAAATTTCCCATTCCTAAGCGATGGCCGATTTTTTCACTCAAATGTGCCTGGGGTCCAAAAAGAATGAAAAATCCAAAACTTGAACCAAATAGGGCTAATTTGGGTATTAGACATTTTCGGTCTATATGACCTATAGAACAGAATATCGCCCACATTTCCTAACCTATGGCAGATATATTCTATTTTTTCTCAAATTTATAGATAGCCAATGTGGACATTCACTGCAAAATTCAGCTTTGTAACTTTTAAAGGGACAAGTGGGTCATTTACTTGACCGATAATACTTTAGTATCAGAAACTGGAATTTTTTTCAGCTAAGCCAAACAGTAATAATGTTCACAGTACACCGTCGAAATTTGATCCTTCCAGAATTATCCGCATTTGAATGATAGATACTCTGTGATATATAGAAAAGACATAATTATATAGATATAAAGAGTAAAATTCCTAGTTTGAAGGAATTACGCGATTTTCGTACAATTCTAGTACTTAGTACTTAATATCTGTTAAGACTAAAATCAACCGCCACAAAATGTCTCATCTGTCCCTTTAAAGAAAAGGGAAATTATCGGATATGAGCATTAGTGCAGTAGCCTAGTCCCTTATTTATCTGGTCATTTACATTTTTTCCAAGTCGCTAGGGTCTAAATAAAACGGGGCGACTGCATGAAAAGTGCTCATATCGAAATAAATTTTTATCTTGAAAAGTTACAAAGCTAGTTGAAAAAGACAAATTTTTCGGTCTATATGGCCCACAGAGCACTTATTTCCTAACCAAATTCCTATGCCATGGTTGAATTCTGTTTTTTCTCAAATGCTCACATAGGCAATGTGGATATTCCCTGCAAAGTCAGCTTTGTAGCTTTATAACTTTTCAAGATAAAAATTTATTTGAATATGAGAACTTTAAGTGTCGTAATCCCTTTTAACTGGAAATTTTCATTTTTTTCGGTAATTGTTTTTAATTTGGCATTTTAAGTATACGAACCAAACGGAAGTTTGTTAATGCAGCGATTTGGTTAGATTGTACGTTAGCAATTACAACCAATCACAATCCTCGACAGAAAGTAGTCTGTTTGTCGAGGGCCATGATCGTCTGTATTGGCGTACATTTAAATGAAATCGCTGCATTCCGTGATTCATGAGAGTTGGGTATTGCAATCAAGGTATAAGCGTGGCTTTTCGAAGTCAATAGAAAGCTCAACGGAAGCGATTTAAAACACCAAAAACACCTTTGTCTACAGGGAGTACCAGATACTTAAGCGATTTAAAACATGAAAAGTAGCGCGTTAGCTAATTTAGTTAAAAACCCTACGTTAGATTGGTGGTTTCCTAATAAACGACCAGAATAAACATTTACTGGGTCATGTTATCTTGAAATAAAACTCTCCTTCTTTCATAATCTCACAGGTGTCAGTTTTCACGCCTTGGAAGTCGACCAGGTAAGACATATTACCACATTATACAACATAAGAGATGCTTTGATGGGGAATTTGAAACTAAAGAACTGCCCTCAAAACGTCAAACTGTGGAAAGGTTACCATATTAATGTTGTAAGCATGCCTTAATGGCCATGATTTGCCATTTTAAGTCTTCAGAACTACTAAAACTGAACAATCAACGCATATTCCTTCAAATATACTTCCAGCTATTTACTATATATAATAAAAGACGAGTCGTCATTTTAACTTTTCAATAGACAAGTGATTTTGAAGGCTCATATTTCGGCAGTGAACTGTGAACATTATTGTTGCTTGGCTTAGCTTTAGAATCCCGCGACTATTTGCGATCTTATTGTGACAAAAAATGTATTAGTAGCGGTCAGAGAAGTTATGGCGAGTTATTGTGTTCTAGCCTTTTTGCAGGGTATTTCACGCGTGCACTACGCTTTACTGCTCAAAGGGACGCTCAAACGCTTGTCTGGCGACCCTCTCACTCAAATGGCGCATTCAACGTGTTGCAAGACAAATCGCCGAACATTGTTTTGAATGTTTGCGACTAGACAGTAAGAACGCCTATCTGGTGTGACGGGGCCTTGAGTTACGTTTGATCAAATGATTCCCCTGATGCTTATTAAGTTATTATCCTTGTTTTTCATTTTTTGAAAGTGTAAATATAACATTGGAGAAATCTGGATTGCTTTTTTCAATATTTGTAGAGTTGGTGAGCAGTTGAAAGCAAAATGAAGTGGAAAGAAGGAGGGTTCATATTGTTATTATTAGTACTGACAGTATCTTCTAATAAAAGATTTATCCTAACAGATATTGTTCATCATCTCATACAAGGTGTGTAAAGGTTAGTTCCTAATTTCTCTTTTTATTCTCTACAGAGAACTATGAGAGCTTCACAATATCCGGTCGCCCTTTGTCAATGAGGCAGGCCGGAGGGCTGGCATGGAAAAGTGTCTCTTCGGATGGGACAATAAACCGATGCCCCGTGTGCTACAGGAAGTGTGATCATTGACAGTGCTGGAAATCGAAAAACTAAAATAATTCCACTGTCCTGGCAAAATTTCACATTTGCACACTGCATGGCGTTGACCGTCTTCATAAGCCCAAACAGGTGAAGAAACTCATTTCGTTTCAATTCAATTTCATCTTCACAGCGTCAAGCTATTACATTGACATCATTAGACACTTTTCTTGCTTGAAAGCTATACACCACCAGGTCTGTCGGTCGTGGATGTGAAAATACCTTTAAGAGACTAGGCTTTTACTCAATCCGATTAATACATTTCAGATATAGACTTCACCCATTTGAAAGAAACCATAAATAAGATATTGGACATGGTAGGATCGAACTCAACAGGTCAACAATGTGAGATGGCTTGTCGTAAAGTAGCCACAAAAGATATATTAGATGCTGGTTGCCCATACTTTTGTTCTGGGTAAGATATGAGCTAGGCTTTCATTTAATCATATACACAATGTCAAGCTATTACGAAATACGTGTAATACCTTGGCTCCAACAGCAATCTTGCTTGTACCACACAAGTTTGTAAATAAGGCCATTTGATTGAACACCAGCGTATAAAGCCCATCAAAGCGCGTGTAAACTGTATACAGACATTCATCTGCATTTTAAAGGACATGGTTATCAATGTTCGAGTATGAAGCATACCTAATTTCCAGAACATGAAATGTTCAGCTTAATCAGTAATTAAGGACGTAAACTTTTGAGGCAGAGAACAAATAAAAAAGTGAAATTTATAGTATTTTTGAAGTAATTCTGAATATATATTCTATAAATATATTCAAAACAAGAAATAGCGTCCTCCAAAGTGCTTCAATTGCTATTTTAGATTTCAAGAGCTGGTAAAGAAGTTACACATAGAAGATGCGATGTACAGAAATACATAGATTGTTCTCGTTCAATATGTGTTTTCATTAAAATGCAACTAATCAAAATCGGGGTCGTTATATGGTTGAGAATGGGTAGGGTGTTCTGATTTCAGAAATACGACTACAAGTCAACAGTAAACGGAACCTTATTACATTCATGGCACATTTGGAGAACTTAAAATTTTCTTGCCTATATATACAGAGGAACATTGATGGCATGGATTTGCACCATTCCAATTGTCAGGTAGACTTCTGTGATTCTGTGCAATTTCACTCAAACTATAAACATTGTATGATGTCACTATCGCATAAACTGCAAATTATATCTTTAGGGAATTACAAGAACAACAGACATCTGTTCTGGAATGGTGCCACTCGACGCTTTAAATTTCCGTGATACACATAAATTGTCAAGAAAACCACTTAACGACCCTTTAAAGTACCATCACACTACGGTGTCATTGTAGTTAAGCTCAATATTGTACCCGCTATCTAGACGATACGATATCATTTGTGACCAAATTTTCCCCATCAAGTCTTGTTTAGAGTAAAAGCTGTGCCTGTCTAACACATCGAGAAATTGAAAAGCAAATAAATGTTGTACACAAAGTCAGTTTTCTTGAAAAAAGTCCTATCAAATAAATGCTTTAATTTGAAAAGTATTTAAAGACTGAAGTCTGGCATTCAAGGCAAAATCGTCGTCTTCTTCTCCCCCTGTGGTTATAACACAGTCTGTTCTCATAATATCTACCATAGTTTCTAAGGCCTTTTTCCATATCTGTACCTTACATCTATAGTTGTCATATTTCGGTCTAAGAGAGCACTCTTTCCAATGAATCACAGAATCTAAGTCAAAGTCATGGATTTCAGCTTCATATTGTCCCTTCAGTTGAGTTGTAAGATTTTGAAACAAGTTTCCCATCTCTTCCAAAACCAAAGGCTTGAAACATGCTTTATCTTCTATTGAGGTGTGTAGGAACTCATAAGCTACATAGAATTAAAAAAAAATCATTTCATCATTTTGTTTTGTTCCTTGTAAATATCTTCAATTTATCTTAATTTTGAGTTATCCAAGTAAAACATAATTCAAGAAGAATCTTCACATGCTGATCAAGATGAGAAACCTACGACACCATTTTTAGTCAAACGACGTCATTCTAATGCTCTAACTAAAAAATCAAATAATTATTAAAGCCAAATTACCAGTATCAGTTGTTTTATGGAGTAAATGACAACACAATTCTTCAACTAACCCACCTCCAGGCAATACCATTCTATCTGCTACAGCATCTTTCAATTGATTAGCACATTGCCAGAAATCTTGGAGCATGACCTCAGCACCCAGTTGACAGGGATGACATATTATAACAGTCTTAAAAATATAATTTTACTCTTCATACTTCAAAAAATGTTTCACAAATACAAAAAAAATATCAGCAATGGACAGTGATGCCACGGTGACAAAATGAAATGAAAATCCTTTTCTGCGCTGATTGGGTTAATGAGGACAGGCAACGCCATGGAGTGGGCAATAATGGAAGTTTTGCCAAGACAATAGCATCAGTCGACTTTTAACCAAATTACAAAGTTGAAAGGGATCTTTAATGTGCACAGCCTGTAGAACATGTTTTTTTTTTCTAATCCAAAAACAAGAAGCACTTCTAATTTCTATGACCTGCATTATCAATCTGTAAAATATACTGACCTGTAATACAGATTGTTCGTGTTGAATAATACATCTTGATGTTATCTCACTTCTAGTATAAAGATAATTATCATTATATTCTGTTATTCTTATATCTTTACAAACGTTACCCTAAAAATAAACACCATTATCATGATATTACTTTAGAAATAAACACCATTATCCTGATATTACTCTAGAAATAAACACCATTATCCTGATATTACTCTAGACATAAACACCATTATCCTGATATTATTCTAGAAATAAACACCATTACGATGATATTACTCTAAAAATAAAGATCATTACCCTTAATATAAATATCATTATCTTGACAAAACTCTCAATATAAAGGCCATTATGATGATATTTCTTTAAAGATAACATCATCATCATGATATAACATTAGAATATTTGTTTCTTGGAATTGATCTTTCCTAACTTATCTGTAACAATTTTCAGCAGGGTCGACTGGAATATTGAGGAAAAATGACATATAAAGGTCACCAGACATCAAGGTGCTGATCAAAATTAAAACCCACCATCTGTTGGACCTAACCAAGCAAATGACATCATGTAAAGATGCTAATGCTCTAACTGACAGTCCTTCCTCAAAATCTGATAACTAACCTCAAAAGCATCAAGTGGATATATCAATGGAATGGTTCCAGTAGTTTCTGACAAAACCTGGAGTATTCTATAAGGCACTGATTCTATCATTACTATGTTGTTAGTTTCCAGACTGTCTCTCACTTTACAAGTGGTATAACCCTTCACCAATACTGTATTTACTTCCAGCTGCAAGAGAAATGAAATGAAATAGAATGAAATGAAGTAGAATGAAATATAAGGAATTGAATGTCTTACTTTTCTGCACATTACTGAGCTTATAAAGACAGGCAACACCAAGCAGTGTGCAATGGAGGAAATCTTTTTCTGTTACAAATTACACAATCTGTAGCATACAGAGCTCATTGACTAATTAACTGAGAGTTATATGGATTTAGGTTTTTATAAACTAAAGTTTAAGTTTTGGGGACAATAATTGACATTATAATGATGCAAATGGATGCTATCAGTCCATAATATACGGCCTTACAATACTAGTCAGTTAATGAGTCAATAAGTCAAAAAAGACGGATCAACTAATTAACTCACAACATATAATTACATACCTTTAATAAAACTAATAATAGTTGTGATATCCATCTATCTTCTACTGTTTCCATGGAAACAGATTTCGAAATATGGGCCCCTTCATAATTAGCTTTATAACCTTTATGATGAAAGGAACTAGTAAGATCTCCATTGAGTAGCTGTAAAAAAAAAGATCATCTCTATAATTTCTAATCTAATTTATGTCTCCATCAAAATCTAACAAGTTTTCTACCACATTCCTGTTCTAATAATGTAATTATTAAGCAATCAAAGTGTGAAATCTAAGTCCCCTTCCTTGATAAGTATTATGAATTTTTGATAGTAAAACCCAATTGCTTCACTTCGGGCTTTGCTACAATGCCACCCCACAAGTACTTACAATAGCATTTACTCTTTCAAATTGTTGTAGCATAATAACACAGTCCATGGAACAATTTAACACTAATCCAGATATCAGGCGTGTAAAATGTTGACTTGGACCTTTATCTATCAAGGTATGTATTTTTCTTGTGTCAAATCTGCCAAATAAAAAAGGAAATAATTTTAATGATAGGGGCACCGGAATTAAAGTTTTTGTCTTAAAAATGCTATGGATTGATCATAGCTGACGTAGAAAATATTTTAGGAACTGCAGTCAAACTGTATCTGTAATTGAGCTCTATCAGCTGGCAAAGTATATACTAGATGACTCTACGGAATGTTGAAATTTGCCTTGCCTTTGATAGTGTATTTAGGACATCTTACAAATATTATATATACCTATGAACTTCAGAAGTATCAGAAGTAACTTGTGAATTAAAGCTCTCCAGAACAATTCTTTTAACCATTTTGTCCCCATGCAAACCAGCACACACATCTTTGATGGTTGTCTCAAGATTTTGTGTTGTCTCAGGATTTTGTGTTGTAATTGAGTTTGGTGCTGTCATAGGATTTTGTGTTGTCTTTGAGTTTGGTGTTTTAACTGAGTTTTGTGTTGTCATTGAGTTTTGTGTTGTCATTGAGTTTTGTGTTGTCATCGAGTTATGCGTTGTCACAGGATTTTGTGTTGTCATTGAGTGTGGTGTTTTAACTGAGGTTTGTGTTGTCATTGAGTTTTGTATTGTCATTGAGTTTTGTGTTATCACCAAATTGTGTCCAACACTAAAAGAATCAAGATTATCTAAAGTGTTTCTTGGTTCCATCGTTGAAACTGTCCTGAAGTGTCTACTCGAATTCAAAACTTTTGATGCCAGTGTTTTAGGATGCTGTTTTGAACTGAAATTTTCCAACATGGCATTAATCTTATTTCGCTTTTCACTATTTTCAGAGTCACTGTCTGCTTCTGGTTTCACATCTTTATTGTTAGTCTTATTTGTTATGTTATCCTCCGTTTCAGAAACTGTCATTTTGGAAGTATCCTCATTTGTCAAATGTCTACTAAGAATCTTTGGCGATTTTAATGGATGCTGTTTATTATTAGAATCTGGTAAGTTCTGCAGAAGATCGTCAAAATATTTCCAATTCCTGTCAATTTTCAAAGATTTGTTGATTCCTGTCTGATCATTTTCACTTTTCAGAATTGAAAGTTCATCACAAGTAAAAATATCATCAAACTCATCCTCAAAATTTTCATATCCAGAGTTATCTTTCTCTGTTCTTTTTTGACTTTTGGATTTCAGTTCTGAGGTTGTCTGCGATTTGTAATTGTGTTCTGACATAGTTTTGTCTATTTCATTAAAGAGATTGGGAGCCTCAAATTGGGGAAATTGTGTTTTGTTTTGAGTCACACAGCTGGTTGAATCCTTCAAGTCGTCGAAAAACCAAGAAACATCATCTGACTTCTCACAATCTTGTTCCTTGTCGGCCATTTTTAAAAATATTGGTTCACAATTCACAGAGTCACAACATGACTGGTTCTTCCCAGTTACACTATGAAGGGATGGAATGTCAGGAGAATATTTAGGTGCCATATCACAAAAATCTGCAGGATTTCCAAATTCAACCTCCTGAAAGTCATTAATCCAGTCCACTTCACTGAAATCAATTTTGGGATCACTTGAGTTTACTGATTTCAGACATCTGGAGTTTATACATGCTCCTGGGTTTTGGCCTGCCTGAAAAAAATCCAATTTTGTCTCTGAATTGTCATTTGGTTTGCATCTATCTGCCAATGGACTGACATCAAAAAGGCTGGGCTCTTCATTTGGTATAATTGATTTTGCCTCACTTGATGTTGGATAAGGTTTTGGTTTCGGTTTTAACCCTGAATGTGATAAATCTGAAGACACTACAACAAAGGTTTTAGCAGGGATTAAAAAACCAATATAGCTACCATCATGTAGATCTAGAACACTGAAAGCTTGTGTATCAATTGGTATACACCAAATGTCTACATTGGAAATACACAGATCTACAGCTTCTCTCATATATTGTATGATATACTGTACTGGAACTCCCTGAAAAAGACATGAAAAAAACATCGGTCTATTCATGTCTTATTAGTAATTAGAAATTAGAATTCTATAGGTTATGACATGACCTTTATAACTGGAGCAGCACCTCTTAAAAGATCCTGTCTAGGTGAAAAGAGAAAATAAAATGAGACTGATTGGGCTTTTAAAGACTCAAACCATCAAGAAATATTATTTCATACAAGCAGCAATAGCCTTTTCTATTTCGATTTCCAACTGTCAAGGGAAATGCCCACATGGCCTTGGTTTACTGTCCCATAGATTGACTAGGTGCTTTTTCCATGTCAGCCTCTCAGACCTACTTCCTTGGACCATCTGGTTAGCATCTAACTGACTGTAGCTCCCAAATATGATTCTCTAAAGTTACATACCAGGTCAAGTAGATTTGAGGTAGATAGTTTAAGATAGTGTATGAATAACATCAGATAATCTGTACCATAACCAAATCTAGCATGATGATTCACACATACATCTTTTACTATTTCACTTACAGCATCCTACAATACAATATATGGAGAAGATAGGATAGGATATAATCTAGCAAATATGTAAATATTATTTTAAATGCTCTAACCCAGTGGTTTTCAACCTGTTTTTGTATGTGTCCCCAAATCGAATCAGCATGACAATGATGTCATCAAATATTGTTTGGATACCAGGCATGTTCTCGCATAGTTTGATAGTAATAATTCTGAGTATTCCTAGACAATGTTAATTTAGGCTGTGTATAGTGTAGCCATCATATGAGATGTTGTGTATATAAGTAGAAAGTTTTTATCAATTAATTTCTGAAAAGACAGTGGATATTTACCACACTCATTGCAAAATAATATTGGCAATAAATGCCTACTTACTTGTGTATCAACCAATGAAAGCAGAACACCAACATTAGTACAAAATGCTGTATCTTCCCCATCAACCACACAACTTATACCAGTAGACCTACTATATATAATAAAATAAATTTACATAAATCAAGTAGACCTATTGTATCAATGGATTGACATGATCGTCATGATGGTCATGCTGGCATGTAGTTTTTAGTAGGGTATTTCAGCTCCAAGCTACTTCAACTCAGAAATATTGCGATATAGGCCTTGTCTTCTCATATTGTAAAATATCAACGAACAATATCATGATATGCACTTGAACCATATATCACTGAAGATTTGATTCAATGACACTAACTGCCTAAACTCCATTGGTTGTGAGCCAAACTGACTCAACTCCTGTGTGACTGGGCACTGTGTCGTATGACACAATGGTGGCTGTAGTCGGAAAATAACTAGATCTACTAAAAGTACATAAAGACAAGAGTAGGCCTAATTCTAGCTGGACCAATGAAGATACAAAAAACTCTAATCTAGGACTACTTTATCCGTGTCTTTGTAGAATTCATATCCACGAGAATAAATTCTTTCTTCTTTCGTTTTGTTTTGTTGCAATGGTAAACAAGGAGAGCTATTCAAGGGACCGAACTCTGGCTTGTAATTTATACTCGGACCACAAAATGCTTTGTAGAAATTTTCAATTCGATCATGACTTTAAAAATATATGATATTACATCAACACACAAGATTAATGAAGATAAATACATATTTTATGAAAACAATGCATGAAATGTGATGTTTCCACTAATAGGAAATTTGGGCCAAGGCCAATGGACTGACATGTTCCTTTAACAACGGTAGATATTATCCAGATACGAACACTATGTAGGCTACTGTTTCATACCCTGATGGCATTGCAGACAGTTCTGTATGACTTTTAAATTTAAATATCTGGAGGAAACAGTCCCTTTATTTCAGTTTGAACACAGTTCTTGGAAGCTTAACGCATAGGTCACAAGGTTTAGTCTGTCGGACCAAGCTAAAGAATGAGATTACATATTTTTATCTGTTTAAAGGGATTGTAGAGAGCTTTTCGTAAATTTTATGTACATTGATAGCATCGACATGCACCATTACAATATTCAGTCAGACGTCAATGGTTATAAGCTCAGTGTTAAGGCCCGTCTACACAATCATACATTTGCTCAAAACATCATTAAATGACCATGTTCAAGCTTGTTGTGGATTTCTGTCTACACTATCTCCACAACTCGAAATTTCGAGTTCTCCAAAAAGTTTAAGACAAATATATTTTTCTAATTATTTTTTTCTGAATACCATTGACATTTTGAAAATACATTCATTTTTGTGAACAGTTTTTGAGTTATAGCCCATTCGCTTGAAATAACTCGTCAAAATTTGTTCAATTGGTTAAAACGCTTAGTCTTTCTGACCCAAATCTTGATGGAAAAAAAACCCCTTACTATTATCTTTCAACGGTATTCATCACAAACACTTGCCTCAAATTTGGAATAACTACTAGTGAATTTCAGCAAGACAGTGTTTAACATCCGAAATTTCGATTTTTGGAATACGAAATTTCGAATAGTGGAATCCGAAATTTCGACTAGTGGAATCCGAAATTTCGACTTGTGGAATCCGAAATTTCGACTCTTGGAATTGTGCAAAATACATCCAGAAAAATAAAATTATTTTTTTTTTAGAAGGGCCTGAAAGGCTTTCGTAGGTTCCTGTCTATTGTTCCCGTCTACTTGTTTAAAAATGTTGTTTCCTGAAATCCATCGTCTATTATTAAAGGGCTAAAGTCAGGGGGAGTTTAGGAGGAATAGACCAGGGTCGACTGAGCAGCTCTGGATCCTTGGCAGATGGATTTCCTAGAGACCCAAAGCTACCTACACTTAATTTCGGTGATCCGACCCCTCAGTCAACACATTTTGCAAAAAACGTATTCAATTAGGCTACCTATTGCTACAACTAAGCTTTCAACATTTCTCAGAAACTTCTTGACATCTCCAGAGGTGCTCGCGGAAATCCACAGGGCATAGGTACTTGAAAATCTTCAAAATTACAATATTACTATGACCCAATTCCATTTATCAAGGTCAGACATTGAGCTAGAGCATGGACTTAACCTATCGTTTTGTGAGGGTTCAACATGACAAGACTAATTTTAGATAACAAGATCGTGCAGTTGGTAGTTTTCTCAGGAGAGGTGCAATCGTAGTCTTTTATAAAAGGCCAATCATTGGTCTAATCGTTTGTAATTTCTGAATCAGGAGTAGAGGAATCAGGTTAGTATAATTTAAAAAAAAAAATTTGGTTCTTTCACCTTCTGTTACTTTTAATACATACAACTTAAATGTGAGATATACGATGTTCGTCGTCTGGTGTTTTATACGGGGCGGAACAATAGATACAATTGAAATAAAAGAGGCAATGGTGCCCGCATCCATCTTCACAATAATATTGTCAAGTATTATACGTCTTGCTGTGAACTTGCTGTTCTGCAACGTAGGCATGCGCCACACTGGTCAATATTTCTCGTCTTTCCATGTCCTACAGGAAGGTCTTGTTACTGGCGGAATGTGTGAACAACTGCATTTTCGAAGACTTCTAGCAGTCGGTGCTATCTAAATGAATCTATCATTCGTTGGAATTCTGCAAATCTTAGAGCATTTGATTTAATTTGTCCACATGCACGTATAACTGGCCCTTAACGACTATGAGTACGGTGTCGTGTTCAGTGCGGTGAACGGAGTGGGTTATATAGGTATACAAACACAAGAGGTACGGATGGTTCTTTCATGCTCTATTTGTTTATAATAGACGACCCCACACCGTACAAGTACCTCACAGACGAGCGCATATATTTTGGCTTTTCATGTAAAGCATTCTGAATAGTAATAATTGTAAACGGTATATGTCAACAACGAATACTTTGCTTTATATTCTAGTGATCGTTAAAGATGAAATTCGCCGTAGCTTTCCTTGTTTTATTACCAATTGTCTTCAGTGCTTCTGTTGAAAAAAGATTCTTTATTGATAGTAAGTACTTTGAATCTGAAATCTGAAAAGAAAAGGAAATCTAATTATTTCATTTTAGTAGGTAAACCTCGCAGTTTAATGTCTCACTTTTTTGTATCTGATCTGGGTATGAAGATGGGCAACGCCGTTATCAGGGTTCAATTTAGACTTAAATTTTGATTAACAATAAGTCAGGCAAAATTAAAGTTTTGCCTAATAATTTTAAATTTCAATTCGCATTTCATTAAAATTAGGTATCAATTCAAAATGTTCTGGTTGTTCGACTCAAATCTGACGTCTAAAATATAAGCTATTTTGCGATAAATGTTAATTTTGGCTAAGTAAAGAATGTAGAAGAACAATATCCAGAAGGAGTGGAAGTAGGTAAAGTAAAGACAAAAAAAAAAAAAAAAAACAAGAGAATGTTCAGAAAAGAACAAACGATGAAGAGAAAGGATTTAGTATTGAACAAGGTATAATGGAAGGGTTGTAGAATTTATAGGGGAAAAATATACCTGGATAAATGGAAGTAGAGAATGAAGAGACAGACGGTGGGGGTATAGAGAGGACATTGAAAATTCTATCTCTCAAACCAATTTATCACTATCCTAGAGACGCGACTAAAATTGGATTTTAAAAAGATTTTCACAGTGGTCAATATATTACGGTTGTAGATTCCAGATCGATATTAGCGTTATTAGCAAACTCTTTCTTTTTTGCGATTTCCATCTGTCGAAGGATCTTTAACGTTAATAGTCCGTAAAGGTGTAGTTTATTATCTCGTCTGAAACATTTTCAAGTCAACCTCTTCGACCTTCATCATTGACAGATTGAAAAATTCGAAGATATTTTCTCGAACTATTATGGGATTGAATCGAAAAACCTTCAGATAATTGAAGAACTCGCTGAGTCACTGTGGCAATCGGCAATCCTCGGTAGTTTCGGTTCAACTTTTAGTACGTTGCAGAGCGTTTGATAGATTCTTACTGATTATAGGGTTATAGCTAAATGATTTATTCCTTTTATTAATTTATGTTTTTTTTTCATTCAGATTTCTCACACATCTTTGATGTAACTACTTTAAAGCAACATGTTCAGGATATTGCCAATAAAATCGGAAGTGACGCCTCAGAAGCTGCATGTGAAAAAGAATGTCATACCATCGTTACAGGAGACATTATTGGATCAGGATGTCCTTTGGTCTGTAAATCGTAAGTATTCACTTTCCGGGACTTTGAGAATTAGGTCGTAGCGCAATAGAGGTAAATGAAGCAAATCCACGGAATTAGAAATACTCCAATGATTCTGCTGATGGAGTGCATTCCTCAACATGGCAGGCTTTTGAATCCATGCCTATAGACTTTATTGATTTGGACTCGTCACTAGCGAATCATGCACACCATTCCGGTACACCATAATTATGGCACTGTACCACTGAGTTTGTCAACTTGACACCCGTTTTGAGGAGTTCACATAGCTAATATTGTTCATCTGGTATATTTATGTGCTTGTTTCGAGAAGATATATTATCTACTTTCAGATTCAGATCTTTGGTGAGACACTTCAACATCGTTCCTAAACCAAAAACATTCTAAATAAATAAAGATTTTTAAATCTATTGATCTCTATTTTATTAATTCAATATATATATTTACATTTGATATGGACGTGTACATTCAATTTAGACATATTTTACATCCAATATGGACGCTATCAGTGGGGAGCCAAAGGGGGGGTGGAGGGGGGGGGGGGGTGGGTTGAGGGGTCATCCGCCCCGAAAGCAAATTTTTCGGGCAAACATCTCATAACTAGGTTAGAAATCCGGGCAATCTCAGATATTTCCTCCCCCGACACGATATTCAATCTGGACACGATATTCACAATCAATCTGGACACGATATTTACATTCAATGTAGGCACGATATTTACATTCAATACCATCGAAATCTGCCAAAGAATAGAACAAAGAGGTGCAGGCCGATTACAGCTTACTACATATAGGTCACAAGGCATATAGGCCTAGGTCACAATATTCACAGAAATATAATAGGGATCCCTGTCATGTCAATTGAAGGAAGTAGGAAGATAAAAGGAGGAAAATTTTCTTACTTTCGGTAAAATGAAATAAAAAATTGTATATATTAAAATATTCTAATCGTAGGCTACATATACTGTTTGATATTGATAGAACATTGCATGTGTGGAAGAGTTTAATAGAAAATTGGAGTTCTTTAATATGACTGACACATTATAACCAGTGTACGAAGGCCTACAATCAATTCAACGCATCAAATTTTCAGCGAAATTTGTCTTGTCACCATGTGTATTTGGAACATTACATCCAAAGCAATTAGCCTCTTTCATCCAATCCCTCTTGTCTGCGTATAGCTTCGGCCGTCAGAGACTAAAACAATTGGTGTTACAATAAGATTCATTCAAAGTAGCGTTTTCGGATTATAATTACTCTGAAACGATCCCGATTTTCAAGGTTACAATATCGAGCTAGAGCATGAACCTATTCTTATCGTTTTGTGGGTGTACAACATGACAAGTCTAATTTTGGATACCAAGATTGTACAGTTGGCGCATTTCACACGCGAGGTGCAACTAATTTTTATAAAAGGCCAATGGATAGTCTTATCGGTGTTATTTCTGAATCAAGTTCTAAGTAGTGAAATCAGGTTGGTAAAATTCAATTTTCAAAGCATTATTATATATGAAAGTATTTTCATGGCAAGATTGCGCTTCAAAGCATTTCATCTGAAGGCTCAAATTTCAACGGTGAGCAGTGAGCATCATTATTACTGATTAGCTTAGCTAAAAAAAATCCCGTTTCTCAGACTGAGGTACGATTGGTCGATTGGATGGTGAATCTGTCACGGGAAAATAATCTTGCCGTTAAATAAAGACCCAAACTATTTAAGCCGTTTACGTCTTACTTTTAAAGTCGCTATGTGTATGGCTTGTGTTGAGAGATTCTACGTTACTGGTCTAGTCGGGTAAAAGTCAATAATATCAGACAGGTTAATTTTCTTTCGGTCAACGTCCACCGCCAATTCTAACCAATTCTCAACTTACAACCAACTGTACAGAATGATCCCAGTCAACTACCAACTACTACGACTACCAACAATTACCTTGTTTGTTATATCACCATCTGCTGGAAATGGACGTTAACTTGTCATCTACCAACCGGTCTTGATCACGCGTCAAAAGAATTAGGAAATGCATTTGGGACGGGTAATATTAATTCATTGATTTTCATTCATTCATTGTCTTTTATATTCTAGTGATCGTTAAAGATGAAATTCGCCGTACTTTGCCTTGTTTTATTACCAATTGTCTTCAGTGCTTCTGTGGAAAAAAGATTCTTTGTCGACGGTAAGTTGGAGCTATGGAGAGAAATGAAATGGAGTGTTACGTCATACTTTTGCACATCTGATTTGGCTAATGAGGACGGGCAACGTCATGAAGTGTTTAATGAACTAAAATTTGTCCTAACCGCCTCTTCCATATGTATAATGGCGAGGAATTCAAAGCTCCACTAACCTCCGTAGAAAAGCCAAAGTGTAATTTGACTTATTTTTTTGTATTCCAGATTTCAAACACCTCTTTGATTTAAATACTTTAAAGCAACATGTTCAGGATATTGCCAATAAAGTTGGAAGTGACTCTTCAGAAGCTGCATGTGAAAAAGAATGCCACGTCATAGTAAAAGCAGACATTTTAGGATCAGGATGTCCTTTGATCTGTAAATCGTAAGTATTTCTGAGAGCAAAAAAGTTTTCTTACCCCTTGGCAACTCTTACATAGGGCCTATTCGTCATTGTTATTAAAAAAAGGGCCTACATGACACGCTTTATAGTTGGCTTTATCTACTAAGGTCATGGGAGCCAGAAAAAAGAAAGAAATTGTAATCTTAATTAAATTAGATAGTCATGGAGTTGACAAAATGTCAGGTTTTGATATATACATATATTTATAATTTATATATTTTCAGATTCCGAGCTTTGGTCCAGAGATTCAACATAGTTCCTAAACCATCCTAAACAATAAAAGATTTTAAAATCTATTGTTCATCATTTAAATATAGACATGATAGCTTTGTTTTCTGACAATCTGTGAAGATAATGGCTCAATTAGCATTTTACTTCATACTTTTCTGCAAATACGGAGAACTCACAAGGCTATGCAGTTTTCAATAGGGGGCATTTTTCGATGACATCATCTCTTTGACACTTATGTTTTTTTTTTGTGAGTACAAATAAAAGCACTGAGCACAGAGCTCTAAATTTGTATGACTCTGTCTGGAAGCAACCAGAAATTTCCATCATAGAGTAGAAAATAATAATAGAAGAGATGTCAAGCGCGCTACACCTACTTGACTCGCGGCTTACACTACAGGAAGTCCTACTTTCTTTTTTATTATGGATGAAATAAGAGGTAACAAACGTATATTTGAAAGTTAGAAGGATATATAAGAAGAAATAAGCAATACCCACGTAGAGATCAAACTGGGTGGTATAAACTATGTAAAGTTGGAAGTTTGCAGTAATCAGTAAACTTACTAATAAAAACAACAAAGTCCTCTCACATTCGCCTGTGAAGTTAAGTTAGAAAATGGATGATGAAGGATTCACAAGAAAATTGTGGAAATATTTACCTAATTTCTACAATGATGACAAATTCAGGTACATGATTTTAATGAGTCTATGACAGTTGCTCACCGGACAGTTGCTTACTGGACAATAAGTTGCTCACTGGACAACAAGTTGCTCACTGGACAATAGTCAAATACGAAGAAGGTAGTTCTCCTATTGTCTACTTTTACTCCTGTTACTTATGTTACTTATTTGGTTTGATTTATAGTCAAATTGTGCACTTATTGTGCATTGAAATAGATCAAATATGCACTTCACCCATAGAACCATCTTCACAGTGCCAAGCTATTATGAACTTCATACATATACCTTGACTTTAATTGTCACATTTCTTGTACATTATCTTGAGAGTTTGCAAGCGATTTTATTTGATTTAGAGTCTTTCTAAAGAAAGTCTGTGAATACAAAGCCATAATGTTTAGCCTACACCCTTTCTGTATTCACTGGTGTACTATCCAATCAAATCGTTGCATTCCTTGATACCAGAATAGTGGCTATTGCGGTCAAGTTATAAGTGTGAAAGTTGTAATAGCTTGACATTGTGAAGATAGAATATATCCACACTAAAGTCCATCAATGTCAACACCTAGTTATTTTGTTTAATAGCAAGCTTTAGATTTATCAGAAAGTAGTGAAAATTATATTTCCTCAACCATGTTCATCAGCGATTTGATTGGCTATAACAAGATGTCATGGTTAATTCATGAAATTTCAAACAATTCAATTCTTTTTAGCGATTTTGAATTTGTAATAAATGGTGGAATGAAAATGAACGGTCATAAGTTTATACTGTTATTACATTGTGATGACTGGAACATTGACAACTTTGACTCATTGTCAATCTTGGATTTATCAGGTATGTACCATTCCATCTTCACAGTGTCAAACTATTACAGTAACAGATTCTTCTTATACCTTGATTGCAATGGCCACCTATCCTGCATCACAGAATGAATATGCAGATATAACATTACATGTACTTATATCTTGCCTTGAGGTTCTATCATCCCATAGCCTTTGTATTAGATATTAGACTAAGCCCTTTTCATTGTGATATTTACTGTTTTGTTGTACCACTTGCTCTCCCGGCATTGGTGGAGATAATTTCTTTGGGTTTTCTTTGTCAGTGATGCAGGATGAAGGAGCTAAAATGAACAAAGCATCCAGCACTAAAGCTACTAGACACTGTAAGCTTAAGATTGTGTATATAGATACAAACAGAATTCCCATTTAGTAGCTCATCCATTAGCTCAAGCTGGAGCAAAAAAGAAGGATGTAAAACTCCATTTCTTTGTATTATAAAGGTTATAGAAGAACTACAAGTGAAATATTTATAAGATGGATATATACTGGAGCCATAAAAACTATTGATAAGACGATATTGAAAGAATTGCTAGAAATGTCTGTTTCCTTTAATTTATCCAGCTTATATGACAGATTGGTAATTTCATCATCAGAATACCTTTGCACTATGATTTAACAACGGTTTGGTGGCATATATAGGGGGAGGGCCATTGGGTCACGTCCCCTTCATCTCGCCTCAGGACTGTGAAAGGTCTATGGGCACTTCATGTGACCTCTCATTAATGCAAAGTAATGCATAGCAATGCACATCAGAGATTCTTAGACAATTGTCACTGAAAGATGTAAAACTCCTTTTTTTGTGTTTTTAGATGTAAAGTTGAAATGGGGAGTGTTGATACAAATATTGTGGAGATGGAAAAAACACCTGAAAACTTTGAATTGGTTTGTAAATTTCTATTTGGAATTTAGCACCTTTTTTCGAAGTTTATTTGGAACTTGTCTGAGGCGCTATCGTTGGCTTCAAGGAATTGTAAAATGGTTTTCTAAACTTTAATTTGAGCCCTTTTCAGTCAGTTGTCTGTGGTTCTTGCAATTTCTCTAAACCTGTGAAGTCTTAACCAAAGATGTTTTCAGAAAATTGGAATGATGCAGATCAATTTCACATTCTACAAAACAAATGAAACCTTTAGAAAACCTTTTTATTATTCCTTTAAGACCCTTTAGCAATGGGTTAAAGGCAGTCTTCTGTAGTTTCAATTATTCCAGGCATAAGAATTGCAAACCAGAACATGTGGATACAATTTACCTTTCATAATTCATCTTGATTTGGCATAATCTCTTTCAGGATTCAAGGAATATTCCTCTAGACCAGGAAGATACAGAAGAATCAAACTCAAATCCACTCCAAGACATGCAACCTGAATATTGTATGATGAAACCCGAGAGAAAGTCTCATAGAGTGGCATCTAGTTCTAAACAGAGCAAGCCAAGGTCTTTCACAGGGAGGATGCAGCATTGTCAACTTTGTGAGAAGAACTTCACTTCACAGTTCAGATTGACAAAGCATCTTCATAGCTTCCATAAAAGAAAAGTGGAAGACTGTTTCATGGACACAAAAGTTGAAGCTGATGCCAATAAATCAGTTGATGTTTGTGGAAAACTTTTAAATTCTGAGCCTGATTCAGAGAGATGCAATAGTCAAAATTCCAGATCTTTGAAAGCTGATGCAGGTGATTTTAGACCAATCCAAAGTGAAGAGTCATACAGTTGTGACTATTGCACGGAATCATGTACTAGTAAGACAGACCATGAAATCCATTTAAAGATCTTTCAGACAGTCTCCAAATTTTCATGTGAATTTTGCCTTAAAGTATTTTTAAGTGAAGAAAAATTAAAAAAGCATAAAGCAAGTCATACCAAAGTTCTAAAATGTGATGTGTGTAGTAAAGTTTTCAAAACTGCTCAAAATTTGTACAGACACTTGCGAGTTCATACTGGAGAGAAACCTTATTTATGTAGCCATTGTGGACAAGGCTTTATCCAGTTGACTCAGTTACAAATCCATTTGCGAGGTCATTCTGGAGAGAGACCATACCATTGTGGTCACTGTCTCAAAACATTTGCATCAAAGTTCATCTATAAACAGCATTTATACACCCATGCCATTGGACAAAAACAGTATATATGTGATGTTTGTGGACAGAGCTTTAATCGTCAGAGCAACTGTCGTCGCCATATTCAACTACATAATGACTCCAAACCTTATAAATGTAATGATTGTGGGAAGGCCTATAGTACAAAACATGCTTTAAAGATGCACAAACACCATTCTCCATCAGCCACTTCATGTCAGAATTATGGAGAGACTCCCCCTTGCCCACTTCCTGTTTCTATGGCAACTGTTGCTGTGCCCCTTTCCAGTAGTACTTCAATAATGCCTCCTTTCATTTCAAATACTTCTATTCATGTTCAAACTATGCCAGACAAATAAAGTTATTCGCTTTCATATTTTTATGGTAAATTCATCACACTAATTTGAGTGGTTACAAGGTAAATTGATCACAGTCATTTGACAAAGGATATTTAAACGGACAATACTTGAAGATCCATAATTAATTGTCGAATCAGAAAAACCATGTGCTATGTCCATCTTATAAGAACCGCAGTTAGGCTCAAGCAATATTCAAGTCTTAAATTTGATCAGAACTTTTCTTCGTCCGTTTTCATGCTTGTCGTAAATGTCCTGCCAATCATATTCTGTCGAATTTGATTCAATTCTTCAATCAAAATAAATCAGGGGTGATCATGAAGCTAATGTAAAGCAACTACTTCACTCACTATAGTTAGTGGGCTACTGTAGAGATGGTCGACGAATACCAAACTGTAATTCCAAAAAAATAATTTAATTAAAATAAAATAAACCAGAGCTATGATTTAGTTATGCATTTTCTACCTCTCTGAAGGTGACCTGTTTAACCTTTTCGCGGCGTCCAAAACAAACATGACTCGCCGAACACTTGCGACAAGGTTTGGCGTTCCCTCCAGACATATACTATGCTTATGCCGATCTTAACACGCTTTTACTTTACCGTCGTTTACCAGGATGCCTTTCTAGTATGACGGGGGTACCGTGATCTGAGAATAAATGTTAATTATATTGTTAATTAAAAAAGTTATACTTCTCGTGAGTGTCTCTGTTCTTCATAAGGGTTCGCCTGGTACTTGGGAGCTACAGCAGCATAATCTGAGTACACTCGTAGGTCAGCGTTCACTCTTGGTGATCTGGTTGGTTGATAGATCATAAGCTGAAAAGACAATTGACATTATAAGATTTTATGGAACAATTTTAAAGGGATAGATTCTCCATTCGTTTGACTAATCGTACCTTAGTTTCAGAATTATCTAGCTAAGTCAATCAGTAATAGTGATCACAGCTCATGGTCGAAATTTTAGCCTTCAAATCAATGAATGTTTAGAAACGTTTGTTATAGAAAACGGCGACTTGTCTTTTTCTTGAGACTTTGTCTTATAGAAAAAGTGTAATATATTGAAATATTAAATGAAATTTTGGGTTATTTTTTAACAAATTATGCCATTTTTGTACGTTACTAGTACTTCTGAAGACTAATAACATTAACATAATCAATGCCCGAACCAACGCCCGAAAATTGCGGACCGCGGTCTTTAATGAAATATCTTTTTGTTTTGTTTTTCTATTATTTTGCCAGTTTCATCCCAATTTGGCGCTACATTAACGGATAAGCTAGACGTAGACGCAAATAGGTTTGATGTTATTGACCAATCAGATATTCAGAAATTAACTGAATAAGAGAATCGAACGTATGAAGTTACTGAGAGCAGCCACGCCCACTTTTATCATGTAATGAATGGACTTTATGTGGACGCAGCCACTAGCAGCCCCCGGACGTAAACCTGGCTCCGCGACTGACACTAATGTTCAAGAATTTTTTTATGACTATTACCTCTCCTGAATGAGAGTAAGGATCACGAATTTGCTTATATTGGAGATCAGTTTCATCGAAATCTCTCGCAGGTCTCTGGGTGGTGTCATAATGTCGCCCGTAGATGCTTCTGCTAGGCGAATACACCATCTCATAGCTATCCCTGGAAGGCTTTTCATATCTCCGATCCATATCTCCTACTTTTTGTTCTGCTCTGTCTCCAAAGTTGTTGTCCATGCTTCTCCAGGCTCTGTCGGCTTCTGGTTTGTACGCACGATTTTTGCTTTTCATGAACGAGTTTTCACGCCATTTCCTTGACCAATACAAAGAATCACGACTGTAAAGTTCTTGTGATGATCTGGAAAAGAATATGGTGTATATCGGAGATACTGAATCAAATTATCATTAAAAAAAATCGTTATTCCAAAGCCAAAATCGTTATGTTAAAGCCGGAAATATCTGAAATTCACGTTTTTTGCTTAAGATTAAAAAGATTGTGAAGAGGTTTTCTGGACTTTTTATATGTATCGGGGACACTGTTTCACCATTCCAATTTTCAATCAGAATCAGTGTAATAATCTCGATAGTAGACCGAAAGAGTGTTACCACGATCTTTGAGAGTCAGTCTCAATACGAACCTATAATTGTCATCCTAAAATTTCAAATAAAAGTAAAATATATTTTGCGACGATATTTTGTTATCGAAATTCTTTTTCTTTTTTTTTTTTTTTTTTTTTTTTTTTTTTCGAAATTTACACACCTTCCTGAGCTTAGACTACAATAGTTGCAGCAACCTTACAACGTTCACGAACCTTAGATATAGGCGACGATGTGCATAAATATATTTTGGATCTTTTTTGCAAAACCGGAAGTGCCACAGTTCAATAGGTGCAAGAATAGTTAATCGGCTCTAGAAGTCGTATTTTTCGGTCGATTTTATTTGGGTTTGCTTTTTTGGAATCTACTGGCAAAATCTGAAAGAATAGCAGTTTAAAAATTTCAAAATTCGAAAATTTGTCGCAGACATTTTTTTTGCCAAATTTTGCATTTTTTTCATTTTTTTTGCTTTTTGTCTGATTAATCTGAAAAAAATTGAGCAAAGACAGTTTAAGAAAGTAAACAAAATGGTACAGTAAAAGTTTCAATTTCACTTCCGGTTTAAACAGGAAATCGATGTTCAATTCCGGTTGAATATCTTCCGGTGTAATTTGTATAGGACAAAAAAATTCATGCTGATAGATAGACAAAGTTATGACCAAAAAACGAAGAAAAAAAAATCCGGAACAGACGTGAAACTTTGGCCGCCATTTTGATTTCCCTGAAACTCTTCGATTTTTATTCAGCCAATTTGGCTGAACCGAATTTCAAAATTTTGGTGTCAAATGAAAGAACATAAAAATTAAGAGAGATCACAGGAAGCCGATTTTTGAATTTCGATTTTGCTTTTTTGCAATTTGCGATTGAATTTTTTCAATATTTGATGGCGTATATCTCTTGACCTTGACCTTTGATGACCTTGAACTTTATAGGGTCAAAGGTCATTGACCCTGGCTATCATTTGATACTTTGACTTTTGACCTCCGACATGTACTTCCGGTTTTATAGCTATCCGTAAAAAGCCAAATTCGCAACTTTGGACTGCTCTAGCACGTGACCTAATTAACCTAGAGGGTTAATTTTTTCGGTTTTCTAATGTGCTTCTCATGCACTTTACATAGATATAGAACAATTGCTTTTTTAAAGCAAAATTGAAATTGGTGATTTTTTCAAATTTGAGTTTAGTTTTACCATATTTGTGTCTTTTTGATCTTCGTGTATGTATATCTTATGACCTATTCTATGTAGAACCTTGATATTTGGAATACAACTAGACACTTTAAATATGAATTCACCTATGACAAAAAAATTGGGGTGGGCGTGGCGCATCCGGGTTGAATTACTAATTGTTTACATTTTGCGGCTGGGGCATAACTCGCATAGGATGCGTGTGTTCAAAAAGGGACTTTGCACACAATTACCTCATCCTTTTGGCCAGTTTGTGTTAACAGCTCAGTTGTTTCAGCTTTATAGTTTCAAAAAAGGAACGGGTTTTAACATTTGGATATTTTCATTTTTCGATTTTGACCTTTATTGACATTTGTTGACCTATATCTTTTGACCTGAATAATGTAGAAGCTTGAAATTTAAAACACAACGTAACATTTGGAATATCAATTACCCTATGCAAAAAAATTAAGGTGGGCGTGGCACATCCGGGTAATATTACTCATTATTGATATTTTTGGCCAGG